ATCACCCTATTAGAGACCTGAAGGACCAGATACCCTATAGAATCAATCTATCACCCTATTAGAGACCTGAAGGACCAGATACCCTATAGAATCATTCTATCACCCTATTAGAGACCTGAAGGACCAGATACCCTATAGAATCATTCTATCACCCTATTAGAGACCTGAAGGACCAGATACCCTATAGAATCATTCTATCACCCTATTAGAGACCTGAAGGACCAGATACCCTATAGAATAATTCTATCACCCTATTAGAGACCTGAAGGACCAGATACCCTATAGAATCAATCTATCACCCTATTAGAGACCTGAAGGACCAGATACCCTATAGAATCATTCTATCACCCTATTAGAGACCTGAAGGACCAGATACCCTATAGAATCATTCTATCACCCTATTAGAGACCTGAAGGACCAGATACCCTATAGAATCATTCTATCACCCTATTAGAGACCTGAAGGACCAGATACCCTATAGAATCATTCCATCACCCTATTAGAGACCTGAAGGACCAGATACCCTATAGAATCAATCTATCACCCTATTAGAGACCTGAAGGACCAGATACCCTATAGAATCATTCTATCACCCTATTAGAGAACTGAAGGACCAGATACCCTATAGAATCAATCTATCACCCTATTAGAGACCTGAAGGACCAGATACCCTATAGAATCATTCTATCACCCTATTAGAGAACTGAAGGACCAGATACCCTATAGAATCATTCTATCACCCTATTAGAGACCCGAAGGACCAGATACCCTATAGAATCATTCTATCACCCTATTAGAGACCCGAAGGACCAGATACCCTATAGAATCATTCTATCACCCTATTAGAGACCTGAAGGACCAGATACCCTATAGAATCATTCTATCACCCTATTAGAGACCTGAAGGACCAGATACCCTATAGAATCATTCTATCACCCTATTAGAGACCTGAAGGACCAGATACCCTATAGAATCATTCTATCACCCTATTAGAGACCTGAAGGACCAGATACCCTATAGAATCATTCTATCACCCTATTAGAGACCTGAAGGACCAGATACCCTATAGAATCATTCTATCACCCTATTAGAGACCTGAAGGACCAGATACCCTATAGAATCATTCTATCACCCTATTAGAGACCTGAAGGACCAGATACCCTATAGAATCATTCTATCACCCTATTAGAGACCTGAAGGACCAGATACCCTATAGAATCATTCTATCACCCTATTAGAGACCTGAAGGACCAGATACCCTATAGAATCATTCTATCACCCTATTAGAGACTTGAAGGACCAGATACCCTATAGAATCAATCTATCACCCTATTAGAGACCTGAAGGACCAGATACCCTATAGAATCATTCTATCACCCTATTAGAGAACTGAAGGACCAGATACCCTATAGAATCATTCTATCACCCTATTAGAGACCCGAAGGACCAGATACCCTATAGAATCATTCTATCACCCTATTAGAGACCCGAAGGACCAGATACCCTATAGAATCATTCTATCACCCTATTAGAGACCTGAAGGACCAGATACCCTATAGAATCATTCTATCACCCTATTAGAGACCTGAAGGACCAGATACCCTATAGAATCGTTCTATCACCCTATTAGAGACCTGAAGGACCAGATACCCTATAGAATCGTTCTATCACCCTATTAGAGACCTGAAGGACCAGATACCCTATAGAATCATTCTATCACCCTATTAGAGACCTGAAGGACCAGATACCCTATAGAATCATTCTATCACCCTATTAGAGACCTGAAGGACCAGATACCCTATAGAATCATTCTATCACCCTATTAGAGACCTGAAGGACCAGATACCCTATAGAATCATTCTATCACCCTATTAGAGACCTGAAGGACCAGATACCCTATAGAATCATTCTATCACCCTATTAGAGACCTGAAGGACCAGATACCCTATAGAATCATTCTATCACCCTATTAGAGACCTGAAGGACCAGATACCCTATAGAATCAATCTATCACCCTATTAGAGACCTGAAGGACCAGATACCCTATAGAATCAATCTATCACCCTATTAGAGACCTGAAGGACCAGATACCCTATAGAATCATTCTATCACCCTATTAGAGACCTGAAGGACCAGATACCCTATAGAATCATTCTATCACCCTATTAGAGACCTGAAGGACCAGATACCCTATAGAATCATTCTATCACCCTATTAGAGACCTGAAGGACCAGATACCCTATAGAATCATTCTATCACCCTATTAGAGACCTGAAGGACCAGATACCCTATAGAATCATTCTATCACCCTATTAGAGACCTGAAGGACCAGATACCCTATAGAATCATTCTATCACCCTATTAGAGACCTGAAGGACCAGATACCCTATAGAATCATTCTATCACCCTATTAGAGACCTGAAGGACCAGATACCCTATAGAATCATTCTATCACCCTATTAGAGACCTGAAGGACCAGATACCCTATAGAATCAATCTATCACCCTATTAGAGACCTGAAGGACCAGATACCCTATAGAATCATTCTATCACCCTATTAGAGACCTGAAGGACCAGATACCCTATAGAATCATTCTATCACCCTATTAGAGACCTGAAGGACCAGATACCCTATAGAATCATTCTATCACCCTATTAGAGACCTGAAGGACCAGATACCCTATAGAATCATTCTATCACCCTATTAGAGACCTGAAGGACCAGATACCCTATAGAATCATTCTATCACCCTATTAGAGACCTGAAGGACCAGATACCCTATAGAATCATTCTATCACCCTATTAGAGACCTGAAGGACCAGATACCCTATAGAATCATTCTATCACCCTATTAGAGACCTGAAGGACCAGATACCCTATAGAATCATTCTATCCCCCTATTAGAGACCTGAAGGACCAGATACCCTATAGAATCATTCTATCACCCTATTAGAGACCTGAAGGACCAGATACCCTATAGAATCATTCTATCACCCTATTAGAGACCTGAAGGACCAGATACCCTATAGAATCATTCTATCACCCTATTAGAGACCTGAAGGACCAGATACGCCTATAGAATCATTCTATCACCCTATTAGAGACCTGAAGGACCAGATACCCTATAGAATCATTCTATCACCCTATTAGAGACCTGAAGGACCAGATACCCTATAGAATCATTCTATCACCCTATTAGAGACCTGAAGGACCAGATACCCTATAGAATCATTCTATCACCCTATTAGAGACCTGAAGGACCAGATACCCTATAGAATCATTCTATCACCCTATTAGAGACCTGAAGGACCAGATACCCTATAGAATCATTCTATCACCCTATTAGAGACCTGAAGGACCAGATACCCTATAGAATCATTCTATCACCCTATTAGAGACCTGAAGGACCAGATACCCTATAGAATCATTCTATCACCCTATTAGAGACCTGAAGGACCAGATACCCTATAGAATCATTCTATCACCCTATTAGAGACTTGAAGGACCAGATACCCTATAGAATCAATCTATCACCCTATTAGAGACCTGAAGGACCAGATACCCTATAGAATCAATCTATCACCCTATTAGAGACCTGAAGGACCAGATACCCTATAGAATCATTCTATCACCCTATTAGAGACCTGAAGGACCAGATACCCTATAGAATCATTCTATCACCCTATTAGAGACCTGAAGGACCAGATACCCTATAGAATCATTCTATCACCCTATTAGAGACCTGAAGGACCAGATACCCTATAGAATCATTCTATCACCCTATTAGAGACCTGAAGGACCAGATACCCTATAGAATCATTCTATCACCCTATTAGAGACCTGAAGGACCAGATACCCTATAGAATCATTCCATCACCCTATTAGAGACCTGAAGGACCAGATACCCTATAGAATCATTCTATCACCCTATTAGAGACCTGAAGGACCAGATACCCTATAGAATCATTCTATCACCCTATTAGAGACCTGAAGGACCAGATACCCTATAGAATCATTCTATCACCCTATTAGAGACTTGAAGGACCAGATACCCTATAGAATCATTCCATCACCCTATTAGAGACCTGAAGGACCAGATACCCTATAGAATCATTCTATCACCCTATTAGAGACCTGAAGGACCAGATACCCTATAGAATCATTCTATCACCCTATTAGAGACCTGAAGGACCAGATACCCTATAGAATCATTCTATCACCCTATTAGAGACCTGAAGGACCAGATACCCTATAGAATCATTCTATCACTCTTTAACCATACATGTAAACAGACTTTTATGGGGCCCCCAGGAACTTGGGGCCCTAGGGAACTGTATTGCCTAAGATGCTGCTGCATCTTAGTGGTCATAATTCAGGGACAGTACAGCATTTTGTAAATCTCACGGTGCACTGGGACCAACACATTCTTAGGTCCAGTTTCCCAGTGGAAGCCGACCATCAGCCACTGGTTCTCCAATGCATTAGATCAGGGTCAGAGTTACAGTAAAGCTGCTCCATTATTGTTTGAAAAACATCAGATAGAAGAAGCGATTGAGTGACTAAATCCTGCATTTAACAAAAATCAGGATCTGCTTTAACTTCAGTTCTGCTTCACTGAATGAAGAAGAAATGAGGGGAAAAAACTGTTTATTTCTGATTTCAGCTCATATTCAGTCTCTGAGTTCATGAAAGAAATGAGATCATTTGTGATTTTTATTCTTCTACCTGTAGGAGTTGTTCTTCATGTCAATCTCGGCCCTGTTCTGCGGGCCCCCAGGGGCCTCTGAAAAGGTTCTCTGTTCTGCTGCAAACCCTTCAGATGTAGACATGAGCATGAGCAGAGTGATGAAGAAAGATGTTCCATGTCGAGCAGAACCTGAATCCATTTACCTGAAAGTTTTCTCAGTCCCTCCTCCTTCCTTCCAAAGGTTCCCTGTTGGTGCGTAAATGCGCGGAGGTGTGGCTCCGGCTCGGTTCGGACGACATCAGCCTCCTGCTGGGTATGTGCGCGCAGTGAGAGTCCGGCTCAGTTTGGCTCCAGGAGGACGCGGAGCTGCAGCCACTATGAAGGTGGAGGAGCTGTTTGAGCGGAACCTGCAGCGCGCAGCGGCTCGGAGCTGATCCCGGACTCCGGGGCTTCCTGGGTTCAGGTTCTTCTTTGAGATCTTTCTGTGGAGCAGAACCGGAGCTCTGTGGGGGGTCAGAACCGGACAGGCGGGATGGATCCCCCCCGCTGGCCCCTACTGCTTCTCTCCCTCGCTCTGTGGATCCAGGACGGGATGAGCCAACACCTGAACCACTTCATCCGGCCGGTTCCCAGCGACTCCATGCCCGTGGAGGTTCTGAAGGAGGAACCGGACCCGCTGTTGGACCCAAAGGAGAAGGACCTGAACGGGACTGAGCTCAGGAGCCTTCTGGGCAGCCACTTCAACCCGGACTTCATGTCCGTGTCTCCACCGGAGGACCTGTCCGAGGACGAGCTGGACCAGAACCTGAGGCTCTCCGGGCCGATGCCCAAAGAGATCCGAACCCTGGAGCTGGAGATGCTGTTCGGGAAGAAGCAGAAGGCGAACCGGAAGCTCCGCAGGATGCTGTGGTCCTACACGCTGTGCCCGGTGCTTTACGCATGGACCGAACTGGGTCTGCGGTTCTGGCCGCGCCACCTGAAGGTGGGGAGCTGCTACAGGGAGCGGTCCTGCTCGGTTCCGGAGGGGATGGTGTGCAAACCTGCCAGAGTGACTCATTTAACCTTCCTGAGGTGGTACTGCCCGCAGAAACGGCTGCAGAGGTGCTCCTGGATCCACATCCAGTACCCGGTCATCTCCGAGTGCAAATGCTCCTGTCCGACCTGAGCAGCGGAGCCTGCGGAACTTTATCTGAGCTTTATTTATGACATTTTAAATAAATTCCTTTTAAGCTCAGAGAAAATCACCTGAACGGATCAGATCTTCTATTTTATTCTAATTCCTGTAACAGAAGAATCGGTTCTGATCGGGTTTTACTTTTTCTCATTATTTCCACTGATTCCAGAAACAAACCAGGATGAAAAAAAAACTTTAATAATCTGAACTGTTTTGTTTAAAATAACTTTAAAAAAGAAATAAAGTTTTTAAAGTGCATTTAAAACCATTTATTGAATAAAAACAAAAACTTTTTATCTGAACTCGTAAACCAATAAATAAAATCTGATTTCATAAATATTTCTCTTTTTCAGTGAAAAAAATTTGATATCTATAATTTTTCATGAATTAAACTCCTTTAAAAATATATTTTTCAGCGAAGTCTCCATTTCTCAGCGAAGAAGAGCGGTGATAGAATATGTTTTTATTGTTTTATTTAAATGTTTTTGGCATTTAATTAATCATATTCAGTTACTTTAAAACGTTTTGTTCATGTTAGCAGGGTAGGACATAAAAAATGTCTTACAGTAACTAAACAGGATTGAATAAATGCCAAAAACAGATGCATTGTTGTTTTTTTTTACTGATGAAGCTCAGGTGTGTTTTACCTTTCTATAGAGAGGTTTCCTTACTTTCAGACTATTTTACATTTCATATTTCACATTTTTCTGCTGGTGAAGATTCTTAGTCATCGAGGTCATAGTGATTGCAAAAGTTTCCAAGTTGAACACTGGAAAAAGGATCTAGAAATAAGAAAGAATTCTCAAATTAAGTGTATCTACCCTTAAAGCGGTGATAGAATGATTCTATAGGGTATCTGGTCCTTCAGGTCTCTAATAGGGCGATAGAATGATTCTATAGGGTATCTGGTCCTTCAGGTCTCTAATAGGGCGATAGAATGATTCTATAGGGTATCTGGTCCTTCAGGTCTCTAATAGGGCGATAGAATGATTCTATAGGGTATCTGGTCCTTCAGGTCTCTAATAGGGCGATAGAATGATTCTATAGGGTATCTGGTCCTTCAGGTCTCTAATAGGGCGATAGAATGATTCTATAGGGTATCTGGTCCTTCGGGTCTCTAATAGGGCGATAGAATGATTCTATAGGGTATCTGGTCCTTCAGGTCTCTAATAGGGCGATAGAATGATTCTATAGGGTATCTGGTCCTTCGGGTCTCTAATAGGGCGATAGAATGATTCTATAGGGTATCTGGTCCTTCAGGTCTCTAATAGGGCGATAGAATGATTCTATAGGGTATCTGGTCCTTCAGGTCTCTAATAGGGCGATAGAATGATTCTATAGGGTATCTGGTCCTTCAGGTCTCTAATAGGGCGATAGAATGATTCTATAGGGTATCTGGTCCTTCAGGTCTCTAATAGGGCGATAGAATGATTCTATAGGGTATCTGGTCCTTCGGGTCTCTAATAGGGCGATAGAATGATTCTATAGGGTATCTGGTCCTTCAGGTCTCTAATAGGGCGATAGAATGATTCTATAGGGTATCTGGTCCTTCAGGTCTCTAATAGGGCGATAGAATGATTCTATAGGGTATCTGGTCCTTCGGGTCTCTAATAGGGCGATAGAATGATTCTATAGGGTATCTGGTCCTTCAGGTCTCTAATAGGGCGATGGAATGATTCTATAGGGTATCTGGTCCTTCAGGTCTCTAATAGGGCGATGGAATGATTCTATAGGGTATCTGGTCCTTCAGGTCTGTAATAGGGTGATAGAATGATTCTATAAGGTATCTGGTCCTTCAGGTCTCTAATAGGGCGATAGAATGATTCTATAGGGTATCTGGTCCTTCAGGTCTCTAATAGGGTGATAGAATGATTCTATAGGGTATCTGGTCCTTCAGGTCTCTAATAGGGCGATAGAATGATTCTATAGGGTATCTGGTCCTTCAGGTCTCTAATAGGGCGATAGAATGATTCTATAGGGTATCTGGTCCTTCAGGTCTCTAATAGGGTGATAGAATGATTCTATTGGGTATCTGGTCCTTCAGGTCTCTAATAGGGTGATAGAATGATTCTATAGGGTATCTGGTCCTTCAGGTCTCTAATAGGGCGATAGAATGATTCTATAGGGTATCTGGTCCTTCAGGTCTCTAACAGGGTGATAGAATGATTCTATTGGGTATCTGGTCCTTCAGGTCTCTAATAGGGCGATAGAATGATTCTATAGGGTATCTGGTCCTTCAGGTCTCTAATAGGGTGATAGAATGATTCTATAGGGTATCTGGTCCTTCAGGTCTCTAATAGGGCGATAGAATGATTCTATAGGGTATCTGGTCCTTCAGGTCTCTAACAGGGTGATAGAATGATTCTATTGGGTATCTGGTCCTTCAGGTCTCTAATAGGGCGATAGAATGATTCTCTAGGGTATCTGGTCCTTCAGGTCTCTAATAGGGCGATAGAATGATTCTATAGGGTATCTGGTCCTTCAGGTCTCTAACAGGGTGATAGAATGATTCTATTGGGTATCTGGTCCTTCAGGTCTCTAATAGGGCGATAGAATGATTCTCTAGGGTATCTGGTCCTTCAGGTCTCTAATAGGGCGATAGAATGATTCTATAGGGTATCTGGTCCTTCAGGTCTCTAATAGGGCGATAGAATGATTCTATAGGGTATCTGGTCCTTCATGTCTCTAATAGGGCGATAGAATGATTCTATAGGGTATCTGGTCCTTCGGGTCCCTAATAGGGCGATAGAATGATTCTATAGGGTATCTGGTCCTTCGGGTCTCTAATAGGGCGATAGAATGATTCTATAGGGTATCTGGTCCTTCGGGTCTCTAATAGGGCGATAGAATGATTCTATAGGGTATCTGGTCCTTCGGGTCTCTAATAGGGCGATAGAATGATTCTATAGGGTATCTGGTCCTTCGGGTCTCTAATAGGGTGATAGAATGATTCTATAGGGTATCTGGTCCTTCGGGTCTCTAATAGGGTGATAGAATGATTCTATAGGGTATCTGGTCCTTCAGGTCTCTAATAGGGTGATAGAATGATTCTATCGGGTATCTGGTCCTTCAGGTCTCTAATAGGGTGATAGAATGATTCTATAGGGTATCTGGTCCTTCAGGTCTCTAATAGGGTGATAGAATGATTCTATAGGGTATCAGGTCCTTCAGGTCTCTAATAGGGTGATAGAATGATTCTATAGGGTATCTGGTCCTTCAGGTCTCTAATAGGGTGATAGAATGATTCTATAGGGTATCAGGTCCTTCAGGTCTCTAATAGGGTGATAGAATGATTCTATAGGGTATCAGGTCCTTCAGGTCTCTAATAGGGTGATAGAATGATTCTATAGGGTATCTGGTCCTTCAGGTCTCTAATAGGGTGTGTAACATTGGTTGGGCTGAAAATGGCATCTTAGCTGTTCTATGAGCCCTAATGCAGCCTGGTTAAAAGCTCTAGAATGAAACCACAGGTTTTCATCCTTTTATGGTTTGATCATGAATATTTAGATTAGCTGTGCTCTGATTGGTTGGTTTACAACGAGCCAAGCTGCTGAGCAAAGACGCATCATAGCAACAAGCACTCACTCACTGAAACATCAGATTGTTGATATGGTAGGGGGACCAGACGTCCTCTTTTCATTCCTTAAAAAATTTCGGGGGGAATTTTAAAATCATCCAGAATTTTGGTCGACTACAGTGCAACACGTAGTCGACCAAAACATGTAGCCTTACCGGGAAGGAGGAGGGAAGCATACAGTCACCGGGTCGGGTTTGAATGTCCCACCCCAAAAAAATAATCTGACCCAGAAGTGTGTTTGCAGATGGGAGGAGACGCCGCTCTCAATCCTGGACCTTCTGCAGGGACATCAGTGGACAGGGACATCCCTGAGCTCAATCACCAGGCAGGCAGAGTGTCTTCAGTCAGAGGCTTCTCTGGAGCAGCTGTGACACAGACCACTGCTGGACAAAGTACTCAGCAGTGGTACTAGAGTAAAAGTATTGATACTCATAGTCAAATCTTACTCAACTACAAGTAAAAGTGACTCAGACAAACATCTAATCAAGTTAAAGTATTAAAGTACTCACTTTTGAAAATACTTAAGAAATAAAAAAATACAAAAAAAAATCTCTAATATCAGAACAACTCTGTCAAATTTTAAAGAACCAGTAACTTTCCTTAACTTTCACATGTACTGATACGTAGAAAACCCTGATAGAGATTCTACACCACCTGGAAAGAACTTAAGCATAAAAAGCCCCACTCACACACAAAAAAAAATTAAATATTTGATTATTATTTAAAAACAATCCAAAAAGAAAACAGGAGTCTGGATTCTCCTCATTCGTTCTCTATGGAATAGAGTTTAAAGGTTGAATCTATTACCAAAGAGAAAGAGTCTGTTTTCCCTCAATCTATCTTCCTATCAGCTCTGCCTGTAAGTGGGAAAGGAAATAAACTGTTTTTTCTCTGCATGTAAAGTTGAACATATTTTTTATGTTCCTGCTCTGAGTGACAGGAAGCTAAAACAACTAGTATTTAATGATGGACAGAAATATGTAGGTGTTACATTAAAGTTAAGAGGAAAGAACTATAAAATGAAGACAATCTTAGAGAGGAGCTAATAAACGATGAAGTACTCAACCGTAGTACTTCAGCAGAAGTATTGATACTCAGTCAATTCTCATTGAACTACAAGTAAAATTTATTCTGTCAAACATCCACTCAGGTTAAAGGTATAGTGGAGGAATGAAAACAGGAGTCTGGATTCTCCTCATTCTTACAATATATAATAGAGGTTAAAGGTTGAATCTATTAGAAACTAGAACTCTGATCTGAGACTCAACCTGCTGAACAACTTGGCTCATAAAGCTTCTAGTTAGAGTGGCTCAGGTTATCCTGAGCTATCTCTATAGTTCTGCTGCTATAGGCTTAGACTGCTGGAGGACATAGGGACCCCTTTTTCATCATTCTGCTTCATTCTATCTCTATTCTCCCACTCTGCAGAATCTGTTAGTTCAATCTCTAACGTTCTGCTCTCTCTGCTTTTTCTCATAGCAGCTTCATCTGGTCTGTTCCTGTTTGGCTGTGACTCCATCCTGGAGAGAAATATCAGCTGTGCTGCTGAATACAAACTCAGCATTTGATGGTTTTAACTGGTTTAACAAGGAAAAGGAGAAGAAAAAAGATGGAATTACCTTTATAAATTATTAGGAAAGATATGTATAATCATATATAAACTTACAGTTTCCCCCAACTCACGTTAGGGGGCGCTGTGGCGTAATTTGGGGGCGGCCATTTTGGATTCCATTATAGACCGGCTATTTCACGCGGGGGAAAATTTACTGCCATGTTTTACTGAGTTTTTGAATATGCAAAGTCCCTGTAAAATGCGTTCAAAGTGCTACAAGAATCGTAATAATAATAAGAAACTTTCGAAATACAATGATTTAAGTGTGTGTAAAAGTGGTTCTCCAGCTCCTTCATACTCGGTGGTTTCCAGCAGTTTCTCTGCTTCTCAGCAAAATAAGGTACGACTGCATTTTAGGGCCATGCAAGGACAAAAATAAAGCAAAACAGGAATAAACACTCAAATAAAAAAACAAATTTACAAGATTATAAACATGCAAATTTAGAAAGAAACAAGTAACAAATGTACAAGAAAAATTAGGCAAATTTACAAGGAAAAAACATAAATTTACGAAATAAAGATGTAAATTTACAGACTCCCTCCATCTCTAAATCTCCCATTAATTATGCTTTTCCATGTGCTTTATGTAGCATATTTTAATGTGCATTATTATTTTTCCACTAATGTACATTTAAATCTTGCTAATTCACCTTTTTCCTCCTAGTTTTGTTTTTCTTGATAATTTGCTACTTTTTATTTTTTTTATTTTGTAAATTTGTTTTTACTTGTAAATCTGTATTTATTCTTGTAAAAATGCCAATTCAAACTATAAATCTGAAAATGTTCTTTCCCTTCTTACACGGCATCATTATTTTTTTTTATTTTAGGTGTTTTAAAGGCTTATTTCTCCCATCAGGTGAGCAGGTTGATGTCTTCTTCTCTGCTTTCTGAGGGTGATCCCTGAGAGGAGTCTGAACAGAGACCCCTGCTGGTAGGAACAGGAACTACACATCGGCGGCTCAGCTGGTCAGCTTTATTTCCCAAATCCTTCAGACGGCAGAGAGGCACACAGGCTACAATAATGTGAAGCTAATCGGCCGACACGAGCACCAGATCCAGATATCATGAAAAAAAAGGAACACACATATTTACAGATATAAATAACACAGAATTTCACTTCAAAAGACACGGCAATGAAGTATGTATTATAAACGGTAGAAAAGTTATACTGGAAGGTTCCCACTGCGCTGTGCTTGGAGCTGGAGATACTGTCCACCATACAAGTCAGAACTACAGAGTTCACATTCAATACAGCTTTGGTCCACAATCAGAACACAGAGACGTTCTGGGAAAAGTTCAGACATCAGGAGGCCAAAGATGGAGGCGGAGCGTCCAGCCGATGGTCGGTCCAGCCTAAGCCTCGGCAGCACCGGTTCAACTGGAGGCCATTTCTTCCAGAAGAACCAGCAGAAAATAAAACCGGACTCTTCCTTCACCCTAAAAGAACAAAGGTTTTCCTAAACCTTAAACGATTATAATCTCCTCTTTTAATCAAAGATTTAATCGGATAAATGGTCAGCTCTTTAAAAACTTCCCAAAAATCAAACACTGATTAACCTGATGAGATTAATTAGAGACACCAGAACTGAGCAGAACCTGAACTTTCAGCGAGATAAGGTCCAGGATGGATAAAGATCAGCTTTCTGGAAGCAAAGCTGATCTTATTTCTCCATCCATCATCAGAATGGGTCAACAGCACCAGAATAAATCAGAATAACCAGATATGAATACATTAAAATGAGCTTTAAGGATTATTAAGACAGATTATCGTCATGATTCAGATAAAATACTAAAATAAGTTGGTGAAGCGGTGAACGGACCTGGAGGCTGCAGAGCGGCGTTAGTGAACCGTTCACTGCAGCTCCTGTTCACAAAGCAAACGTCAGAGCAGGGCGACCTGCAGAGACGAGACTAATGAACCGTTTACCGACACGTTCTGTTCACTGAGCTGCAGATTCTCAACAAAAACCGGCTGGAATGAATCAGGAAGTACGTCTGGAAAACTGCTCCACTTGCTGGTGAAACCCGATAACTGTCCAACACCCAACGGGTCAGAGAGAACGCCCACGGACGGATCCGACCCAGACAGCCGTTAGTGTGTCCACAGGGATTAGGTGGGAACCCAGCTGAGCAGAACCATCGGCGGAGCTGGAGCCTCTTCTTTCCTCTCCTGATCAAACGTCCTGCAGCTGCAGCACGTCAGGAACCAGAACCTCCAGCTGCGTAGGTCCAACAGAAACCCACCAAGCCTCGGTGAGCGGCGGCGTCCTGCGGTCTGACTAACACCAGTAGGTTTCAGGGTTCATCTTCGCTGCGGAGATCCAACAGCGGTTCTGCTGACAGAACCCGGCGCTGAGCGAGGACCTCTTGGCTCCGTCAGTGATTGCGGGAGCTGAAGAACCCGACGCTGGTTGGAGACTCCTTCACCGTCACCGTGATGAAGTTGGCCGTGACGTCCGTCACAAAGACGTGCTCCATGAGGCTGCGGGCCGGCCTCCAGTCCGTTTCTGTGTCCGACTCGGTGGCGTTGCCGCCGACGCCAGGCCTGCTGTCGTCAGGCAGCGACGGGGCGTCGTGTTCCGACTCGCTGCTGCTGGTGTCGTCGGAATCCCCGGTGCTGAGCTCGGTCAGGCTCAGCCCGTGTTTGCGCTCCTCTTGTCTGCCGGCCGCGGACGGCTGCGTCCTGCTCCGCCCAGACTCCAGCGCCGGCCCAGAGCGCTGCCCTCCGGCCGCGGCGCCGCCCTGCAGGTTGCCGGCGGCCGGCAGCTTGCCGACGCTCTGTAGGTTGAGCGCTCGTAGGTTCAGCGCCTGGCTGGGTCGCTCTTTGGTAGACGGGTTCTGTTTGGAGAAACCGGAGTTCTGCTTGTGTTGAACAGGGCCCGTCTGACCGTCCTGCCTCCTGTGGGCCAGCTGGGGGCGCTGTGCTGCGATTGGATGTCCTCCGAAGCTGCTGTGCAGACCAGAGGGCGCCAAACCGCCGGCAGATTTCACAGGAGACGCTTTAAAGGCCTCCGCTCTGCTGCTCCCCGTTTCTGAGAAGGAGCGTCGGAGCTCGGAGGGCTTCTGCGACGCGCCGCCTTTGTTGTGAGAGGAAGAGGAGGAGGACGAGGAAGAGACGGAGCGGCCGGTCCAGATGCAGCTGAGGGATCCGGGTTTGGAGGCGGAGCTCTGAGAGAAGGAGGAGGAGCTTCCTTCCTCTCTGGAGCTCCGACTGAGCCCAGGGTAGGTGAAACTGGCCGGCTGCAGAGGCTTCTTCACGCCGGGCCGCAGGTCGTCTCTGGGCGACCTGATTGGCTGGTGATGGCGTGGAGGAGGAGGAGGAGGAGGAAGGCTCTTCCCCTGCCGTAGAGCCTTCAGGTCCGGGTGCAGCGGCTTCCTCCCTCGCTTTTTCTTCCGGGGCGGATCAGGCTTGGCCAACAGGATCTGAGGCCTCTTCTGGGGGACGGGGTGGACCCGGGGACTCGGCTTGGACTTCTTGATGTGGTCTTCATCCTCTGAGGAAGAGGAGGGCTCAGACGAGAGGCCGGAGGAGGAGGAGGAGGAGGAGGAACGGCTGTCCTTGGTGGCAGTAGGAGGAGGCTGAGGAAGAGAGACAGAATGATGAAGATGATGAGGAGGAGACGGCAGGAGAGCAGGAGGAGCCGTGAGGTTTGCTTTTACCAGAATCTTCCGGGGCCGTCCTCTGGGACGCTTCCCTTTCTTCTGAAACAGAAGTTCCCGTTCCTGTTCCCTGGAAAACACCGAGAACCAAACTTTAGTTCTAAACAACTGGGCTCAGCCGGATCAGAGACGGAACCACGGGATGCATGGGGGGCCTGGCGCCGCGGCGTGGAAGCTGCTGCTGAACGAGACTCAGACGGACCTTCTCAGTGTGAGCAGAGGCGGCTAACGCTAATCGCTAACCGGATTTACAGCCCCACTCTCACATTGTGACATCACCAATGTTTCTACTTTACTAAACCATTTAAAAGTTAAAACGCTTCATCAAATCTTTTTCATCTCAAAAACTAAACTGGTAAAATTTCTTAAATAAAAAAATCCTCCTAAATGGAATTTACATATTTCACGTTAAAGTGAAATTTTTACGAGAATAAACACACATTTAAGATCAAAAACACCAACATTTACAAAATTAAAATATACTATTAGAGAAAAAAAACGTAGCAAATTAATTATAAAAAAACACGCAAATTTAGGAGGAAAAAAGTAGCAGATTTAAACATGTAAATTAGCGGCACAATGCCAGATTATAATTCACGTTAAAGTATTCTACATAAAGCTCATGCAAATGCAACATTAATGGGAGATGAGATGGAATATTAAAGTTTTTAGTAAAAGTGGGATTCAATATGAAAAATACAGTAAATTAACAAGTTTATTCTCTTAAATTTGCTACCTGTTTCCTTATAAAGGTGAAAGTTTATGATCTCATAAATTTGAGATTTAATTTACAGGGTTTTTACAGGAATAAGTAACTCTAATTTAATTTAATTAGGGATGCACGATATAATCAGCCCCCTATCGGTATCGGCCTTAAAACTGAATATCGGACATCGGCCACCCCACCGATATTTAACCCGATATTTGATCAGCTTCTGAGTTTCTAAAGTCTAAAAAAAAATAATAAATGCTACTTCTTCTTCTTCCTCTAAAAACTTCTTTTTTACAGACTTAAAAACTTCTAAAGACGAGGGAAAAAATATTGATCCATTAAAATATCCCAATATCTTCATATGCTGATATATTGCCATTTAAAAACACCATATCAATCTCTTTTACTAATGAAATATTGCTATATGTCATCGTTATGCTACGAAATCCCCCGAAAATTCACCAAATGTTGCCATATTTTTATATGTTGATATATTGACGCGGTATCGATCTATTTTACTAACAAAATCTCACAAGAATTTGCAAAATATCACAAGAGTTTGTAACAGAACGATGAAATTTAACCAGATTTTGAAAGTAAAATAGATCGATACCGCGTTTTTAAAAATCTATTTGATATCAGCATATGAAAATATATTTGAGTATATTATTTTTCAAAGTGTCAGAAATGGATAACAAAACTGCTATTTTTAATGACTACTTATTTTTGTCCAGCTTTAACATCGGTATCGATATCGGTTATCGGCTACATGAGTTTTAAAATATCGGCATATCGGATATCGGCCAAAATCCCAATATCGTGCATCCCTAATATAACCATTTTTTTTTTAAATAAAGTATTTTAAATGCCATGAAAATAATAATTGAATGACTTTTAATGACCTGCAGAAACCTGATTTGATATATAAGATCATAATAAGAACAACCAGCCGAGCCGCTGCAAGAAAATAAAGAAGGAAAAGATATCAGCCCAGTTTCCCTGGCAGGACGACGACCATCAGAGAAACTGATTGACGCCGACTGATGATCGACCCGTGCCTCGTTTTATACTATAAACACCTAATCAGATTTTTTTAAATAAAAGTGATTTTGTTGTCTACAGCTCTAATAATAATACTCTACGATTAGGAGTTTTATTAAACTCTGCATACGATGCGTCTCTTTTCCATCACTCTAATGCAGAGGTATTCAACAGGGGGTCCGCGACCCCTAGGGGGTCCACGGAGGTACTGCATGGGGGTCGCAAAAGTCTTTGTTGATTACTTTTTTATATTCCCTCCTGCAATTTTTTGCACTAATTAAAATGTCTTTAAATCCACATTAACATGAATCCAACAGACTGTAGTAAACAGATAAATGGAGGCAGAAGATGTCTTTCAGTCATCAATGCTCACATTCAGAGACTAGGGTTGTCACGATACTAAACTTTTCAACTCGATACCGATACTAAGGAAAATATTCGATACTCGATACCACAAGGATAAAAATAAAGACTCCAAAATTCAACAGAAATATTTTCATTAATAAATAAAATACAATAAATAAATACAATAAAGGTTGTATGCTGTGCATAATATTATGCAAGCTTGATAAAAAACTTATAAAATTCAAATTAAGTGTTCCTTCCTTGGCTATGCTTTGCACACATAACAATGACACTAGCCAAACCAGTTAAGAAACAAAAATAATTCTCAGCAGCTGCACCTCTTACAAAAAAAAAGTCTGAAACTGAAAAGAGCGTAGAATTCTTCAATCACACAGTGTTCAGAAAGTGCATTTTCCTCTATTCTGCACTTTAGATGAATGACTGCTTAGGTGCCACTGGTGACGGCACTGTATCGATACTTTTAAAAACGAGTATTGTATCCGGATACAACATTTCAGTATCGATACTTTTTTGAGTTTCGATACTTTTGACAACCCTATCAGAGACACACAGGAGCTCTTTCAAGCTGGACACCGTTTCATTCACAACACCTGTCCCATCAACCAGGAAGCAGAAATACTTTAATAATCCCAGGGAGGGATTACTTTAGTTACATTACGGTACTCCATCTGTAATAGAGTGACTATAGGAGCAGTTTGATAGAACACTATTTCATACAATATAAATAATCAGGGGGTCCCCGCTCCATCTCACCATCAGTTTGGGGGTCCTTGGCTTTGAAAACGTTGAAGACCCCTGCTCTAATGGAATGGCTGCGGTTGGGTTTTTAGAAAAACATTTTTTACCAGACAAATCCCATAAAACGAGGAGTGGATTCTCACCTCTTATGAAACGCCGCCAGCAGCCTCGGGTCCAGAATGTTCTCCTCGGGCTCCCAGCTGTTATGCCTTAAAAAAGAGAAATGAGCTTCAGTCCTGATAGAAACAGCTGATTTATTCTAAACATGTTTCAATTGAATAAAAACTGATCAGCAGAGCTTCTGAGAGGGAATCAGTGTTCATATCCTAGATCTAAATGATCCAGAGACAAACTGAAAAATATACGGATCTAGACACTAAAATGCAGGAAGATGAAATCAGGGCTGAAACTATTAATCTGATTAATCGTTTATTGAAATCATTGTTAACTGGAGTATAGAGACTCTAAAAAGTCTGTAGCTGACACAGTGACTCACTTAGAGCAGGAATTATATCAAGATTGTAAAAAAGATTTAAACATTTTGCATTTCAATTTTTTTTTTTTTTTACTTTTTCTCCATCTGTCTCTATCCAGAACTCCACAGGTGGAAAAGTTTTAGTTTCATCTGGTTTAATTTCGTAAAAAAATCTTTGGCTCTCTGATTATTAATCAATGAATCAAAAAAATAAACAGATTCATCAATTTCCAAAATAATCGTTAGTTAAAAAAAGAAAACGACAAGAAAGAAAAACAACAGCTGCTAAAAAAGCCTGAAACCAGAAGAAAAGAGCAGAGAGATCAACCGGAATGCTCCGCCTGGTCCAAGTCTGGAAATGGGTTCGGGTCCAGGTCTGTAAACAGCTTCGGGTCCAGGTCTGTAAACAGCTTCGGTTCCAGGTCTGTAAACAGCTTTGGGTCCAGGGGCCTGTTTCAATAAGGAAGTTCAACCAACTCTGAGTTAAAACTTGAACTCTGAGTTGACTTATCCTGAGATTGGAAACTCTGAGTTTTGGGTTTCAGAACAGCTGAAATGAGTTAGTTCAATCAACTCTAAATTGACTGACTCTGAGTTAAGCGCGTGCACCACAACTATAAAAAGCCATCATCAATGGAGCACAGATATTACGAGTCACCATGGCAACAGCTTCAGACAAAAAAAGGTGTGCATATTTCTCACCAGCAGAACTGGATGTGCTTATGCAAGCATATGCAGAATTTGAACATGTATTTTTAAAAAAAGCAACACGGCTGCAGCGGCGAAGGAGAGAGAGTTAGCTTGGGTGAAAATAGCTGCTCGAGTCAATGCGTAAGTTTACATTTTAATTACTTTTATACAGTGTTGGGTGTAATGAATTAAGTTACTTAAGTAATATAAATACTGTAATTAAATTAAAGACTATAAAACAATAGTGAATTTAATATCAAATTTTAAAAGGTATATTTTGATTTGAACTTTCTCCCTCTAGTTACACACCTTGGTCAATTTAAGATTAATTCATGCAATTGAATATTGTTTATTTGAAAGCATTAGAAGTGCAGTTTCTTGTCTCTCCTTGTATTGTTCAAGTGGTTGAGGTTGATTTGGGATTTAGAAAGTAATTAATAAGTAAGTAAAACAAATTAGTAAGTAGACCAATACTTTCTAGAGACAGTAATTATTACATTAATCTAATTAGACTTGTTGAAGATAAAATTTGTAGTTAGTAATTAAGAACTATTTTAGAGTAACTTACCCAACTGTTATAATATCAGAGGTGAAACTGGAAGAACAGTATTTTATTAAACCTAATTTAGTTTTCATGGATAGGTGCAATCCTGCAGGCATCAAAAGAACATGGCAGCAGCTGAAAATGAAATATAAAAAAAAAATTCAAGCAGGTAAGCCTTGAGCACATCATGGGAGTAGAGTAGCTACCTGGCTTTACAAACAGGATCATCCATTAAAGGACATGCCATTTCATTCCCTTTGATGCGCTCTACGTGACTGAAATGTGTGCAATGAATACTGTATGTCCCCAAAGAATCAATGAGGTGTTTAAACACCACTTCCTCTTTAAAAAAGGGGAGGAGACCAAAATAAACTCTGGATTTTCTGAAGAAAACCTGCTCCCGACCAGGTTAGGTTCACAGAGTAAATTGCCATGGTAACTGACTCTGAGTATAAGTTACCTCTCTTTCAGAAACGGGCTTGACTTACTCTGCTTTCTCAGGTTTAACTTACCTCCCTTTCTGAAACAGAAAACCCAGAGTTTCCCTCATTTCAGGGTTAACAAACTCAGAGTTTTCACTTAACCTCCTTTCTGAAACAGGCCCCAGGTCTGTAAACAGGTTCGGTATCAGGTCTGTAAACAGGTTCGGTATCAGGTCTGTAAACAGCTTCGGTTCCAGGTCTGTAAACAGCTTCGGTTCCAGGTCTGTAAACAGCTTCGGTTCCAGGTCTGTAAACAGCTTCGGTTCCAGGTCTGTAAACAGCTTCGGTTCCAAGTCTGTAAACAGCTTCGGTTCCAGGTCTGTAAACAGCTTCGGTTCCAGGTCTGTAAACAGCTTCGGTTCCAAGTCTGTAAACAGCTTCGGTTCCAGGTCTGTAAACAGCTTCGGTTCCAGGTCTGTAAACAGCTTCGGTTCCAAGTCTGTAAACAGCTTCGGTTCCAGGTCTGTAAACAGCTTCGGTTCCAGGTCTGTAAACAGCTTCGGTTCCAGGTCTGTAAACAGGTTCGGTCAGATTTGGGTCCAGGTCTGTAAACAGCTTCGGTTCCAGGTCTGTAAACAGGTTCGGTTCCAGGTCTGTAAACAGGTTCGGTTCCAGGTCTGTAAACAGGTTCGGTTCCAGGTCTGTAAACAGCTTCGGTTCCAGGTCTGTAAACAGGTTCGGTCAGATTTGGGTCCAGGTCTGTAAAACAGGTTCCAACAGCTTCGGTTCCAGGTCTGTAAACAGCTTCGGTTCCAGGTCTGTAAACAGCTTCGGTTCCAGGTCTGTAAACAGCTTCGGTTCCAGGTCTGTAAACAGCTTCGGGTCCAGGTCTGTAAACAGCTTCGGTTCCAGGTCTGTAAACAGCTTCGGGTCCAGGTCTGTAAACAGCTTCGGGTCCAGGTCTGTAAACAGCTTCGGGTCCAGGTCTGTTTTGGTTCCAGGTCTGTGAACAGGTTCAGACAGGTTTGGGTCCAGGTCTGTAAACAGGTTCAGTCCAGGTCTGTAAACAGGTACGGGTCAAGGTATGTAAACAGCATCGGGTCCAGGTCTGTTTTGGTTCCAGGTCTGTAAACAGGTTCAGTCAGGTTTGGGTCCAGGTCTGTAAAACAGGTTCCAACAGTTTCAGGTCCAGGTCTGTAAAACAGGTTCCAACAGTTTCAGGTCCAGGTCTGTAAAACAGGTTCGGTCAGGTTTGGGTCCAGGTCTGTAAAACAGGTTCCAACAGTTTCAGGTCCAGGTCTGTAAAACAGGTTCGGTCAGGTTTGGGTCCAGGTCTGTAAAACAGGTTCCAACAGTTTCAGGTCCAGGTCTGTAAACAGACTCGGTCCAGGTCGATAAACAGCTTCGGGTCCAGGTCTGTAAACAGAGTCGGGTCCAGGTCTGTAAACAGAGTCGGGTCCAGGTCTGTAAACAGACTCGGTCCAGGTCTGTAAACAGAGTCGGGTCCAGGTCTGTAAACAGAGTCGGGTCCAGGTCTGTAAACAGAGTCGGGTCCAGGTCTGTAAACAGAGTCGGGTCCAGGTCTTCGGGTCCAGGTCTGTAAACAGACTCGGTCCAGGTTGATAAACAGCTTCAGGTCCAGGTCTGTAAACAGAGTCGGGTCCAGGTCTTCGGGTCCAGGTCGATAAACAGCTTCGGGTCCAGGTCTGTAAACAGAGTCGGGTCCAGGTCTGTAAACAGAGTCGGGTCCAGGTCTGTAAACAGAGTCGGGTCCAGGTCTTCGGGTCCAGGTCTGTAAACAGACTCGGTCCAGGTCGATAAACAGAGTCGGGTCCAGGTCTTCGGGTCCAGGTCTGTAAACAGAGTCGGGTCCAGGTCTTCGGGTCCAGGTCTGTTAACAGGTTCGGGTCCAGGTCTGTAAACAGGTTCGGGTTCAGGTCTGTAAACAGACTCGGTCCAGGTCGATAAACAGCTTCAGGTCCAGGTCTGTAAACAGAGTCGGGTCCAGGTCTTCGGGTCCAGGTCTGTAAACAGACTCGGTCCAGGTTGATAAACAGCTTCAGGTCCAGGTCTGTAAACAGAGTCGGGTCCAGGTCTTCGGGTCCAGGTCTGTAAACAGGTTCGGGTCCAGGTCTGTAAACAGGTTCGGGTCCAGGTCTGTAAACAGAGTCGGGTCCAGGTCTTCGGGTCCAGGTCTGTAAACAGGTTCGGGTCCAGGTCTGTAAACAGGTTCGGGTTCAGGTCTGTAAACAGACTCGGTCCAGGTCGATAAACAGCTTCAGGTCCAGGTCTGTAAACAGAGTCGGGTCCAGGTCTTCGGGTCCAGGTCTGTAAACAGGTTCGGGTTCAGGTCTGTAAACAGACTCGGTCCAGGTCGATAAACAGCTTCAGGTCCAGGTCAGTAAACAGACTCGGTCCAGGTTGATAAACAGCTTCAGGTCCAGGTCTGTAAACAGAGTCGGTCCAGGTTGATAAACAGCTTCAGGTCCAGGTCAGTAAACAGACTCGGTCCAGGTTGATAAACAGCTTCAGGTCCAGGTCTGTAAACAGAGTCGGGTCCAGGTCTTCGGGTCCAGGTCTGTAAACAGGTTCGGGTTCAGGTCTGTAAACAGACTCGGTCCAGGTCGATAAACAGCTTCAGGTCCAGGTCAGTAAACAGACTCGGTCCAGGTTGATAAACAGCTTCAGGTCCAGGTCTGTAAACAGAGTCGGGTCCAGGTCTTCGGGTCCAGGTCTGTTAACAGGTTCGGGTCCAGGTCTGTAAACAGGTTCGGGTCCAGGTCTGTAAACAGGTTCGGGTTCAGGTCTGTAAACAGACTCGGTCCAGGTCGATAAACAGCTTCAGGTCCAGGTCTGTAAACAGAGTCGGGTCCAGGTCTTCGGGTCCAGGTCTGTAAACAGACTCGGTCCAGGTTGATAAACAGCTTCAGGTCCAGGTCTGTAAACAGAGTCGGGTCCAGGTCTTCGGGTCCAGGTCTGTAAACAGGTTCGGGTCCAGGTCTGTAAACAGGTTCGGGTCCAGGTCTGTAAACAGAGTCGGGTCCAGGTCTTCGGGTCCAGGTCTGTAAACAGGTTCGGGTCCAGGTCTGTAAACAGACTCGGTCCAGGTCGATAAACAGCTTCAGGTCCAGGTCAGTAAACAGACTCGGTCCAGGTTGATAAACAGCTTCAGGTCCAGGTCTGTAAACAGAGTCGGGTCCAGGTCTTCGGGTCCAGGTCTGTAAACAGGTTCGGGTTCAGGTCTGTAAACAGGTTCAGGTTCAGGTCTGTAAACAGACTCGGTCCAGGTTGATAAACAGCTTCAGGTCCAGGTCTGTAAACAGAGTCGGGTCCAGGTCTTCGGGTCCAGGTCTGTAAACAGGTTCGGGTCCAGGTCTGTAAACAGGTTCAGGTTCAGGTCTGTAAACAGACTCGGTCCAGGTCGATAAACAGCTTCAGGTCCAGGTCTGTAAACAGGTTCAGGTTCAGGTCTGTAAACAGACTCGGTCCATCAGCTCCTCCTCCCTGAAGGCTTTGGCTGATTGTTGTTTACATTCAGGTCTCTGGGATCTTCTGCATATCCTGATCATCAAAGCGGCCGCGGTACCAAATGATCCGGTTCTGGCCCGGTTCACCGAAACATCCCGGGTCCCAGTGAGCCTACAGGTGGTACTGGTTAAACCGGGTCAAGCTTGTGTGCGTTCGGCAGGTTGGTACCGCTGGGCCCGCAGCTAAAGCGGACTCTGTGCTAGCAGGTAGCCACCGGTACTGGTGTAGCTGGTACCGGTCCGGTCCGGAGTCTACAGTCAGGCGTTCTGTATTAGAAGTCTGCAGCTGGTGTCGGTTCGGCTGGTACCGAGGCAGTCGGGCAAAGCAAAAAGCGTCTTTGTGTTAGCAGCTAGCAGCTAGCAGCGGCTACTCACTTGGAGGACCAGCCTCTCCACTTCACCAGATACTCGAATTTCCCCTGGAGAGACAAACACAGTCAGAACCAGAACCAGAACCGGAACCAGAAGGCCGCGGAACCACCACAGACAGCCGCTTCTTACCTTTCTCTGCCGCTTACTGAGGATACACTCCGCATCGAAGACCTGGCCCACCGTCACCCCCTCCATCACTGCTGTTGTCTGGCCTTTCCCGGCTTCCGTACAGCCTCCCTGCTGCTTCCAGCGGAGCCATGGAGACAGCTCCATCAGCTTATTTATAAAGATCACTTGATTTTACCTGAATAAACTCCAGAAGAATTTGGGTGGTTCTGTCTATGGGTTTGAAAAGTGGAACAGTTAAAATTAGGAGCAATATTTATGGTTATTTTGCGCGTTTTAAGGGAAAAATAAGGAGGTTATGTCAGTCATTCATTCATTTATAAAAATCTTACTTTCTTAAATAAATATTTAATTTGGAGCTAAATATTTATTTGACAAATTAAATATAAATAGAATAAATATTGCTCCTAATTTTAAATGCTTCATTTTACAAACGGTTCCTCATTGACATCAAACTAGTTTACAATTAGAAGTGAAAAACAAAACCTTTTCTTTTGATGCTCTGAACGAGTTTCCTTTAACGTCCCTTCTTTAACACGTCAACATTTTGCATAAGATAATTTCCCCCTTTTTATAATTAATCTAATTAACATTCAGTAAATGTAGCTAGTCGTTTGATTGATGCATTCATTTGATTTTAAAATCTATACCTCACCGGATGTTTGAGGGAGAGTTTATGGTTCGTCATTGACTTTGTTTTGTCAAAGAATGTGAGAAAAGAAAAGATTTACTGCTGTAAGTTTGGTTGCAGCTAAATTAAATCATTCCTAAAAAAAAAACTAGATCTATAAAATCCAAAGAATTTAAGTCAGATCTTTATTGCACACCCAAGAAAGGTCAATATTAATAAAAAAAAATAATAAAAAAAGAATTATTATTTATAATTTCCTTGTAAAGTAACCTGTGCTTTAGGTAGAACTTTAATGCCATACAAATTTGGACAGAAAAACAGGTAATATTTTTGTGCAGATCTAATAAAAAAAAAACAACAACATTAAACCCAGTACATCTATTTTCTCACTAGAATTGAATGACCGAACAACTGTCAAATAATTCTATAAATTATTGACAGATTGATTAAATGTAATCTTACTGTACTTGTTTATCTTCATTTATGTACGTATTAAAGTGATTTCTACCTATTTTTTGTCCACTATTTATCATACACCTTTATTTATTTCCATATAAATAATGGTTCCAAATCATAGTGTTTGATATTTGCATTAAGCATTTCGATTCTGAATTATCTTTTTTCCCTTTTTTGTTCCTAATCCCATTTGATTTAAATATACCTATGTTGTTTGTTATTTTTTTATATGTAAAAAAAAAAGTGAATTATAATGAAAAAGGTGATCTTTACTGTAAAACTAATCTTAAAGATTCCTTGTGTATTTTAGAGATCTTTGTTTTTTGTCATGTTCAGTTTATGGTTCTGTTGTTCTTTATTATTTTCTTCTTCAGTCAGTAATTTTTTGTTTATTATAAATTAATGCGTGTGGAATTTTCAATAAATTAATAAATTAGTCAGTAAATACAAAGCAAATTCTGCAGGAATGAGCCAGACAAGCGGAACTGTTTCAGCGGAACCATTCTTCCTGCTGTCGGAGCTAATTGTGTGCTGCACTTCTGTATGTTTGGTAACCGTCTGTTTACCGCGAAGCTGCTCTGCTTAGGTAAATATATTTCTAAAACTATTATGACTCTTAATAAAACTAAAAGCGGGATTCTTTTTCATTTAATGTTTTTTTATTTGAAGTTTTTCGGGCTGCTTTGATGTTTGCTGGGAGGATAAACGCTGATCTGAGGTCAGATCTTTAGCCACCAAGCAAACAGCTGATCTATAGAGGCTGAGGCCAAACGATGAGTTCAGCAGAAAGTATGAATTCTTACTAAAAGCTGAAAACTGATGAAATAAGATAGAAATAGCATCATCGGAATTCTATTTAGTTTATTTCTATAGCTCCAATTCACATCATGTCATCTCAGGTCACTTTCCAGTTCACCAGATCATCCAGTCAGATTGATTCAAAGTTTTCTATCTAAGGAAAACCAGCTGATTGCATCGACTCATTGACTCTTCAGCAATCCCTCACACTAAGCATGCTTGTAGCGACAGTGGAGAGGAAAAACTCCCTTTGAACTGGGCTGGAAAAACACCGATCTGTCAGCATCAGCATTCTCAGTAAAACTGATTTTTCTTTTAAAACTGTAAGAGGACCCAGATGTTGGCGTCTGATGACCTCCAGCTTCTGTGTTTTTCTGATGAAAAGAAAGAAACAGTTTAGCTCTTTAATGGCTCCTGTTTCCATCTGTAATCAGATCCTCACTGTTCACACAGACTTTTAAAGCTCATGTTTTTTGGACACCTTGTGTTTCTTTATTTACTAATGTTGATTAATGTATAAAATTATTTTGCGTTAATTTTTAATCATTAAGTAAAGAATAAAATAGAATAGAATTTAAAAAATCCTGTTATTAGGGGAAATTGGGTTTACAGCACCATTTTTTCCATAATCTTTTGGACCTTAGAAAAATGTATAAGAATAACATAATAGTAAAGAGTTAAAAGATAAACAATAAAATACTGTAGTGTAAAGAGTTTTAACAATATCAAACTTTGCACCTGGAGAATAATAACCAATATCCAGCTATGGACATTTTTACAGTAATTTGAAAATAGCAGCAACATCAGAGATGTGCAGAATGACAGCAGCAGGTTATTTAACTGACTAAGGTAGAAGCTGAGCAGAATCAGCCTGAATGGAAGAACTGGTTGAGGTTGTTGGGAACAGTGGTGGTTCTAGAGTCTTCCAGCTGCTGGGAGGAAGGATCTGTGATAACGCTCCCTGGTGCATTTAAGGTGCAGCAGTCTGTCACTGAAGGAGCTCTCCAGTTCAGTACCAGCTGAACCAGCATGGGGGGGGACATTATCCATCAGAGATGTTCATTTAGTTAGGATCCATCTGTTTCCCACCTCCAGTCCAGAGGGCATCCAATCAGAGCTGGCCTTCCTGATCAGCTGATCCAGCCGCTTCCTCTCAGCTATAGATGAGCCGCTGCTCCAACAGACAGCTCCATAGAAGATGGCCGATGCTACAGCAGATACCAGTTTCTGCCTTTAAATATGGATGAAGGTTAACTTTACTTCATAGTTGCACTATAAGACTGTTAGCATCCTAAAATACATCCTTACCTTATTCCGCTTGGTTCCCTCCTGGTTTTTGGATTCCCTGTTTAAATTTTTTTTAATATTTTTATCTTTAAATATTTTACTATTTTATCCTTTTTTTTTAACCATTTCTGCCTTTGAACGTGGATAAAGGTTCTGATCCGTGGATGTTGTGTCATTACTGTTTTTCTTATGAATTGATAACTACCATCAAAGCTGTTTAAAGAACTCGGCTCTTTAAATGTTATTTTCTCCGGAATAAAAGACAAACCAAAGACTTTCATTATCTCTGCTCTCCCTGCAGGTAAACTCCTCAGGTGTGATGCCGTTGCATCGTTTGCTGCGTCCGTCCCTCTGCCACCCTCTGGCGGGCTGTGCCCGGGCGCTTCACTGCAGATCTCAGTGGATTCTGCGCTCTCAGGCTGAAAACCTGCTGCGGCGGCGGCCTCCGTCCCACCTGGTGACGCGGAAACAGAGCAGGAGGTCCAGGAGTCAGGAGGACGAGTGGAGGACCAGGAACAAGACGGTGCTGACGTACATCGCTGCCGCCGGGGTGGGAATGATCGGCCTGTCGTACGCCGCTGTGCCGCTGTACCGCCTTTACTGCCAGGTGAGACGCGCCCTGAGACACACAGCAGCCACGCATCTGAGTGCGCGGCGGCGGTGTGACCCCTTCGCCTTTCACACAGGCCGCGGGGCTTGGTGGCACGGCTGTAGCCGGGCACGACACGGACCAGGTGGAGACGATGACGCCGGTGAAGGAACGCGTCATCAAGGTCACCTTCAACGCCGACACGCACGCCAGCATCCAGTGGAACTTCAGACCCCAGCAGACGGAGATTTACGTAAGACTTCCCGCTCCACTTTACGCACTTCCTGTCAGAGCAAACATGGCGGCCTCCCCGCTGATCCCTCCTCTCTGCAGGTGGTTCCCGGTGAGACGGCGCTGGCTTTCTACAGAGCCAAGAACCCCACAGATAAACCCATCATCGGCATCTCCACCTACAACGTGGTTCCCTTTGATGCAGGGCAGTACTTCAACAAGATCCAGGTGATTTCAGAGCGTCGGAGCGCGCCGCCGTTTCACACAGCAGAGGGATTTTCTGGGACAGATTAACACAGACGGCTGTAGAATATTAATCAGGTTCATGTAGACCAGCGGTCGGCACCCACAACTCTTCACAGAGCCATATTGGACCCAAAAGAACTGTCTAGAGTCGCAAAAAAGTTAAAATCTTCTATAAGCCTCGTATGGCAACAAGGCTCTGTGGCGACGTTCACGCAGCAGTGACCCAAAACCATGATTTTGTTCTCATCCTCTGTTCTCTTCAGCCATCTTCCTGTTTTCCCTTTGGGATCCATGGTCCGACACAGACCCGCCCCTTTGTTTACAGCAGCCTCCTGCCTGGCAGCGCACCATGCTGAAACCTGCTGCAGCCATGATGCTTATATTCATTGACAGAAATGTTCAAATTTGTTGTTTAAATTATTTATTATACAAAATTTTACAGCATTTGAAACATAATGAATGTTTGTTTGACCTCCTGCACACCGTATGGAGAGAAGTATCAGCTGTGCTGCTGCCATCAACACCTTTGTTTCTAGATGTTGGAGCTTGGCCTGTTTTCCAGTGTGGTCCTGTTTCTCTGACTGTGACTAACTGGATGTGCTCTCTTCATCCTCTGACATGGGAGCTGGCTCGGAGCTCGTCTGCCTGGCTGTGTGTTTCCTGGACGGGGCCGCCTGTGGAGCTGGTTGACAGTTGCCTTTTGTATCTATGCTTCTTTTTCTATGTCTGCTTCTGTCTCCTTGAACCCCAGTGGGCCTCAGCAGATGGCCGCTCACACTGAGCCTGGTTCTGCTGGAGGTTTCTTCCTGTTCAAAGGGAGTTTTTCCTCTCCACTGTCGCTACAAGCATGCTTAGTGTGAGGGATTGCTGAAGAGTCAATGAGTCGATGCAATCAGCTGGTTTTCCTTAGATAGAAAACTTTGAATCAATCTGACTGGATGATCTGGTGAACTGGAAAGTGACCTGAGATGACATGATGGGAATTGGAGCTATAGAAATAAACTGCATAGAATTAACCATAGGTTAATAGAATCCATTGGGAATAAAACTGAAGCACATAAACCGGTTCAAACAGGAAACTCTGCTTCTCTCTGCAGTGTTTCTGCTTCGAGGAGCAGCGCCTTAATCCTCACGAGGAGGTCGACATGCCCGTCTTCTTCTACATCGACCCAGAGTTCGACGATGACCCGCGGATGGCTCGGGTGGACACCATCACGCTGTCCTACACCTTCTTCGAGGCCAAGGAGGGTCAGAGGCTGCCGGTGCCCGGGTACAGCTACAACTGAAGCGGAGGCGGACCTACGCCGCTCTTTTAATAAAAGGGTTTCAGTTCAAGCGGAAACATGGCGCTCACTCTAAGAACTCAAGTTTTTTGGAACGTCTTTTATTTTCTTACATCGTTGCTCTGAGCTGCATGTTCAGATCCAGAACAGAGGTGGGCCCAGAGACCCGCCTCCGGTCCGGAGCTGGAATCCAGGGTGAATGACAGACTGGAGCCGCTGATGGACTGACGGACTGCTGAGGAGCGATATTTATTTGTAATCACCCGTCTGGAAGCAGACCAATAAATCCTGATCATGCATCTCTGACTCTGTGTTAATAAAAAAATAAAGTATGTTTATAGAAATCAGCTCCATCTGAGAAAATTAGCCTTTTTTATTTACAGTTGTTATAAAATAATCCACTGGACTTTGTTTCCAAGTTTGAAGATGTTTCTCTTCCATCCAGGAAACTTTTTCAATTCCAAGGCTCTGTTCGAAAACCTAGGACGCATCCTTAGAAGACCGGATTCGAAGGCCGATTACGTCATAGCGCGGCGCCGAGGTCTGGTCGGATTCCAAGAGTCCTCGTTATGCGGCCTTAAAATGCGTCCTTATTTTTGCGCGATTTGATGGACGGGTCCGATGTATCCTCGGTATTCTTGGATATCCCAGGATTCATTGCGAGACCAAGCAAGCCGTGATCAGAGGAAAGGTTACTTGGCGCCGAACAGTGGTGAAAATTGGAAGTTCAGTTTAATATAATACAAGTCATTTAATAGTTCCATCTGAGATAAATGAAAAATAGTTGTTTTAATGGTTATAGAGTCAGATATGTGGCGGTAATGTTTGGTTTATCTAAAGGTTTTTATCTGTTACTGATCAAATGGGTTTGGCTGGAATTTAAGGACAGATTCTAATAGATCTGCAGGGTGGGGACTATAAATCTGATAGGATTTTTATCTTTTTATTGCTGTTTTGCAAAATATGCTTAACTACGTATTTTTGTTGTTGAATATTAGAGATTTTGCAGATATATTTTTTTATAAATAAATTGTTTAGATTTACTTATATCTTTCTACCCCTTTTATAGAATAGAATAGAAAATCTCTTTATTTTCCCACAATGGGCAAATTTACAGCAGCAGAAAGATTATTGAGAATGGTCACACAAATGTGGACCTTAGAAATATGTATAAGAATAACATAATAGGGAAGAGTTAAAATATAAACAATAAAATACTGTAAAGTGTTTTAACAATATAAAACTGGGGAATAAATAACCAATATGCAGCTATAGACAGTTTTACAGTAATGGATATTTGAAAATAGCAGCAACATCAGACATGTGCAGAATGACAGCAGCAGGTTATTTAAGGTTTCTATCATTACATTAGATTTTATTTGTTCCTGCTCCCGGTGGTTGGAACCTTTATTCCACTCTGGATTCTTGTGAGTGTAGTCTTTGTTCACTTCACAATAAAAAGGAAATAAACAGTTTTGAAAACGTCTGTATTCATTCTTTTCCTGCTTTGTGTGTCAACGTTCACGGTTGCTAAGCAACAGAGCATACGGCGGTAAAACCCGCCGAAGGGTGGACCTGGTCGAATTCACAGCCAAAACTCTTCCGGTCTCCTTATTTTCAAGGACTTCGAAGGATCCAGTCTAGGTAGACCGCGTCCTTGGAGGACACGTCCTAGGTTTTTCGAACAGAGCCCAAATGTCAGAAATAGCGTTTAGTTCCAGGTTTTATAGAGTGGTCTAACAAAGCCTGGTTTGGGTTTACAATGGTGACTATTAAACAACCTCCAGGTGCATTACTGCCACCTACTGGTAAGGAGTAACAGCTTCATCGGGGGTCAGAGGTTTGCTCTGGTGTTGGTTTTTAATTTTTGTTCCCACTTAAAAAAAACATCTGAAGTCACACAGATGTTTGAGCTGAAAAACAGAAAAAATGTGAAATTGTTATTGACTTTCATTTATAAATATAGATACCTGAAACCTTTAGCCCATAAGGAGCAGCTCAGGATACACCTGGACACATCAGTCTCTTCCTGGTTCTTTGGTTTTTTAAGGCTTTTCTCAGAGGCAGGTCTCCTTTGAACAGGGGTGGATTTAGGAAAAGGCAAAGAAAGGCAGGGGCCCCTCTGAATGGAGAAGACATCAAACAGCCCGATTCTCCAGATATAGAAATGTTAATAGAATAGACATCCATTATCTGTTCTAGGTTGTGTCCCTCTCTTCTTGTCCCTTTTCTTCTTGTTTTCCTCTCTATGTTTTGTACTCAGCTGACTTTTCATGCTGTCTCTAAAGGAATGAAAGATTTTTTCCAAGCACTAAGCTCACTTAGCTGATTGCTCCTTCCTGTGTTTCCAAAAAGGCCAAAGTAAATAACCCAGTCCTTCTTTTCACTGTAGACAAGCCATGATCTGCTTATCTGTTCTCCATTTTTCATTTGGATGAAATAATAGCTGCATGAATCATGACAGCAGACAAGATAGAGGAGAGCAGGAGGCGGGGTTACCAATCTACTCGCTCTGGAGAGCAGAGTTCCCTGCTTTTAGATGTTGTCTCCAAAGTCTCCAGTAGCAGAAAAAAGTCTCTAGATTTGGCGCTAGGAGCTTTTTAGAAATCAAAGTGCTAGAGGGGTCTGAAAAGTGGCTAAATATAGCGACTAAAGCGCTAAGTTGGCAACACTGCTCTTTGCATGGTTTGTTTTCAAATGGTTTGCTGCTGTCTGTTTGGACCTTTCTGAACATGTGCAGCAAATGGACTGATCCAATATGGTGGACACTGAAGGGGGGGGCTGAGACACACTTAATATTATCAGCGTTCTGATGGCATTTTAGCCAAAGGATTTTTATCAAAAACATAATTAATGTGCAAAAATAAGGAATAGTTGTATTAACTATACATGTAAACAGAGTTTTATGGGGCCCCCAGGAACTTGGGGCCCTAGGCACCTGCCTAATGGTAAATCCCTCCTCCTAGCTATGCATCAATAATCAGGTAAAAAATCCCTCTTATTGCTGCTTTACTGGGATAAATATTGAATCTTTTCTCTGAGTTAAACCTCTGAAAGCTGCTGATTTCCAATCAGATTAAACTCGAAGATTTTAATTCAATGCTTTGATCAAACTGATTTCTGTGAACATTTGTTTCATTAAATGAGGGGAACCAACAATGTGTGAAAATGGCAACATTTAGTGAAAGGACAAACAACGGAGAACACTGCAGGATCAATTAAAGAATGAATTATTCAATGATTTATAAACAATGAAAGGAAAGTTTGACTTAATTCTGATTTGTTTAGATCTCTCAGTCCGGTCGCTCTAAACTAAACTAACATGTTTTTAATCTGGATTTAAATCCTTTGAGGCTTTCAGAGCTTTTCCTGTTTTCTGGGAGTTTCTTCCAGATCAGTGGAGCAGAAGAAGTTAAAGCTGCTTCTCCATGTTTGGTTCTGATCCAGTAGACCTGAGAGGTCTGGCTGTTGACTCCCTGCCAATCTGACCAACTGAATGTTTTTCTTCCAATTTCCAAATTCAAATAAAGTTTTATTTTGAAATCCTTCCTGGTAAACCTGGTCTGAACTTTTCTACCTTGATCTCTGCTCCACAGAGAGCGGCTCCTCTGACTGATGTTCCTCTCCTCCAATCAGGGCTCCGGGTTGCCCTAGCAACTGATATTTGGGCCAATCAGATGAAAGCAAGCAGCTCCATCCCCGGTCTCCTCTGCAGCAGGGAGGCTGTGATCAGAGCCCACAGATCCGCCAGCTGGTCTGGGTCTACCCGCCAGTCCAGAACCAGAACCGAACCGTTTAGCAAGCAGACCGATGGGGGCGGGGGGACCAGGCCCTTAAAGAGGGGCCCCGGGCCCTCAGTTACTCCCCTTCCTCTGGACAGGAGGAGGCACAGCTCATGATGGGAAACAAGCTGCGAGGATGAGCAGCAGAACCAGAACCAGTCCGATCCGAATCTACGGCTTCCTGCTCAAGTTCCTGCTGGTGGGAGACAGCGACGTGGGGAAGGGAGAGATCCTGGAGAGCCTGCAGGACGGAGCCAGCGAGGCCCCCTACGGGTACAGCCTGGGTGAGTCAGAGGGGGAGGCTGGGGGGTCAGAGGGGGAGGCTGTGGTTCTGGGAGCCAGCAGCAGTGTGACTCCATCAGCTGATCATGATACCAAAGCTGCCTCATGACGTCATCATTTGTTTAATAACTTTTGCTTCATACCTAAACTGACTGTTAGCGTCCGAAAATACACGCTCACATTATTCCACTGTTTTTTCTGGTTCCCTCCTGGTTCTCGGTTCCCTCCTGGTTTTTGGTTCCCTCCTGGTTCTCGGTTCCCTCCTGGTTTTTGGTTCCCTCCTGGTTCTTGGTTCCCTCCTGGTTTTTGGTTCCATCCTGGTTCTCGGTTCCATTCTGGTTCTTGGTTCCCTCCTGGTTCTCGGTTCCCTCCTGGTTTTTGGTTCCCTCCTGGTTCTCGGTTCCCTCCTGGTTCTTGGTTCCCTCCTGGTTCTCGTCTCCCTCCTGGTTTTTGGTTCCCTCCTGGTTCTCGTCTCCCTCCTAGTTTTTGGTTCCCTCCTGGTTCTCGGTTCCCTCCTGGTTCTCGGTTCCCTCCTGGTTTTTGGTTCCCTCCTGGTTCTCGGTTCTTCCCTCCTGGTTCTCGGTTCCCTCCTGGTTTTTGGTTCCCTCCTGGTTCTTGGTTCCCTCCTGGTTCTCAGTTCCCACCTGGTTTTTGGTTCCCTCCTGGTTCTCGGTTCCCTCCTGGTTTTTGGTTCCCTCCTGGCTCTTGGTTCCCTACTGGTTCTTGGTTCCCTCCTGGTTCTCGGTTCCATCCTGGTTTTTGGTTCCCTCCTGGTTCTCGGTTCCCTCCTGGTTCTTGGTTCCCTCCTGGTTCTCGGTTCCCTTCTGGTTTTTGGTTCCCTCCTGGTTCTCGGTTCCCTCCTGGTTCTTGGTTCCCTCCTGGTTCTCGGTTCCCTCCTGGTTCTTGTTTCCCTCCTGGTTCTCGGTTCCCTCCTGGTTCTTGGTTCCCTCCTGGTTCTCGGTTCCCTCCTGGTTTTTGGTTCCTTCCTGGTTTTTGGTGCCCTCCTGGTTCTCCATTCCCTTCTGGTTCTCGGTTCCCTCCTGGTTATTGGTTCCTTCCTGGTTTTTGGTTCCATCCTGGTTCTTGGTTCCCTCCTGGTTCTCGGTTCCCTCCGGGTTCTCGGTTCCCTCCTGGTTTCTCGTTCCCTCCTGGTTCTCGGTTCCATCCTGGTTCTTGGTTCCCTCCTGGTTCTCGGTTCCCTCCTGGTTTTTGGTTCCCTCCTGGTTTTTGGTTCCCTCCTGGTTTTTGGTTCCATCCTGGTTCTCGGTTCCATCCTGGTTCTTGGTTCCCTCCTGGTTCTCGGTTCCCTCCTGGTTCTTGGTTCCCACCTGGTTTTTGGTTCCCTCCTGGTTCTCGGTTCCCTCCTGGTTTTTGGTTCCCTCCTGGTTCTCGGTTCCCTCCTGGTTCTCGGTTCCCTCCTGGTTTTTGGTTCCCTCCTGGTTCTTGGTTCCCTCCTGGTTCTCGGTTCCCTCCTGGTTTTTGGTTCCCTCCTGGTTCTCGGTTCTTCCCTCCTGGTTCTCGGTTCCCTCCTGGTTTTTGGTTCCATCCTGGTTCTCGGTTCCATCCTGGTTCTTGGTTCCCTCCTGGTTCTCGGTTCCCTCCTGGTTCCTTTTTCCCACCTGGTTTTTGGTTCCCTCCTGGTTCTCGGTTCCCTCCTGGTTTTTGGTTCCCTCCTGGTTCTCGGTTCCATCCTGGTTCTTGGTTCCCTCCTGGTTCTCGGTTCCCTCCTGGTTTTTGGTTCCCTCCTGGTTCTCGGTTCCCTCCTGGTTCTTGGTTCCCTCCTGGTTCTCGTCTCCCTCCTGGTTTTTGGTTCCCTCCTGGTTCTCGTCTCCCACCTGGTTTTTGGTTCCCTCCTGGTTCTCGGTTCCCTCCTGGTTCTCGGTTCCCTCCTGGTTTTTGGTTCCCTCCTGGTTTTTGGTTCCCTCCTGGTTCTCGGTTCCCTCCTGGTTCTCGGTTCCCTCCTGGTTCTTGTTTCCCTCCTGGTTCTCGGTTCCCTCCTGGTTTTTGGTTCCCTCCTGGTTCTCGGTTCCCTCCTGGTTCTTGGTTCCCTCCTGGTTCTCGGTTCCCTCCTGGTTTTTGGTTCCTTCCTGGTTTTTGGTGCCCTCCTGGTTCTCCATTCCCTTCTGGTTCTCGGTTCCCTCCTGGTTATTGGTTCCTTCCTGGTTTTTGGTGCCCTCCGGGTTCTCGGTTCCCTTCTGGTTCTCGGTTCCCTCCTGGTTATTGGTTCCTTCCTGGTTTTTGGTGCCCTCCTGGTTCTCCATTCCCTTCTGGTTCTCGGTTCCCTCCTGGTTCTCAGTTCCCTCTCACCTTTTAGTTATAAAATTGTGTTGCTTAAGCCGGCCAGCTACAGCACTGGGACTTGATCAACAGCCGATACCGCACCGTGACGTCACTAACCAGTAGGTGGCAGTAGTGTTCTTTGACAAACATGGATGCCTCCAGTAAAGCACATTCACATGAAAATTACTCTGAATTAAAAACACTGATCATTTATTGAACAGGATGGAATCATTTCACATTTAAAGAACTTTCAGAAGTTTGGATTCTGAATATGAGCGACTTTTCCTTTTAAGATAAGGAAATTAGACTTTTCTTCCCACCTTTTGTAGCATGTCTGTTAGTCTGTAAATGGGGCCCCGGTCAGTAGCTAACACTGTTTGGGGGCCTAGTTGTTTTACCATCCAGCTCCTGGCGGCCATCTCTCCAGTTTACAGGAAGCAGGACAGCAGCTGGATAGATGATGATAGATGATCTAATCTGGAACCGAGACGCTTCTGGTTCTAGCGCCGCCGCTCATCCAGCAGGAAGGAGTCAGACTGAGCCTAAATGGGCCATGAGGAGAAACTGAGCGTGGGCATCCGCTGCATCCAGCAGGACTAGTTACACCTTACTGCATGGTTATAGCAGCTCATTATATTAGCCAGCATTGATCCTGCTTCAAGCTGTGCAGCACCATTAGTGATGTTTATTCTTCACTTCCACCAGTTTATTGAACGTATTAGTTTCAGTTTTACAACTAGCTTCATTAGAAACTGGAAACCAGTGTTTCCAGTAGACATTTAGTGGGAAAAGGGGATTGTTGGAGACGTCCAGCTGGAATGTGACATCATTTGTCACTATTCTTTTATTCTTGATAGAGCTGGAAATGCAAACTGTTCAGGCTTCTTTCTTTCTGAACCCGGATTAGCAGCCCTCTGTGTGTCGTCTGGATTTAGAATAGAATAGAATAGAATAGAATAGAATAGAATAGAATAGAATAGAATAGAATAGAATAGAAAATGCCTTTATTGTCCCACAATGGAGAAGCAAAAAGGTTATAGAAAAAATGGTCACACAATGTGGAGCTTAGAAAAATGTATAAGAATAACATAATAGTGACGAGTTAAAAGATAAACTGTAAAGTGTTTTAACAATATAAAAACTGCACCTGGAGAATAAATAAGCAATATGCATCTATGGACATTTCTACATGAATGGATATTTGGATTTGATTAAAGTTGGAGCTGCTCCTGCTGTGGTTAATTCTATTCAGTTTATTTCTATAGCTCCAATTCACATCATGTCATCTCAGGTCACTTTCCAGTTCACCAGATCATCCAGTCAGATTGATTCAAAGTTTTCTATCTAAGGAAAACTAGCTGATTGCATCGACTCATTGACTCTTCAGCAATCCCTCACACTAAGCATGCTTGTGGCCACAGTGGAGAGGAAAAACTCCCTTTTTATTTCCATCTTTCTTAAATGAAAGATGGAAAAAAAATCCTGATTTTTTCCAATATTAAAGAAAAAAATAGAACAATTAATTAAAATAGGATAGAATTCAATCTGCACCAACTGTCTGCTCTAATATTAGGATTTGTATCAGTTCCTGTCAGTTAATCATGTGACCTAAAAGATATTGGAAAAACTGAGAAATGTTATTAAAAACAAAGGAAAAAAGATTCTTGGGATTCAGATGATTGTGTTTCTGCTGCTCTACTTTGTGTCGAGAGACTTTTAGCTCCGTTCTGGAGAAGTTGGAGAAAAAACTGAGTTCATAATGATTGATTTTCTACTAATGCTGAATAAAGGCTGATGTTTTCACATTTTAACCCTTTATAGGGCCTCAGTGAAATACTTTGGAAATCCACATTTCCAGCTAATAGTGTTATTGATCCAGGAAAGGACTTTATTACCTTTGGAACATTAAAAATGCTGATATTTTAATGGCAAAAATTAATGTCAATGGAATAACAAGAAAAATCATAAAAGTTCTTCTATAAGAAATTCATAAAAAAAAAAAACTCTGTGAGAAAAAGAAACACATTTTTATTTTGGTCCACCATAACCTTAGAGACACTGAAATTTTTTAGTTTATAAACCTAAATATAATTGTTAACTAGATTTATTAACTTTTTAACTTTACTTTGTCACTTTTCTATTAATTTTTACCTTTTTTTCTTGACTTGTTATCTTTTATCCAACTTAATTTCCAGTAGGTAATCTATCATTGAAGGGCTCATCTAATTGGTCAAATGCCAACATAAGATGTGCAGCCATGTAGCAGGATCTATGCTGGATGGATGGATATAGATCTAGTGCTTCTAGATCAGGGATAACTAATTAAAAATCAGCGGGATCCAAATAAAGAAACTCATCAACCAGTAAAGGTCCGGAGACATTTTTAATTATAATTCGTTACTTTAAACAGAATTTAACACTGAAATAAAATGAGGTTTTTACGCATCCATGTTAGACATTGACTTTTTAAATAAAAGAATATAAAAATAGGAAAATTTTTCCATTTTAAAATCTAAAGTAAAGTAGAGAAAAACAATCGTTCAGTTTGGTTTATAGACAATTTCCTGAATCCCATCTTTTATAAAACACCTAAACTGAGCGTTAGTTATTTTTCTTTTTTTTTCCGGCTTAATGAGAGCAGTGGGCTCAAAAACATGATCAAAAACGCTAACTTGCCCTATTTGCCATTTTATTACAGATGAGACTTTTACTCCTTTCTGATGGTGGAATCAATAAAGAGGCTTTTTATTTCACCTGCATTGACTCCAGAAAATGAGACGTAGAAAAATCCACAATGATCCAAGTTAGTCCAGAGGAACGAAGTCAAACAGAAGCAAACATGGCGGCCTGTGTTAGCTTGGTGAACCACAGATAAACACACCTGACAGGTTGGATTACTTCCTGTTTGGGAGGAATGTGTAGAAGCAGGAGACTGAGGAAGTCTTTCTGTTTGTCCTTTTCCAGGAATCGACTACAAGACGACAACCATCCTCCTGGACGGGAGGCGAGTCAAGCTGCAGCTCTGGTATGAAAACACGCCGTCCTGTGGTCCAGTAGACGGGCTGATTGTGGAACAGCAGTCCGATAATAAACAGTCAGCATGTGAGGCTCCTCTGACTCCTTAGAGAGGAGCCTCCAGCTTTTATTTTAATTTTAATTTAAAAAGCTTTTATTTTAAATTCTCTCTGCTGTGGAACCAGAATCCGGTTTCCCTCCTGCTGCTCTGCTGCGACGTAAGAAGATCATCTGTAAGTGAGAAATCCAGCTTTGGAGGCGTTAGAGAAGGTTTCACACCATCAGTCTGACGGTCCTTAGCTTTAAAATGATCCTGGTTTGGTTCTGGAGCTGCTTCTCAGCAGGACAGCAGATAATCAGAGAATGAAATGGTTCTGTAGAGCAGAACATTAGAGACGCAGCCTGAGCTGGACCTGAGCCTCCAGGTAAAGGTAGAACTGATGGAGTCTCTGCAGCAGCAGAACGAACCTCCGTGGTCCACCGATCCACATGACTCCCTCCTGTTGGACCAGAACCAGAACCAGGCAGCAGGACAGACTCAGATCAGCATCTGTCCCTCCAGCATCACTGAAATCCTCCTAGAAACCAGAACCTGGACTGGCTGCGGTCCTCCTGGGTCCATCTAAACATCCTTGCTGGTAGACAGTCAGAACCAGGACCACAGACCAGTTCTATTCAGTGTATTTCTATAGCTCCAATTCACATCATGTCATCTCAGGTCACTTTATAGATCCACATCAACCAGATCATCCAGTCAGATTGATTCAAAGTTTTCTATCTAAGGAAAACCAGCTGATTGCATCGACTCATTGACTCTTCAGCAATCCCTCACACTAAGCATGCTTGTAGCGACAGTGGAGAGGAAAAACTCCCTTTGAACAGGAAGAAACCTCCAGCAGAACCAGGCTCAGTGTGAGCGGCCATCTGCTGAGGCCCACTGGGGTTCAAGGAGACAGAAGCAGACATAGAAAAAGAAGCATAGATACAAAAGGCAACTGTCAACCAGCTCCACAGGCGGCCCCGTCCAGGAAACACACAGCCAGGCAGACGAGCTCTGAGCCAGCTCCCATGTCAGAGGATGAAGAGAGCACATCCAGTTAGTCACAGTCAGAGAAACAGGACTACACTGGAAAACAGGCCAAGCTCCAACATCTAGAAACAAAGGTGTTTATGGCAGCAGCACAGCTGATATTTCTCTCCAGGATGGAGTCAGTCTTGTACGTAAACACAGTGAAACGGTTGTTCAGACGGATCCTGTCTGCTGTCAGGAACAGAAATCAGTTTCTCAGAACCACAGAGGAAGTCCTTCTACAGATTTAATGCTGTTTGGTTCTGTTTGTTCCAGGGACACATCCGGACAGGGTCGGTTCTGCACCATATTCAGATCCTATTCATGAGGAGCGCAGGTATGGATCCTGGAGATTCTCCACAACTTTATTTTCTCTCATGTTAGTTGGGTTGGAGCGAACCGTTAGAACCAGCTCAGGTCCACTGAACCCTAGTTTTCCAGCAGTTTCAGAACCTTGGACAGCGGCCCTTCTGATCCTAGTTTGACCCAAACGATTAGAATTCGATCCAACGTTCCAATCAGAGCTCACCTCCTTCTCATCCTCTGACACTGTTTATACAACCGAGCTGTTGCCGAGCAGATATCGCCATAGCAACAGCTGCAGTGTTGCCATGGACGAGCTGTCAGAGGGTCTTGAACCTGGAGTCTGTGGAACATAGATCCACCATCACATTTTCCACTGATTGAACCTGGAACTCCCATCAGGCTTTGCTGCGTTTCACCTGAGCTCATAATCTCCTAGTTATTGACAGCATCGTCTGGAACTATTTCCCGCGGACATTAAAAAGTCGTGCATCTGTAGAGGATTTTAAAGAAAGTGGATCTTTTAATTCAGCTTCCTGTAAAATCTTCTTGTTTGGAATTTTTTTATGTTGGACAGAAAAACAGGAAAGTCAGATTTCTAATCTGCTATCAAAGACTCCGTGATACGCTGGACATTAAAGTAGCTTTCTGTTCTTCTCAGGGGGTTATCCTGGTGTATGACATCACCAACCGCTGGTCGTTCGATGGGATCGACAGGTGGATCAAAGAGATCGATGAGGTGAATCCATGAGTCGGTTAAAATCCCATCAACCTTCCTGTGCTGCTTCCCGTTTACCCAGCATGCTCCAGGAGTGCCTAAGATCCTGGTGGGGAACCGCCTTCACCTGGCCTACAAGCGTCAGGTGACCACGGAGCAGGCCCAGGTGTACGCCGAGAAGCTGGGCGTCACCTTCTTTGAGGTCAGCCCTCTGTGCAACTTCAACATCACCGAGTCGTTCACCGAGCTCGCCCGGATCGTCCTCATGAGGCACGGCATGGAGCGCCTGTGGAGGCCCAACAAAGGTCAGCGGCCTCAGCTGTTAGCGGGTCGGTTCAAGGCTGCCCCCTGCTGGACAACAGGGAAATTACACCTTTATTAATCCCACCAGGGGAAATTTGTCTGAGCAGCACAAAAGACAGACAAAAATAAATAAAAAACTAAATAAAAATGTAATAACAAAAGAAAATAAGATGATTAAAAAAGACAAGAAATGTGAAAAAAGCAACAAACTAAAGGCGTCTGCTCAGATTATAAAATGAACTTCAGTCTTCATGAACAGATATCCTCAGGCCTGTATTTATTTACATTTCTACAAAATTAGCTATTTCTGAATTTATGAAAACAAACAATTGTGTAGATTAGGTCTGAAACAATTAATCAGCTTAATTCTAATTAATTGATTGTTGAAATTATCATTAATTAATCTAGTAATAAATTAATTAATGAATCGTTAACTATAGCCCTAACCCTTACATAGAGTACTATCACTTCCACCTCTTCTTGACAGCAATAAAGAGTTCGGTACTGCTGGTGTGAAGTCAGTTTTATTGAAAATCTTCCTATAATTTCTTTGCCACTGACACCAAAACCACCGTCGAACTAAAATACAACATAAACTTAAGTGACATAAAAAATAATATAAATACATATAAACATACCTCGCTGGCTGACCCTTCCTTTTGAGGTAGAAATGAGAAATAAAGGACCTTTAAACTTAAATCTCTTTGTAAAACTTCTTGCAAATGTTATGCTGTGTGCATCTTTTCTTCTAGTTTTTCAGCGAACATGCTAGATTCCACTTCCTAAAGAAGCCTTTCAAAATAAGACTCATAATAACAAAAATAATTGCATAATACAAAATAAAACATGTAAACTAAAAATATGGCAGTAAAAAGTACTATATAGACCATTTTAGATCATTGTCCGAACGTCTAATGTATGGAAAACTACTGCATTCAAAAATTCCCACAATGCACCTTAAAATTCTGACTTGTTTGTTTTTATGAATTTTTAATGAAGCAGACTGTTAATTGGTTGCTCTCGGAGTGTTGACCTCGTTCACTGATGGATCTCTGTTCTTCGGCTCAGTTCTGAGCCTTCAGGACCTCTGCTGCCGCTCCATTGTCTCCTGCACCCCCGTCCACCTGGTGGACAAGCTGCCCCTCGCACTCAAGTCCCACCTCAAGTCCTTCTCCGTGGCCAATGGCCTCAACGCTCGCATGATGCACGGAAGCTCCTACTCGGTCACAGCTCACCACAGCGCCGCCAAGAGGAGTGGAGGGACGCTGCTGAAAAAGCCGAAACTGATCCGACCGCCGCCGCTCAGCCCGACCGCTCAAAGCTGCAGAAACGGCTGCAAAATATCCTAATGGCAGTGAAGGCATCAGCAGGTGCAGATGGGATTTATTAGCTCTGTGTGAAGAGCAGAAAACCAGAAAGAAAACGTCACTTTTTAAAGATATCCTCAAGATATCCTGCTGCCAGATTTGTACAGTTCTCCAAAATTATCAAATTAATGAAACAACTTATTGTTTCTTAATATGTTTTTTAATTCTTTATGAATTTAACCTTTTCAGACAGGACCTGAAACTTAAGTAAAATAAAACAAGTTGATAATTTAAAGGAAAAGTCGCTCATATTCAGAATTCAAACTTCTAAAAGTCCTTTAAATACAAAATCATTCCATCCTGTTCAATAAATGATCAGTGTTTTTAATTCAGAGTAATTTTCATGTGAATGTGCTTTACTGGAGGCATCCATGTTTGTCAAAGAACACTACTGCCACCTACTGGTTAGTGACGTCACGGTGCGGTATCGGCTGTTGATCAAGTCCCAGTGCTGTATCTGGTGTTTGTCACAACGCGCTATTATCCAAGTCATCTTGAAAACATTCTTCTTCCAAATGTTGGCTACATATTACGGGTTTTTTCTCTGGCCAGAAGTTCGATGGCAAATCCTCCCTCTTCAAGTTGGCGATCCAACGACCAACCCGTCCGTGGAGGATCAGGAATCAGAAAGGTGGAATAACTCTTTATTTCCCTTTTACCCGATGTATTCCAGCATCCAGCTGCCATGCACGTGGGCATTGTCAGTTTCACTATAGCTCTGGTGAATTTCAATGGTGAAGTCCTCTGGAAATCTTCAATAATTGTTGTTGATTGCAGATGTGTCTAGTAGTTCCCATTGATTTAGCTTGGAAAGCGGGGAGAATGGCGCTAGGCTTACCGCACCGTGACGTCACTGCTGGAAGATGGCAGGAGGGAGGGGCTACTAGATTTGGGCAAAAATGGCCGCTTATTGTTTTTATTGTTTTACCGATTAACACTAAATTCATTAAATCATTAAATAACTGCGAACGTATTACTTTTATATATAAATAATGATCCATTGGTTATTCCTGGCTCTCCTTTAAATAAGCTGTAAGCTACGTTGATCCAAACACAGAAACATGAAAAACTTATTTATTAACATTTTCTTTCTGGTTTTCTAAAAATAACATCCAGCTTCTTCTGGTTTTTTCCTGCCTTTCTAGTCCTGTTATCTCCTCAGTAGTGACACCTAGAGTTAAAATGAGGTATGACGTCTTACTGATTTGCTTGAAGTTTGACGTGACTCAGGTAAGGAGTTAAACAAATTAATGTCTCTGTTCTGTGAGGTGATTTAAAGCAGAACTTTCCTAAAGTTTGACTGTAATGTTTTAACTGCCATAAAGTCTGAGTCTGTGGTTCATCCACCAGGTCCTTACTCTGAATTTTTAGATGAGTTTTCAGAGTTCCTTTCTGATTTGGTATTAAATACTGACAGGGTCATCATAGTGGGAGATTTTAACATCCATGCTGACATTGAAGGCGATAGCTTAAGAGCAGCCTTTAATGCTATCTTAGACACTATTGGCTTTGTTCAAAATGTGAATAGTCCCACACATTCTCATCTTCATACTTTGGATCTTGTGCTGACATACGGCATAGAATGTGAAGAAATAACAGTGTTTCCTCACAACCCTGTCCTGTCTGACCACTTTCTAATAACCTTCAGGATTACTTTAACAGAATTCTCCTCCCCCAAAAGAAGGTTACATTTTAGTAGATCTTTATCAGATAGAGCAGTTATAAATTTTAAAGAATCTGCTTCACTTTCTCTCTCCTCTGTGTCGCTGAGCAGTGCTGCAGAGTGCAAAAGCTTAGCTTATTCCCCTTCACAGGTTGATGATTTTGTTGATGGGGTTGCTAGTTCTCTGCGTATTGCCTTAGACAACGCAGCTCCTTTGAAAATGAAAACCGTTAAAAATAGAAAGCTTGCTCCTTGGTTTAATGCAGAGCTGCGTACTTTGAAGCAAAATGCTAGGAAACTGGAGAGAAAATATCGCTCCACAGGCCTGCGGGAGTCCTTCCTAGTCTGGAAAAATGGTTTACTGCTGTATAAGAGGACCCTTTGTAAAGCAAGAGCAGCATACTTCTCCTCATTAATAGAGGAGAATAAGAATAATCCTAGATTTCTTTTTAATACAGTTGCCAAACTCACCCAGAGCCATAGCTCTGTTGAACCGTCCATTCCACCTGCTCTTAGCAGCAATGATTTTATGGGATTCTTTATAAATAAGATTGATCTTATTAAAAATAAGATCATAAGCACTCCTCTATCCGCGATTGTACCTGAGGTAGTCATGGAATCTGAACCGGGTTTAGACTGCTTTGATCCAGTTGAACTCTCTGAATTAGCAAAATTATTGTCTTCATCTAAGCCTTCAACTTGTATGTTAGATCCAGTTCCAACCAGGTTATTTAAGGAGGTATTCCCTTTGATCTCCTCCTCCATTTTAGATGTGATTAATCTATCTCTGTTACAGGGATATGTACCTAAAGCTTTTAAGGTTGCTGTAATTAAACCTCTGCTTAAGAAACCGTCTCTTGACCCAGATGACTTGGTCAATTATAGACCTATATCCAATCTTCCTTTCTTATCTAAACTCCTTGAGAAAGTAGTTGCCAAACAAGTGTGCAGTCACTTCCACCATAATGAACTTTTTGAAGAGTTTCAGTCTGGCTTCAGAGCTCATCATAGCACTGAAACAGCTCTGGTGAAAGTCATTAATGATATTCTCATGGCCTCAGATAATGGACTTGTATCTGTGCTCGTCCTGTTGGATCTTAGTGCTGCATTTGATACAGTTGACCATAATATTCTTTTAGAAAGACTTGAATATTTTGTTGGAATTAAAGGAACAGCACTAGACTGGTTTAAATCGTATCTATCTGATCGAATTCAGTTTGTTCATGTTAATGATAGATCTTCAACACGCTCAAAGGTTACCTGTGGAGTACCACAGGGATCAGTGCTAGGACCAATTCTCTTTACTTTATACATGCTCACAATTGGTAGAATTATTAGACAGCATGGGATTAATTTCCACTGTTATGCTGATGATACCCAGCTATATCTGTCTATAAATCCAGATGAAGCTAACCCATTACATAGATTACAGGCATGTCTTGAAGACATAAAAACCTGGATGACTCTAAACTTTCTGCTCCTGAATGCAGACAAAACAGAAGTTATAGTCTTTGGACCAGAGTCTCTGAAAAAGAAACTGATTAGCCAGTCACTTCATTTGGATGGGATTAAACTGATTTCAGATAATAAAGTAAAAAATCTTGGCGTTATTTTTGATCAGGACCTGTCATTTAAATCCCACATCAAAGAGGTTTCTAGAATTTCCTTCTTTCATCTGAGGAACATTGCAAAAATTAGAAATATCCTGTCCAGGGGTGATGCTGAGAAACTAGTCCATGCATTTCTTACTTCAAGGCTGGACTATTGTAATTCTTTACTATCAGGAAGTCCACAAACTAGTTAAAAGCCTTCAGCTGATCCAAAATGCTGCAGCCAGAGTTCTAATGAAAATGAAAAAGAGAGATCATATCTCTCCTATCCTGGCTTCTCTTCATTGGCTTCCTGTTAAATCCAGAATAGAATTTAAAATCCTCCTTCTCACATATAAAGCCTTAAATGGCCAAGCTCCATCTGATATCAGAGATCTGATTGTTCCTTATGTTCCTAACAGAGCACTTCGCTCTCAATCTGCAGGTTTACTAGTGGTTCCTAGAATTTCTAAAAGTAGAATGGGAGGCAGATCTTTTAGTTATCAGGCTCCTCTCCTGTGGAACCAACTACCAGTTTTAGTCCGTGAGGCAGACACCCTGTCTACTTTTAAGGCTAGGCTTAAAACTTTCCTTTTTGATAAAGCTTCTAGTTAGAGTGGCTCAGGTTATCCTGATCTATCTCTATAGTTCTGCTGCTATAGGCTTAGACTTTTGGAGGACATAGGGACCCCCATTTCATCATTCTGCTTCATTCTCTCTCTGTTCTCCTATTCTGCAGAATCTGTTAGTTCAATCTCTAACCTTCTGCTCTCTCTGCTTTTCCTCAGAGTAGCTTTGCCTCGTCTGTTCCTGTTTGGCTGTGACGTCATCCTGGAAAGAAACATCAGCTGTGCTGCTTCTATCAACACCCTTGTTTATAGATGTTGGAGATCGGCCTGTTTTCCAGTGTGGTCCTGTTTCTCTGACCGTGACTGAGTGGATGTGCTCTCTTCGTCCTCTGGCATGGGAGCTGCCTTGGAGCTCGTCTGCCTGGCTGTGTGTTTCCTGGACGGGGCCGCCTTTTACAGCTGCTTTTTGTATCTCTGCTTCTGTCTCCTTGAACCCCAGTCGGCCTCGGCAGATGGCCGCTCACACTGAGCCTGGTTCTGCTGGAGGTTTCTTCCTGTTAAAAGGGAGTTTTTCCTCTCCACTGTCGCTACAAGCATGCTTAGTGTGGGGGATTGTATTTGAGTCAATGAGTCAATGCAATCAACTGGTTTTCCTTAGATAGAAAACTTTGTATCAGTTTGACTGTATGATCTGGTTGAACTGTAAAGTGCCTTGAGATGACATGTGTTGTGAATTTGGCGCTATATAAATAAACTGAATTGAATTGAAATTGGTTGAACAGGGACACTGCTGCTCGTTCTCTAAGTGCTTATTGGGCTAAAATCACTTTGAAATGAAATGATTCTGGTTTTTCACACTTTTCTAACGGCACATTTACAGTTTTTACAACTATAATACAGTTTGTTTCTATTTATTTAAAGATGATAACAGTTATTCAAATGTAAATTTTCTCAATTCTATTTTTTAAATGTTGTATTTTTTTGCAACACTTTTTGTTTTAAATCTTAAAAATCAGAATATGTATTTTATAAGGCTTAAAATTGGTATCTTCTTAGAGGTTCGGTATTAATCTGTGATTTGACTGCGTGAGCGACGTTTACACTGCAAAAAATATAAATCTAAAAAGCTATTTTTTTCTTAAAATAAGTGCATTTTGTTTTGAATTCAGCAGAGAAGTGAGACACCTTGCAACGGAACAAGACAACAATTTACATTTAAAATAAGAAAAAGAAACTGCGTTGTCTTATTACAAGCACATATTATCCAATTATCTTATTAAAATACTAAAAATACTAATTTAATTGGCAGATCATCTTATTTACCTATAAAAATTAAGGGTAAATGTTTCAGAGGTGTGTGAAGTTTCCGTCATGCACACAGGAAAAACAATCTAGAAATAAGTAAAAATGTCTTAAATTAAATTCATTTACACTTAATTTTAGTAGGAAAATAAGATGACTTGCCAAGAGTAAAAATACTCATTCTAGAGTATTTTTACTCTTAGAATAAGATAATTCAATAATATGCTCTTGAAATAAGACAATGCAATTGTTTTTCCTTATTAAGTGTAAATTTCTTTTTTTCCATTGGAGAAATGTCTCTTTTAGCTCCTCAATTCAAGAACAAATACATTTATTTGAAGAAAAATGACTTATCTAGATTTAGATTTTTTTTTCCAGTGCAGGCTGACATGAAGGTGAAACTTTCCTGTGTTGCTCAGAGAGGTTTTATTTTGGTTTTTTGATTTTTAGCCTGAATCTGAAGCCAGCTTCTCCGACTGAATGTTGATCCACAGAGGATCCTTCACCCACAGAAATATTTCCACAGCATCTTCTTCCTCAGGAGGTTTTCTACGACATGAACGCACATCGAGCACCTCTCCTCTCACACCGACGTCTCTCTACCAGCATCTTTTTGTGTACAATATTTGTACGTGTTGAAAATATTCCTGTTAAAATGAGGTTTACTTGTGTTTTATTGCTGCTTTCAGTGGGATATTTTCTGCAGAAATAAATAAAAGTTCTGTTTATCCCTGATTCACAATAAATTGTCATATTCTGCATCCTGTTCTGTCCTCTTTCTGTTTAAACCGGGTTTAGTTTTTATGCATCGTCCTTCTTTAACTCTTTAATTCTTTACCAATTCTTTTCCTGTCTGCCCCCTCCAGCCTCTAACAGCTCATTTTCCAGGAGTCACTCAATGTTTTCCCTCCATCTATCTTCCTATCAGCTCTGCCTGTAAGTGGGGAAGGAAATAAACTGCTTTTTTCTCTGCATGTAAAGTTGAACATATTTTTATGTTCCTGCTCTGAGTGACAGGAAGCTAAAACAACTAGTATTTAATTATGGACAGAAATATGTAGGTGTTACATTAAGGTTAAGAGGAAAAAACTATAAAATGAAGACGACCTCAGAGAGGAGCTAATAAACGGTGAAGTACTCAACTGTAGTACTTCAGCAGAAGTATTGATACTCATAGTCAAATCTCATTCAACTACAAGAAAAAATTATTCTGTCAAACATCCACTAAGGTTAAAGGTATAGTGGAGGAATGTTACGAATTTTTTAAAAGACCCACCCTCTGCACAAACAAAAAAATGCACAAACGCACAACTCTGTACTGGCTCCCGAGAAGGAACACCTATTAAACACATGCGAGAGCGTGCACGAGCCCATTTCTCCTCGTGCACGCTCTGTTTTAATGACCCTAGTAAAGTCAATATACTCAAAAACATGTACTTAGTACAGTAATCAAGTAAATGTACTTTGTTTCTTTCCACCACTGCTGATAAAGAAGAAGAAAAAATGATATTTTAAACTGAAACTCTGACTAAACCTGCAGATTAAAGTGTTAAGCGCTGAATTACTAATTAATCTCTTCTGATTGTCATATTTATTCTTTATGAACTGAATTAAGAGATGAATATTAAATCTGTCAGAAAAGCTGTGTTCTGAGGGATGATCTGATCCAGGAAGCAGCTCCGGCCCAGCAGGGGGCGCCAGACCAGCGGATACTCCTCCATGGTGGGAAGGAAGAGCAGCAGGTGCTCCAAATGTGCTCCAAAAACTACTTAAAGTATAAAAGTATAAAGTAACCTTTAAAATAAAACAGCCAGATGCAGAATTTTTTTGACTATTTGTAAAAATTCTTGTAGATAGGACAAAGGATGAGGGAGGTCTGTTGGTCTCAGAAAATGGATAAATAGAAAGTATCGATAGTTGTGTGAAAATGTAATAAGTAGAAGTTAGGAGTAGGAAGAAAAATACCTAAAAGATACCTAAAAAGTGTACTTAAGCACAGTGATGAAGTATTTGTACCTCTGCTTAAGTAAGACAGAAATTAAAAGTTTTATTAAACAAAGACTGAAGGAAAGGTGGTAAAAGAAAAGAGAAGAAGATGTTTTTATAGGATTCAATGAAAGTCAGAGAAAGGAGGAGCAGAAAGAAGCAGAAGAAGATTTGGACGGACTGGATTAAATAATCCACTATTCAGAATTAGGAGACATATTTCAGGTAAATTTGAATATCAAGCAGAAACAGTAGAGCATGTAATTATTTATTGGAAGAAGTATGAAGAAGAAAGGTTGATTAGAAGGCTTACTAGGGAGAAAGTTACATTGGACATGGTGGATGTTCTGCAGAAAATTTAAAAAAAAATTAATGTTATCAATATTTATTAAAATATTGAATAATAACAGCAATAATTAGGTGGATTTAGTAAATATTATAGATAAGTATCTCTAGAAATAGCAAGTACATCCCGCTGCAGCCTGCGGGAAGGCGGGGCTTGACATCAAGCCCCGCCCACATCAAGGACAGCCATATTGGAAATGCTGACGTAACAGGGCAGGGAATATATAAAGATATATGTAAAGATATGTTTTCATCTTAATTGTGAAAAGTTATCCCTCGAGCCCTGACGTAAATAGTCTGTAAATTTAAACAAAAATACGCCGCACAGTGCTGAGGCATCATTAGTGTGTTCAGCTTGAATCAGCATGTTTGAGTAGCAGGTCGACCGCCCCAATATGGCGGCCGTAATTCCTGCGCCGCGACAGCCAATGCGGGGTCTACTGATTTTTTTTTATTTTTTATTTTTTATTTTTTTATTTCACTTAAAGTCACACAACAATATATAAACAAACAAACAAACAAATAAATATGCCAGGGGGTATGTCACAATAAACAAGTACAGTTAGGAGAAAAAAAACAAGCAATTATACAAACCTATGCGCTGGGGAGTGTCATATATATGTGTGTATGTGTTATACAAATAAATATATCTTTTACAACATTAAGTTGTCTAGAATTTCTAGTTGGGAACAGATTGTTATGGTTTTTTGAGCTTTCTGATGAGAAGAAAGATGAATTGTATGAAAATATTGTTTGACTTCTATTAAATAAGCTTTAAAGTCCGTTTTTTTTTTTTTAGAAATTTAAATTTATGCAAGTGAAATTTGGCCAACAAAAATAGAAGATTAATAAGGAAAGGTTTGGGAAACATTTTACTTTGCAGTTGAAAGCCAAATAAAATGTTTTTCCAATGAAGCTGAAAATTTTTCATAACATTTGAATTCACATAGTTGCAAAAGTGTAACCAAAACGTCTTAGAGTATGGACACAACCAAAACAAATGTGTTACAGTTTCTGGGAGAAGATCACAAAAAGTGCAGTTCACAGGAATATCAGGTTTAAACTTTTTTAGGTAGTCTTTTACAGGATAAATCCTGTTGGGGTTTATTGTTTATTGTTTATTTATTTGGATCCCCATTAGCTGTCAGTAATTTGACAGCTACTCTTCCTGGGGTCCCTTTAAAATTATACAGATACACATAACATTTCAAATGATCACATCATTAGAACCACGATACATTTCAAATTATATCACATTACAGTACAATATGTTACACAAATATTCATATATTAAGGCCATCAACAGTGTTTTTTTAAAAGTGATTTAAATGCACCTTTCGTAGTAGCAGTCGAGATGTTATGAGGCAGTTTGTTCCACAGAGTCACAGCTCTGAACAACACAGACCTGCACACTGCTTCTGTTCTCGGAATGGGTCGAGTCAAATGACCAGAAGCTGCCTGCCTGGTTGAATAATTGTGCTCATTTCTCACATAATGTAACAAACTGAACAAAAGAGAAGGTTTTCCACAAACAATAATATTTCTCAGGAAACACAAAACATTACATTTTAGTCTCTCCTCTACTCTGAGCCACGACAGACGCATATGCAGCTCAGCAGAGCTCTGAGTCCACACACAGCGCAGTCCCAGTGCCAGCCTGGCCGCTCTGTTCTGTGCAGTTTGTAATTTAGCCAGATGTTTCTGAGCTGCACCTGACCACACCACAGAGCAGTAGTCCAGGTGAGACAGCACTAACGATTTAACCACCAAAATTCTAGAGGCTGAGGTCATGAAAGATCTAAATCTTTTAATACAAGACATATTTCTTCCCATATTTTTCACCACCATATCTATATGTTTTTCCCAGGATAGCTGCTCATCAAATGTTACTCCAAGTAGTTTCACCTCTTGAACCTGTTCTATGTCCATATCCTTTAGCACAATATCAAGTTTATCATCACATTTTTTATGCCTAGCTTTAAATAACATACACTTTGTCTTTGAAACATTCAAGGTTAGTCTGTTCTTATTAATCCAGGCAAGAAGCACCTGCAAATCCAACTGCAGTGTTTCTTTTAACTCTGATATCTTTGTTGCTGCAAAGTAAAGTGTAGAATCATCTGCATAAAGAGTTATGCTGCACCTTTTTAGGACAAATGGCATGTCATTAATAAAAATTGAGAAAAGCAATGGTCCTAGGCAACTGCCCTGTGGTACACCACACTGCATTTGTTGAGGTGATGAGAAGCTTCCATTAAAAAACACACATTGTGATCTAGATGTTAAATAGTTTTGTATCCATTTCAGAGGTGTGGCACCAAATCTGTATGCCGATAACTTTTCAAGTAACATTTGATGATGCACTAAATCAAATGCAGCACTAAAATCCAAAAACACTGCACCAACTATCAGTTTTTTGTCTATGCTAGACAACCAATTCTCCGTCATTTCTGTAAGGGCTGTACATGTCGAGTGATTTTCCCTATATGCATGCTGTGATTCAAAAATCAATTTGTTACAGTTTAAATATGTTGAAATCTGTCCAAAAACAACCTTTTCCAGCAATTTACTAAGTATAGGCAGAATACTAATGGGCCTACTATTGACTGCAGAGAGGCTAACATTGGTAGTTTTTGAAAGAGGAAGTATTTTAGCAGATTTCCACATTTGAGGGAAGACCCCTTCTGTCAAGTTTAGATTAAACAAATGGCAGACTGGTGAAGCTATCACACTTGCAGCCATTTTCAGTAATCTGCCATCAATCTCATCCATTCCTGATGGTTTGTTTTCATGTAAACTTAGAAGCAAACTTTTAACTTTATCTGTGCTTAACAATTTAAATGTGAAATGACAGTTTTTATTCTTAACAATCAAATCATTGATTATTTGAGATGAAGTGCCCAGATTGCTGTAACACTTTGTGTCATTCATTAACTTATATATTTTATCATAATAATATTTACCAAAATGGTCTCTAATATCTTTACCTTTTGTTAAAAAAAAGTCCATTCACTTCTAAAAATGCTGGTGTCTTAATTTTGCTTCTGCCCATTAACTCATTCAAGGTATTCCACAGTTGTTTACCATCATTTTTCTTTTGATCTATCGACTTTCTATAATCCCTTTTTTTCTTTCTATTGAGCATAGTCACTTTATTTCTCTCTTTACAATAAGCTTTCCATTTCACAGGAAATGCCACTTTGCCTAAAACACAGGCTTCTTTTTTCAGGGAGTCTCTATGTGCCATGCTCTGTCTAAGCTCATCATCAATCCATGGGGCTTTGTTTGCTCTTACTGTAAACTTTTTAAGTGGTGCATGCATGGTCTACTGATATTATATTATTATTTGAACTTCCGCACCAGCAAGTATTTGGTTATATTGCTTTTCTTAATCAACGCTGGAGATAGGCACGAGCAACCCCCGCGACCCCATGAGGTATTAAGCGGGTCAGAAATTTGATGGATAAATTTTTTCTTAATCTGCGATGGACTGGGAATCTGTCCAGAATCCACTGCACCAGCCCTAACGACACCACTCTAGGGATAAGTGTGCGTGTATGATAATTATTGGATAGATAAATGTGTACTCAATGTAATGTACATTTGTCTCTAAACTACTAATTTAATTTACATTTTATGACATTTGTTTTTCATAGGGTTTGAGGATAGATAATTACATCTTCATAATAATTCCTTATTGCTGTTTATTTTAGACTGTTTGTTACTAATGTTATTTTAACATCTGAAAATTTAATAAAGATTTAAAAATAAAAAGGACATACCACGTGACAGACATACCATGTGACATACCACATTTTTTTGGCCATTTCTCTTGCCAGCGCCTAAAGGCAAGAGCGGTCAGCATTTCCAATATGGGATGGCAGTTATATTAAGCTTACAGTGGGTAGAGGAGGTTCGACCAGACAGGGTGGTGATATGTACAGACTCTAAAGCAGTGTTAGAAAGTATCCAGGGAGAAGGAAATAATAGGAAAGAGTTAGTACTAGAAATTATGCATAGTTTATTTAGATTATATAGAGGTGGCATTAATGTCTGGTTCTGCTGGGTTCCAGCTCACGAAGGGGTTAAAGGAAATGAAAAAGCTGATAAATTAGCAAAAAGGGCTTTAGAAATGACAATGAAGATGATAATTCCTTTCGGGAAAGGGGAAGGGAAATCATGTATTAAAATGAAAGAAATAAAAGAATGGCAAAAAAGGTGGAAAGAAGATAAGAAAGGGAGAAAATTACATAAAGTGCAAAAGTCAGTACTAATTAGAAATATTGATGAGAGAAACAGAAGGGAAGAAATAATTATGACTAGATTAAGAGTAGGACACACCTATTTAAATGACACTTTACATTTAATAGGGAAGAAAAGTAATGATAAATGTGAAGGATGTGGAGAGAAAGAAAATGTAGAACATGTATTAATGAACTGTAGAACATATGAATCTGAAAGAGAAAATCTGAAAAGAATTGTTGGAAGGACAGGAAAAGAAGTGAGTCTTAAAGGAATATTAGGAAATGAAGGAAACAGATTAATAAATAGAATTTAATAAATGTAGAGAAAATGTTGCTACACACTCGTGTACAGTAGGTGGCGGTAGGCACCTAAAAGTTACTTGCAATCCGCCATTAATGAAAAGAAGAAGAAGAAGAATTTCCAATATGGCTGTCCTTGATGTGGGCGGGGCTTGATGTCAAGCCCCACCTTCCCGCAGGCTGCAGCAGGATGCTTCTCTTCCCGCAGGCTGCAGCAGGATGCTTCTCAGAAATAGGGCCATTCTGACTTCCTCACCGCTTGGTGGCGGTAATGCGCTTAGAAAAAGTGCCGCCAATAAACTCAAGAAGAAGAGCAGCAGGTTTGTTTCCGGTCAGCTGGAATCAGAAGCTTGCTGTGATTTCTGGCTCTGATGGATTCAGCGGCTCTCAGATCGGACCGCCGGGATTAAGCTCACTGCACAGCCGAACCGAACCGAACCGGACGCCCTCCAGCCGGTTCGGATCCGCATGTTGGAACCGGAGCTGACTAGATGGTGGATCTAGAACCTTCTTCTTGCTCAGAAATACCAGCAGTTCCTCCAACTTCCTGCTCAGGTGAGATCTGTGCACAGGTGAGTCAGGTTCAGGGGAGTCCAACAGAACCAGAACTCCGAACCGTCCTGCTGCTGGTTTGGATCGTTTATAGAAAATAAAAAAAAGATCCCAAACAATCAGATCCATCATGATTCTCATCCTGAATCATTGGTTCTGCTCAGCTGACAGCTGTCATGCTGTGGGCTGCAGGGCAGAGAGAAACATGCCTGGATCCAAGTTCTTCATGGGAAGTTTGGTGGAAGGAAAAACTCAGGTTGGAAAGTCAGATGGAGCAGACAGGGGGCCCCTGAGGGCCCATCTGTTCGATGGACCTGGCACTTCTCCTGAGGAGCTGTCCTGATCAAAGACCTGATTAAGAGTGAACCTGACTGTACGGGCGCCATCTTGGGGAGGTCAACCTGCTGCTTTAGGCAGAGCAGAAGAAGGCTGCCTCAGCGCTGCAGCAGATTTTTGATTAAATCAACAGACTGATGACATCAGAGATGGAGGGAGAACTTCCTGAAGGCATCAGAGCTTTGGAGACATTACTGAATGAACAGCAGATATACACAACATAGATTAGAAACTCCCTTTACTGTCCCACAGTAGGAAAAAAAATAAAAAATATCCAATTTTATTAGTTAAGCACTTAAAAAAAAAAACAGCAGTGCTGTAAAGAAAAGTAAATAAATAAGGAAACATAAATAACTATAAATAAATATATATCCAGACGTAGAGCAGAATCCAGACTGGTTTATATCTCAAGCACCTCAGACATTCCAGATCCATTCAGACTTCCAGGAATGGTTCCTCAAGTAGAGGCTTTCTCCTCTGACTGGATCCTGATCCTGATCCTGATCCGGATCCTGATCCGGATCCTGAGGAAGGTTGAAGGTTGGATCAGGGCTGTGGATGCAGTCCTGCTGTAATTCTCCTTCTTCTGCTTGTTTCTGTCTGCAGCCGACATGAAGCTCTACCACCGCTGCTTGGTCCTCCTGCTCCTCTTCGCCTCCGTCTCGGCTCACAGGGACTTCTTCACCTCCATCGGTGGGTTTAGGCCCTTCCTCCGCTCCTGCTCCCTTCCTGCACATCTAAACTGTTGCTTCTTCTCAGGTCACATGACGGACCTGCTGTTCATGGAGAAGGACCTGGTTTCCTCTCTGAAGGACTACATCAGAGCAGAGGAGGACAAACTGCAGCGAATCAAACGGTGAGGTGGACCCAAACATCTCAGCAGCTCTGAGCTGCAGACTGGCGCAGGTAGCTGAAGGTGTGTGTGTGTGTGTGTGTGTGTGTGGGCGGGGCCTTCAGGTGGGCGGACAGACTGGACGCCCTGTCAGCTGCTGGCTCTCAGGATCCTGAAGGTTTCCTGGGTCACCCGGTGAACGCCTTCCAGCTGATAAAGAGGCTGAACACGGAGTGGGCGGAGCTAGAGAGCCTGGTACTGACTGACGTGTCCGACGGTAAACACACACACACACACTTTTAAAGTCTGGCTTCCTTTAAACTTTCCTAAAGTGCAGAACATCTGGAGTTGGTAAAGAGAAATCTTTTGGATCCTGTAGATCCGTTCATCTGATGTCTGGATAAAAGATGAGATCCCGGTTCTGACAGATTTCTCGGCGGTTTTTAGCATCGTGGTTCTTTCAGATCGTTGCTCAGCGTCCTGGACCTTTGGGTCGTTGACCTTTGGGGCGATGATAGATCAGCTCTCCATCTTTTCTATTTTTACTCTAATGTGCTGTTCCTAGAAACTAAAAGGCTGCTTTCCGTTGTTTCCAGGTGATAGTCAGACCCATCTGCTCTAAGCTGTGGCTCCTTCTGAGCAGCAGATCCTCCTCAGATGAGGCATAAACCCCTGGAGTACGGATGGAAAAAGGCCTCCTGACTCGTCGTTTCTCCCCGACTCGTCGTTTCCCCCCGTCCCGTCGTTTCCCCCCGACTCGTTGTTTCTCCCCGACTCGTGGTTTCTCCCCAACTCCTCTTTTATTCCCGACTCGTGGTTTCTCCCCGACTCCTCTTTTATTCCCGACTCGTGGTTTCTCCCCGACTCCTCTTTTATTCCCGACTCGTGGTTTCTCCCCGACTCCTCTTTTATTCCCGACTCGTCATTTCTCCCCGACTCGTTTTTTCTCCCCGACTCGTCGTTTCTCCCCGACTCGTTTTTTCTCCCCGACTCCTCTTTCATTCCCGACTCGTTTTTTCTCCCCGACTCCTCTTTCATTCCCGACTCGTCGTTTCTCCCCGACTCCTCTTTTATTCCCGACTCGTCGTTTCTCCCCGACTCGTTTTTTCTCCCCGACTCCTCTTTCATTCCCGAATCGTCGTTTCTCCCCGAGTCCTCGTTTCTCCCCGAGTCCTCGTTTCTCCCCGACTCCTCGTTTCTCCCCGAGTCCTCGTTTCTCCCCGACTCCTCGTTTCTCCCCGACTCCTCGTTTCTCCCCGAGTCCTCGTTTCTCCCCGACTCCTCGTTTCTCCCCGAGTCCTCGTTTCTCCCCGAGTCCTCGTTTCTCCCCGACTCCTCGTTTCCTCCCGACTCGTCGTTTCCTCCCGACTCGTCGTTTCCCCCCGATTCCTCTTTTATTCCCCACTCGTCGTTTCTCTCGGACTCGTCGTTTCTCCCCGACTCCTCTTTTATTGCCGACTCGTTGTTTCTCCCGGACTCGTTGTTTCTCCCCGACTCCTCTTTCATTCCCGACTCGTCGTTTCTCCCCGACTCGTCGTTTCTCCCTGACTCCTCTTTTATTCCCGACTCGTGGTTTCTCCCCCACTCGTCGTTTCTCTCGGACTCGTCGTTTCTCCCCGACTCCTCTTTTATTCCCGACTCGTCGTTTCTCCCCGACTCGTAGTTTCTCACCGACTCCTCTTTCATTATCGACTCGTCGTTTCTCCCCGACTCGTCGTTTCTCCCTGACTCCTCTTTTATTCCCAACTCGTGGTTTCTCCCCGACTCGTCGTTTCTCCCTGACTCCTCTTTTATTCCCGAGTCCTCGTTTCTCCCCGACTCGTGGTTTCTCCCCGACTCGTGGTTTCTCCCGGACTCGTCGTTTCTCCCCGAGTCCTCGTTTCTCCCCGACTCGTCGTTTCCCCCCGACTCGTCGTTTCCCCCCGAGTCCTCGTTTCTCCCCGAGTCCTCGTTTCTCCCCGACTCATCGTTTCCCCCCGACTCGTCGTTTCCCCCCGACTCGTCGTTTCCCCCCGACTCGTCGTTTCTCCCGGACTCGTCGTTTCTCCCCGAGTCCTCGTTTCTCCCCGACTCCTCGTTTCTCTCCGACTCGTCATTTCCCCCCGACTCGTCATTTCCCCCCGACTCGTCGTTTCTCCCGGACTCGTCGTTTCTCCCCGACTCGTCATTTCCCCCCGACTCGTCATTTCCCCCCGACTCGTCGTTTCTCCCGGACTCGTCGTTTCTCCCCGAGTCCTCGTTTCTCCCCGACTCCTCGTTTCTCCCCGAGTCCTCGTTTCTCCCCGAGTCCTCGTTTCTCCCCGACTCCTCGTTTCCTCCCGACTCGTCGTTTCCTCCCGACTCGTCGTTTCCCCCCGATTCCTCTTTTATTCCCCACTCGTCGTTTCTCTCGGACTCGTCGTTTCTCCCCGACTCCTCTTTTATTGCCGACTCGTTGTTTCTCCCGGACTCGTTGTTTCTCCCCGACTCCTCTTTCATTCCCGACTCGTCGTTTCTCCCCGACTCGTCGTTTCTCCCCGACTCCTCTTTTATTCCCGACTCGTCGTTTCTCCCCGACTCGTAGTTTCTCACCGACTCCTCTTTCATTATCGACTCGTCGTTTCTCCCCGACTCGTCGTTTCTCCCTGACTCCTCTTTTATTCCCAACTCGTGGTTTCTCCCCGACTCGTCGTTTCTCCCTGACTCCTCTTTTATTCCCGAGTCCTCGTTTCTCCCCGACTCGTGGTTTCTCCCCGACTCGTGGTTTCTCCCGGACTCGTCGTTTCTCCCCGAGTCCTCGTTTCTCCCCGACTCGTCGTTTCCCCCCGACTCGTCGTTTCCCCCCGAGTCCTCGTTTCTCCCCGAGTCCTCGTTTCTCCCCGACTCATCGTTTCCCCCCGACTCGTCGTTTCCCCCCGACTCGTCGTTTCCCCCCGACTCGTCGTTTCTCCCGGACTCGTCGTTTCTCCCCGAGTCCTCGTTTCTCCCCGACTCCTCGTTTCTCTCCGACTCGTCATTTCCCCCCGACTCGTCATTTCCCCCCGACTCGTCGTTTCTCCCGGACTCGTCGTTTCTCCCCGACTCGTCATTTCCCCCCGACTCGTCATTTCCCCCCGACTCGTCGTTTCTCCCGGACTCGTCGTTTCTCCCCGAGTCCTCGTTTCTCCCCGACTCCTCGTTTCTCCCCGAGTCCTCGTTTCTCCCCGAGTCCTCGTTTCTCCCCGACTCCTCGTTTCCTCCCGACTCGTCGTTTCCTCCCGACTCGTCGTTTCCCCCCGATTCCTCTTTTATTCCCCACTCGTCGTTTCTCTCGGACTCGTCGTTTCTCCCCGACTCCTCTTTTATTGCCGACTCGTTGTTTCTCCCGGACTCGTTGTTTCTCCCCGACTCCTCTTTCATTCCCGACTCGTCGTTTCTCCCCGACTCGTCGTTTCTCCCTGACTCCTCTTTTATTCCCGACTCGTGGTTTCTCCCCCACTCGTCGTTTCTCTCGGACTCGTCGTTTCTCCCCGACTCCTCTTTTATTCCCGACTCGTCGTTTCTCCCCGACTCGTCGTTTCTCACCGACTCCTCTTTCATTATCGACTCGTCGTTTCTCCCCGACTCGTCGTTTCTCCCTGACTCCTCTTTTATTCCCAACTCGTGGTTTCTCCCCGACTCGTCGTTTCTCCCTGACTCCTCTTTTATTCCCGAGTCCTCGTTTCTCCCCGACTCGTGGTTTCTCCCCGACTCGTGGTTTCTCCCGGACTCGTCGTTTCTCCCCGAGTCCTCGTTTCTCCCCGACTCGTCGTTTCCCCCCGACTCGTCGTTTCCCCCCGAGTCCTCGTTTCTCCCCGAGTCCTCGTTTCTCCCCGACTCATCGTTTCCCCCCGACTCGTCGTTTCCCCCCGACTCGTCGTTTCCCCCCGACTCGTCGTTTCTCCCGGACTCGTCGTTTCTCCCCGAGTCCTCGTTTCTCCCCGACTCCTCGTTTCTCTCCGACTCGTCATTTCCCCCCGACTCGTCATTTCCCCCCGACTCGTCGTTTCTCCCTGACTCCTCTTTTATTCCCGAGTCCTCGTTTCTCCCCGACTCGTGGTTTCTCCCCGACTCGTGGTTTCTCCCGGACTCGTCGTTTCTCCCCGAGTCCTCGTTTCTCCCCGAGTCCTCGTTTCTCCCCGAGTCCTCGTTTCTCCCCGACTCGTCGTTTCCCCCCGACTCGTCGTTTCCCCCCGAGTCCTCGTTTCTCCCCGAGTCCTCGTTTCTCCCCGAGTCCTCGTTTCTCCCCGACTCATCGTTTCCCCCCGACTCGTCGTTTCCCCCCGACTCGTCGTTTCCCCCCGACTCGTCGTTTCCCCCCGACTCGTCGTTTCTCCCGGACTCGTCGTTTCTCCCCGAGTCCTTGTTTCTCCCCGAGTCCTCGTTTCTCCCGGACTCGTCGTTTCTCCCCGACTCGTCATTTCCCCCCGACTCGTCATTTCCCCCCGACTCGTCGTTTCTCCCGGACTCGTCGTTTCTCCCCGCATCGTCGTTTCTCCCCGACTCGTCGTTTCCCTCCGACTAGTGCTTTCTCCCTTACTAGTGGTTTCTCCCTGACTCCTCATTTATTCCCGACTCGTGGTTTCTCGCCGACTCGTCGTTTATTTTTCGTTCCCTTTAAATCCAGGATAAAATGTTGGATAATCTTTCCTTGTTTTTTCTTAGGTGTGTATTTTTATTCTATTTTCTGTTCTCCAGTTTTTCTCCTTTTTTCAGCGTTTAACGCTCGTCGCTGTGCTCAGTGTTGATAATGAACGGCTAGCTTTGCTAAAGCTTCTTTTATTTTCTGGTCCTCCAGCGTTCGTCTCCAACCTCACCATCCAGAGGCAGCACTTCCCAGGCGATGACGACCAGACGGGAGCAGCCAAAGCTCTGATGAGGCTGCAGGACACCTACCAGCTGGAGACGGAGGCCATCTCCAGCGGGCGGCTGCTCGGTCGGCTGATTCTGGGTCAGAGCTGAAAGCCGCTGGTCCTTCAGCCTGGATGCTGACAGCAGCTCCTGTCTCCTCTTTCAGGCTCTGAGGCGCTGCTGAGCAGCAGGCTGACCGTAGAGGACTGCTTTGACCTGGGGAGGGTGGCGTACGCCGAGGTGGATTATTACCACACGGAGCTGTGGATGGCGCAGGCCTTAAAGCAGCTGGACCGAGGGGAGCGGTCCGGCACCGTGGACGCCGTCGCCATTCTGGACTACCTCAGCTACTCCGTCTACCAGCAGGGGGAGCTGGAGAGAGCGCTCGACTTCACTAAGAGGCTGCTAGAGCTGGGTCGGTACCACCAGAACCAGAGTCCAAACTGCATGGTGGCTGTGGGTTGAAGCTAGGGCTGAACGATTTTGCCAAAAAAATCAAAATTGCGATTATTTTTCACCAATGGTACAATAACTTTATTCTCGAAATAAAAAAAAATGTTGGAATAATTTTTTATTTTTTTTTCTGAGTCCTGAAGGTTCTGGGTTCACTGATTAAAAGTTCTGGCTCTGTCCGGTTAGATCCATCCCACCAGCGGGCCAATGGCAACCTGAAGTACTTTGAGTACCAGCTGTCCAAACAGAGGAAGATGGAGGATGATGATGAGGAGCAGCGGAGGTTAAAGAAGGAGAACCGGGGTCGCCGTGACGACTACCTGCCTGAGAGGAATCATTACGAGAAGCTGTGCCGCGGCGAAGGCGTCCTGATGGTGAGCCGGCGGAATCGCACCCTGTACGGTCTGTGTGATGTCATCAATGTCCACAGCCAATCAGCTTCTGCTCTCCTCCTGTCAGACTCCTCGCAGGCAGAGCCGCCTCTTCTGCCGTTACTATGACAACGGACGGCACCCCAAGTTGGTGATCGGACCGGTGAAGCAGGAGGACGAGTGGGACAGCCCGCACATCGTCCGTTACCATGACATCGTGTCACGCAGAGACATGGAGAAGGTGAAGGAGCTGGCCAAACCCAGGGTGAGAAGATGGCGGACGGCGCGGTTCTGATTAGGAGCGTAGAACAGACCCGGCTCTGGAGGCGGGTCAGGAGTGCTGCATTGTGGGAAGAGAATGGCTTTATTTATCCATGCAATCTGAAAAGTGCGGCAGGCTTCGCTCAGACTCTGGGTTGAACTCAGGTCTGGACTTTGACTAGGCCGTTTCATTATAGCTCTCCTCTATGGCAGCCAGGCTGCAGAGCTCTTCCAGGTTCCGCCTCCAGCCTGACAGGTTCTCCTCAGAGTCGGAGCAGCATCATCTTTAGCCACTGTTGTCATGACGACCAGAGACAGGGCTGTATTAATGCTGTAACTTTGGGCTTCACAGCTCCATCGAGCCACCATCTCCAACCCGGTCACCGGCGTCCTGGAGACGGCCCACTACCGCATCAGTAAGAGGTAAGAGATGGACCTCCTGTCTCCGTCTGTCTATGTCTGTCTCTGTGGTGTCCCCTGGTGGATGGATCAGCTTAGAGGAGCCAGGAGTTCCTGCCCGTCAGACGGGCAAACTGTCCGCAGCTCCTCAGAGCCTCTAAGAGGGGAGAAGCTGCTGGTTCTGATCGGATCAGAACCACAGATCAGGAGGAGCTGAGGACCTTCAGCCTCCTGGATCCTCCAGAGACCATCTGGATCCAGACTGCAGTCGACCTCCTCCATGTGGACCTGAGCAGCTGGAGCATCATGACAGACCTGATGCCGCCGCCGCTCATCCTGTGATGCCTGACTGACGTCTCTGTGTCCGTCTGTCAGCGCCTGGCTGGGAGCCTTCGAGCATCCTGTGGTGGAGAAGATCAACCAGCGGATCGAGGCCGTCACGGGGCTGGATGTCAGCACGGCGGAGGACCTGCAGGTGACCTCTGACCTCTGGCCTTGCTGTGTTTCATACAGACGCTTGTTTGGGGGATTAACGGGGACTGCTTGTCTCCTGCAGGTGGCGAACTACGGCGTAGGAGGACAGTATGAGCCTCACTTTGACTTTGGACGGGTAAACATCTGATAACTTTAATCCCCTAAAAAAGATTAATCCGACTTTAAGCCAGAGTGGAAAACTGTCAAAGTACAAAAAATATGTCTTAATATTCTTATTATTATTTTTAATTTCTTCCTCTACTTAATAATAATAATAATATTTCTATTATTCTGAATAATTGTTTGGAGAGCAGAGATCAGTCTTTATCTGATGAATAAATTCTTTATATAATGTACATTTTATTTATCTTTTTTGTTTATTTTTGTAAATAGATAATAAAATTTAAATGTAAATAATTTATGTAATTTTTGTTTTGTTTTTTAAATCCAAATAATGTTTATTATCATAATAATTAGATGTTATAGTTAAGAAGGATTTCAATGATAATCCCATAAATTATTAGGAATATTAATGAATTAGGTTTTAGACAATAAACCCAGAATAAATCTTTGTTATCTGGGATTATTGGATCAGATGTTCCCAGCAGAAGAATCCCGGTTCTGATGGAGAACCGCTGGGAACAGATCGGATCTACCTTCACACATCTCAGCTGAAGGTTCTTTAGAAAACCGGATCTGTGCTCCACAGATTCCTGCAGGTTCTGGGTCATCATTGGGAAGAGGAACGGAATAAATTCCAGAAATCCATCCATGTAAACGTTTGTGTTTTGCAGAAAGATGAGCCGGATGCGTTTGAGGAGCTGGGAACCGGGAACCGGATCGCCACCTGGCTGCTCTACGTCAGTTCCCTCCTCAGCATCACTTCCTTGTTTATGTTTCCTTTCTTGCTCATCAGCTGATCGTCTCCTCCTTCCTGCTGCAGATGAGCGACGTACAGGCAGGGGGCGCCACAGTCTTCACGGACATTGGTGCTGCCGTCCAACCGAAAGAGGTGAGCTTCTGCGCCACCTGCTGGTGATGCAATGTAATGGATGTCACTGCCCGATCCGTCCAGGAAGCACAAATCCTGCACTGCTGCAAATACATATAGATCCAAGTCTCCATAAATAATGTAATGATGGTACTAAAATCACTTATTTCTATCCTTAACTCACTAAAGTATGCTAACACACATCTTTAAAAAATGTTCTATGAATTTAGTGAGGCAATTTTGATGCTTTTTAGATTTTCTCCATTTAACAGCTTGCCTGACGTCATCATGGAACATCAGAGCAGTCCGGCTAAATCTGTTTTTCTGCATTTTAATTGTTTCTTTCTTTAGTTTACTCACTATATACCATAACTTTAACACGAAAGGAAAAGATAAAACTCAAAAAGAGTAGATTTTATGTTTAAATCCAAAGTGGAAAAAGTTAGCTCCTGGAAGTAGCGTAGGATCCCATCTGCTGTACAGAGCAGGAACAGATGGATAAAACGGAAAGGATTTAAAGTCATAGGGAAATCATATTTAAATGTCAAATCATTCTGGCTTAAACATCTTTATCAGACCATATTGTCCCAAAATTTAGAAAATTTCTATTTAAAAAAATCTTGTCTTAAAATCTGTGTTTTTTTCTGTTATCTTCTGCAGGCCAGTTAGCTCTACGTCAGCCTGAAGACCTAAATTCGGCCAATCATATATCAACGGTCATCTGTCAATCAAATGTTTTTGGTCATAGCATCTTGATTCATGTGTCGCAGCTAATATACGCAATGGTTCAAATCAGAATCCTTTCCTTTCCCATTGAGTTGCGTCCCAGTGTTCACGGGGATGGACGTCTGTGTCTTCGGCAGGCGTAGAGCTAACAGAACTGGCAGCGTTGCGAGGCAAGGGCTCAAACATGGACGGCTGGAAGCCTTCTACACCAAACCAAGCTTCTGCCGCCCTGGCGTCCTCTTCCACAACATCTTCGTCCCCGCTTTCCTCCTCTAAATAAAAAATGGATGACCGAGGAGACTCATCCACGACCTCCGACACTAAACTCTCCTCCTCTTGCATGTTTCCGCTGTCCATAGCGTTCCTTGACAGCGTCGTTTCTAAGTTGCTAACTGGTTAGCAAGATGCTTCCAACAAACCGGCCACAATCAAAATTGCTTGCTAACCTTCCGCCACAACAATCCCGCCCCTTGATAATTGACCAATCACATTCACTTTATTCACTCAAGTAAAGTCGTGCACCACTCGAGAGGATTCGGAAATGTAACGTTTGGAACAGCTGCTTCCCTACGACTTAAAAATACATTATTAACCTTTTAGACATTATAGTATTTCTGGGGAGGGAAAAACGTTATTTATGTCTTTATAACAACGTACATTTGCGGGTGACCTGGATGGATCGTGCTTCCAGGTCGGATCAGGTAGTGACGATGGAAGGAAGGAGCACTGGTTTCCTGTGCAGGAAGGGAAGCTAATCCTGTGTGACCTTTGACCCTGTGGCTGCAGGGCTCAGCCGTGTTCTGGTTTAACCTGCATCCCAGTGGAGAGGGCGACTATCGGACCCGACACGCTGCCTGCCCGGTGCTGCTGGGAAACAAATGGGGTGAGAAACTGTTGGGGTGTCCTCCATCATGACTGGGAGCAGAAACACTCGGCTGTTGTCGGGCTCCTGCGGGTTGGAAAAACCTGGAAGTTTCTGTTCCGAGGAGGCCAGCAGCTAGCAGGCACCCTCAGCTCAGTCGGGTGTTTCTGCTCCATCTCTCCGAACCTTTCATTTTTTCTGAATAAACTTCCACAAACTCTCTCCTTTAGTTTCCAACAAATGGATCCATGAACGGGGCCAGGAGTTCAGGAGGCGCTGCGGCCTTCGCTGGATCGACTGACACTCCATCCTCTCAAACCTTCTCCTCATCTGGGCTGAGAGCTCATCTGTGTGTGTGTGTGTGTGTGTGTGTCAGAACTTCCTGCCTCAGAGCAGCTAAAACATCAGCTGGGGATTGAAATTCCCATGATGCAAAGTGCCAATTAGATTAAGCTCCACCCACTCCTCTGCAAAGATGTTTACACTCCAGAACGAATCTACAAACTACTGATTAGACTCGCAGGAGGAGGCCGTTAGCAGCCGGATCGATCTGGATTTTAACAGATTAGAGATGATTTTCGATAAGATTAAAAATGAGGAAACGTCCTTTGGATGCTGGGGGGTGACCAGCTGCCCCTCCCCCTCATCATGGTGGCAGAGATGCACACAGGAAGGGGACGTCTCACTCTACCAACTCCAGGTTCATCAATATCGATCAGTGATCATGTGCTTCGGCTCAGACCGCCTCTGGTTCTGCTGCCGATTAGAACCGGGTCGATAAGTTGGAATCAGTTTCAGGAAACATCAGGATCATTTAGAGCCATTCTGTTTGGTTGGTTGTTTTTTTGGGTTAATTCTTTGGTTTTAACTCAGTTCTTATTGAAGCTGCAGGGAAAACAAAGGTTCTGCAGAGCTGGTCTGGTCCGTCTCAGAAACTGTTGAATCATGGCGTTCACATTCTAGATCTGCAACTCTTATTCTTTTGAAACAATAGAGGTCAAAGCTGCACTTTATTAAAGGAAAAGTTCGGTCAGCGAGGAATAATCAATGGATCATTATTTATACCTAAAACTAATAAGTTCATGGTGATTTAATTGTTTTAGCGTTAAACAGTAAAAAAAAAATAAAAAGAATTTTTATTGCGATCACTGAGTCTGGGAGCGGCCATTTTTGCCCAAATATAGTAGCCCCTCCCTCCTGCCATCTTCCAGCAGTGACGTCACGGTGCGGTAAGCCTAGCGCCATTCTCCCCGCTTTACAAGCTAAATCAATGGGAACTACTAGACACATCTGCAATCAACAACAATTATTGAAGATTTCCAGAGGACTTCACCATTGAAATTCACCAGAGCTATAGTGAAACTGACAATGCCCACGTGCATGGCAGCTGGATGCTGGAATACATCGGGTAAAAGTGAAAAAAAGAGTTATTCCACCTTTCTGATTCCTGATCCTCCACGGACGGGTTGGTCGTTGGATCGCCAACTTGAAGAGGGAGGATTTGCCATCGAACTTCTGGCCAGAGAAAAAACCCGTAATATGTAGCCAACATTTGGAAGAAGAATGTTTTCAAGATGACTTGGATAATAGCGCGTTGTGACAAACACCAGATACAGCACTGGGACTTGATCAACAGCCGATACCGCACCGTGACGTCACTAACCAGTAGGTGGCAGTAGTGTTCTTTGACAAACATGGATGCCTCCAGTAAAGTACATTCACATGAAAATTACTCTGAACTAAAAACACTGATCATTTATTGAACAGGATGGAATCATTTCAGATTTAAAGAACGTTCAGAAGTTTGAATTCTGATTATGAGCGACTTTTCCTTTAAGCCGTTCAGATGAGGAGCAGCTACTGTTTTAAACCACTGTTACCTTTTCTGCTTTTGGTTTTATCAACCAGCTTGTTAGAAAAGAGTGTCAATAAGAGAACTGTGATGAAGATGATTATCAAAATAAAATAAAAACTGTCAAGTAAACATACGTGTTAATCTCATCTATTGTTGGTAAAAAGCCACAGCAGCACCCAGAGGTTGATGCTGCCACAGATCTGGACTTTGACTAGGCCGTTCTGAACCTCTATCCCAGTCTGAGGAGTTCCACAGCCTCTCCTAAATCTAACTGGCTACTGCAGAAATTATAAAAGAGAAATGCTGTTTTATGTTAAATATGTTAAATGTGAGGCTTCAGCACAGTTTGGTGATTTGCTACCAGATCATTCATGAAAGCTGAGGTGGGGAGTAACTTGTTACATTTACTGGAGTAAATGGTTAATTAAAACTTTGCTATTTTCACTGCAACATACTTTTTACTTCTAATCGCTAATCTTAATTTAAGTTAAATTTTTGACCACTTTACCCACTATGGGTCACTTTACTGAACAAAAAATAACCAGGTTTAAACCTAAAAAGCAGTAGAACCAGGCTGATAGTTATGGAGTATTTGGAGCAATATTTATGATTATTTAATTTTAACAGATTGCACTTTATTGATCTCACATTGCAGAAATTGCCTTTGCCTTTAACCCATCCCCTTGGGGAGCAGTGGGCTGCCACTGTGCGGGGCCCAGGGAGCAGTGTGGGGTTAAGGGTCTTGCTCAGGGACTCAGAGTGGCAGTCTGTGGGAGTGGGGCCAGAACTTAGAACCTCTGGATTCCAAGCTCTATAACCACTAGGCCTCCACTCCCCCCAGTAGAGTGGCAGCCTTTAGACGCCTTTAGCATCTCTTAAGAGATAAATATGGGGGCTATTTTTCACTATGTCATTCATTCATTCATAATAATCTCTAAATTCCAAACTAAATATTTAGATTGTCAGTTAAAAAAAACTTGTTAGCAAGCTAAATATTTAACCAGCACCTAAGCTAGTTAAATATTAGCTTGGTGCTAGCTAGCTAGCTAGCTTGGTGCTAGTTAAAATTTAACCAGCACTGTCATTACCCGATCCGTACCGGAAGCACGATCCGTACCATCAGCTCATTTGCGCCTGCGCGAACAGAATAACTTCCGGTGGCAATATTTCCTTTTTCTTACGTTTTTATTCTTTTGTATTTTTTAGAGGCATGGGTTTCTTTTTGTATAGCTTTGTATTTTCGTCAATATTGCATTTTCTAAAAATAAAAAAACAGAAATACATAAAAAAGTTCAATCGTCTTGTGATAGTTACTTTGACTGCTCTGAGCATGCGCAAATATACGTCACACAGCGTTTATATTTAAATTTATTTAAATATTTGATTTACTCTGTACTTAACGATGCACTCCAGCAGTACTGATCCCACAATGGATTCATTTGCTACCTTTCGTGACCTGCAGTTTTTCATTGATAAGGGAACATTTCCCGAAAATTTTTATTTTTATTCCAGAAAAAAAATTAAAAGGATGTCTCCACATTTTCAAGTTAAAGGTAAGAAAATTAAAAAGTAAAACCAGCCAGAAAAAATATTCATTTAATAATTATTTAGTTTATAAGTCCATTTAATGTTTAAATAAGAATGATACAATTTTTTTTGTCCCTGGGAAAGCAGTCTTTTCAATTTTAAATCCAATATAGAATATATTTCACATTTAAGAAGATTATGTTCTTATTTCTTTCACTTTTTATTCTAGCAAGCATGTTACGGTCAAAGTAAAAGTATATATTTAAAATGTTAAATGCGATAATATTTTTTACAATTTTAAACTATTTATTTATATATTTTATCTTGTATGCTGTTTGGGTTACTACATTTCTCTGGGATGCACAAAAATATCTGTATGCTTTAAATTTTATGTCTTTGCATGAAAAAAAACATAAAATATGTTTTATTTATACTGTTTTCATATCATTCCATCCAACCATTCTTCTAACAGACAGCAGACTCTTCTACGTTGGTCCCAGACGGCAGTTCATGCGGCTTGTGGTACTTTCTGAGAAAGGAAGAACATCTGTCTTGATGGAGTGCCACAATAATCCTGGTACTGGCAACCACAATGGCAGGAGGGCCACTCGAGACAGGGTTATTGCTGGGTATTATTGGCTCACCATCACAAAGGATGTTGATGAATGGGTAATGTAAAACAAATTAATTATGGCTCATACCTTCCATCACCTTTAATTTTGAAGACTTTTAGCATAAAGAATGTAATACACAATTAATAGAAGCTATAGGTTGTCTTTAGCTGATTTTGTTGTTTATCAGCCTGAATCAACTACACAAACAAATTTTCCTTTCAGGTCAAGCGTTGAAAACTGTAGCACCGGTTCTACATTCAATCAAGGTTCTAATTTTTTTAATTTATAGACTGAAACACAAGCACTGTTTTTATAAGTCAATATAACCCCTTTCCATTATATCTTTCTATTATTTGTTCTTTTATTGTGTGGTAGGTAAAAGAACCCTGGGAGGTTCTTGGATTGGACCTGATTGGGCCATTGCCAGAGACCTCTCTGGGACACAACTATGTCCTCACTATGACCGATCTGTACACAAAGTGGGTGGTTGCTGAACCTCTACGAACAAAGACCGCTGTAGAAGTTTGTTCAGCAATCATCTCTAAGCTGTACACGTTTGGCCTAGTGAGAAAAATAATAACAGATCAGGGGAAGGAGTTTGTGAACCAGGTGAAATTTTATCCATCTTCTCTTCTGTCATTTTTGCAAACTTCAGTCCTTTGAAGATATTTATGTTCCCTGCAGCTCAATGACAGCATCTTTAAACTGCTGAACATCCAGCATGCTGTGTCCAGTGCATACCACCCCCAGACCAATGGACAGGTATTTAGCCTTTGCTTTGCAAGAACTTCCATGTTTAAATCAAGTTGCTTTATTTATGAAAAAACATATCTTTCATTTAGGATGAAAGGACAAATCAAAATATAAAGCGTGCTCTGAGGAAGTACGTCAACGAAAGCCATAATGACTGGGACCTTCACCTTCCTGCAGTTGTTTATGGAATTAACACTGCCAAGCAGGTAGTACACTAGTGTTTCATTTGCACAAAATATCTGAAAACAGATAACCATGAACTTTTTTGCTATCAGTCTTCAACCAAATACACCCCATACTTCCTCTTGTTCCACCGTCACCCACGTCTGCCCGAGATAATGAATACCTGTCCAATGGGAGACAACTTTGAGGTTGGTGATGCAGAGGATGAAATCGATAAACAGCTGACTGAAGTACACAATCTTAATACCAAGGTTTGTAAATGTTGAGAAAATATTAGAAGTAAGATTTTTTTTACAATCTTGCCTAAAGTGCATTTCTATTTTTGAAGGTTCTTCAAAATATTGAAATGGCACAGGAAAGACAGCAAAGGACTTTTGGAGACCGGAAACGCAAATTTACCCGTGTCGCAACTGTTGAGGCTGGGGATGAATGTCTGATTTCAGGGGCTTCAAAAAGGCCACGTACAGGGGACACATTGACCAGCCAGCACAGAGGACCTTACAAGATTGGAAACATTACAAAAAAGGGAGTGGCCACTGTGCTGAAGGGATCAACAACCATGAAGGTCAATGTGTCCAGACTGAGGCCCTATTATAGGTTAACAAGTAAGTGCTTTTAGATGTTCCACACTTCTGTGTCTTTGTGTTCATATTTTTACTTCATGAGAATAACTGAAAAAATGTTGTCATCATATATACAACCAGATGAGCAACTATCTGAAGGGCAGCTCCTCAACGACCACGAATACTCCTCTAGGGACTGGCAGCAGGAGCATTCCTATTGTTTTTCTGGAGCAAAGTGGGAACGGGATGTGAACCCAGTTCAAGAGGCTCTTGTATGCTTTGACATATTTTGCTCTGAATCTGCGCCTGACTGGCTCTGCTAATTTAATCTCCTCTCCTTTCTCACATTGCTGCCCCAAATGTAATAACTTCTCCTGAAATATTTTAATTTTCTTTCATTTAGCTATGTTACATATTGGACCAGGATTGTTCACCTGCTGAGCTAATTGTGAAGGAGGGAAGTGTGTGCCTTACACGTGAGGATTTCTGGTCCTTGGGGTTAAGTCAGTGCATGGAATCAAATGTAAGTATTCTTAAATGTGTCTCATAAAACCTGTAATATCTAACTGTCTAATCACTGGTTAATTTCAATGTTTTTCAGATTGAAATGCTTGCCTGAAAATAGTAGAGGAAACGGCAAAAAGATTTGTAATTAAATTGCCTAGATCTTCATATTTACGCCCTGCGAAACAATTGAAAAGCTTAACATCATTCTTTCTGTTTTCACAAGGGAAAAGACATACACATCTTCAATCTGTATGTGGTGCCCCTGTGGAAGGCAGATGTGGATCCTTTGTGTTCACTGCCTGTAGGTATTTTCGTGAATTTATCTATATTGCTGTCCTCCTCACTCTTTCTATTCTTCAGTGTATACAACATGTATGATGTAATATTAATGCATATTGGTATTATTAGGACCTGACAACGAAAGACCTTGTAGTTTTCCCAGCATGGAGCCAACAACAGGACGCTGCTGATCACTAGCTCCTCTGCGTAATGACAATTTTTGTATTTTAAATAATCTCAGTGAAGGATTTATATGTATTGCTGTTTAATGATGTGATAATAAAAAGAATATCAATTGCAGGTTCTACTGGTAAAACAGAGAGAGATAGTGTTTCTTGACTCCCTTCGACCAGATGGTTTTGGTGACGAGGCCTACAAAAATATATTTAGGTTCAAGCTATATTGATTCACTGGTTGTGGCCTATTGCCAGTTCTGTCTCTTTGGATATATGTTCATAAAAGCCTCGTTCTCAGGCTAGGTGTTCATAAAAGCCTCGTTCTCAGGCTAGGTGTTCATAAAAGCCTCGTTCTCAGGCTAGGTGTTCATAAAAGCCTCGTTCTCAGGCTAGGTGTTCATAAAAGCCTCGTTCTCAGGCTAGGTGTTCATAAAAGCCTCGTTCTCAGGCTAGGTGTTCATAAAAGCCTCGTTCTCAGGCTAGGTGCTCATAAAAGCCTCGTTCTCAGGCTAGGTGCTCATAAAAGCCTCGTTCTCAGGCTACTTGCATATTTCAGTGTGTCACCTTAATCTGAATTTATAATTCAAATGTATGCAGACGCATTGCAGCCTTTATTGATCCAGGGCCATGGTCTGAGAAGACAGGGAGAGACCTTGAAGTATGTTTGTAATTATCAAAGTGTAAAATGTTTGCAGTAAAACACATATTTATCGCTCATATATTGTTGTACTTTTCTCTCATTTTACATGTGTCTTTTTGCTTCTCTTTGCTCAGCATTTTCCTCTTCAGTCCAACGGACATGACTGTGGGATCTTCATGTTAATGGTATTCACTGCTTACTTAAAGCTTTTACTCATGGCTCAAACTGTGTGTTACAGTTATTTGATGTTTTACAGTATGCCCTCTGCATCAGCACATCAACCCCATTTACCTTTTCCCAGGTATGTTTATTTTAGTTTTTGGGGGGTTGATTACATTGAAATTCTTCTAGCCACTTGTAATTTTTATTATACTTGCTTTTGCCTGTTTTTTCAAGTGGGAGATGCCAACCATTCGCCGTTGGTGGTGCCTCCAGATAATCGAGAGGTTTTGCATTGAAGGGTACCTTCACACAGGAAACTTCAATGTCTTCTGTATTTTAGTTTACTATGTGCTAATGATCCTGTTGTTCCATTCAAAGGCATGGACAACGATTTGCTCACTGGACAGAAGAATCCTCCCATCTTCTTGAAGGAATCCTGGAACCATTCTTTAGGGTTCCAAAGTCCACCAGTGCAGAGACTTCCCCCAGAAATGGTGATGGTGGAGAGGGCAATGCGAAGGTGTGTGTTTAATGTTTAGTGCTAGTGTAGCGAGGGTGAAAAGCATCAAGCTCCTGGTTCTGCTCTTTTCCTGATCACCTCTTTTGAAACTACAGAATTGAGTCACGTGTGTATATATATACTATATAGTATTTTACGTTTTTTTATGTACTTTTTTCATACTTTAGGGACAGACACAGACCCTGAGGGACTTGCATAAAGCATGGGACTGGATTCAACAGCACAAAGCCTTATTCTGTGGGGAAATAGGAGAACCTGAAGTCTTACAGGTGAGCAAGCCCAGGCAGAAAATGGCCCTTGAAGGATACAGTTCTGCAAAGGATCCCTTCTTAATTTCCTTCCAGTATCAGGAAGACATGGAAATGTTTTACATCAACTGTGTTGATGTAATGGGACTAAAGGTCAATACCATGTTTTGCGAGCATAGTTCTTAGAATGTTTGTATAGTCAGTTCTTAATAAGTTTTAAAGGTTTTCTTTCTCTCTCTGAATTATTTTATTCTCTGCCCAACTTTTCTAACTACCATTTTTTTAATAATGTATGCTTTGGCTTTGTTATGTGTTCTTTGTTCTATTCCCTGTTTGGTTTTTGTAAAAAATAAACAATGTGAGCATTAATGACGAGGTCTTCTCCTGTTTTTGATGTGTACACCAGAGGGCGCTAAAATATCAACTGATAACTTTAACGTTCTTAAAAAATCTATTTTATACAAGAGTATTTGTGTTCAAGTTTATTATACAACTTTATGTAATGTAAAACATTACAATATGGATTATATATATATCTATATATATATATATATATATATCTATATATATATATATATATAGATATATATATATATGTGTGTGTGTAAACAAAATTAATGTTATTAAGGAATAAAATACATTTTTTTTTCTCAAATAAAAAAATAATAGAGTGCATTCACTCTATTATCATAGAGTGCATCAGATAAACGTTACGCAATAATATATTCCCAGACTGCTCCTGGCATGTCTGATGATGACGTCAAGCAATACAATGGATTGAATTTAAAAAGCATCCATTTCTTCCAGAAAAGTCTTCAATATTGTCTTTACGGTGTAGTTTAGTGTTCTTTAATTATTTAAGGATATAAATAAAGTTTTTTCAGTACCGTAATTACATTATTTTTTGGCGACCCGGAAGTTATTCTGTTCGCGCAGGCGCAAATGAGCTGATGGTACGGATCGTGCTACCGGTACGGATCGGGTAGCGACAAGCACCTAGCTAGCTAGCTAAATATTAGCTTGGTGCTAGCTAGCTAGCTAGGTCCTGGTTACGTTTTAGCGAGCACCAAGCTAGCTAGCTAAATATTAGCTTGGTTCTGGGTAGCTAGCTAGCTAGCTTGGTGCTAGCTAAAATTTAACCAGCACCTAGCTAGCTAGCTAAAAATTTAATTTGTTAAATAAGTATTATATAATATAATGTATATAATATTATGTATACATTATATTATATATATATATATATATTTTAAATAGTTTGTTATTAAATATTTAGTTAAAATAATAAATATGTAGTTTGGAAAAATAAATATGTAGCTTGCTGATAATTGTTTTAACTAACAATCTAAGTATTTAGTTTGGAACTTTGATTTTTATAAATGAATGACATAGTGAGGAAATTACCTCCTTATTTTCCTTGTAAAATAAACTAAATAGCAATAAATATTTCCCCTAATTTTTGACTGCTTCACTTTACAAAGGGCTCCCATAGATAGTTCTTTTTTTTGTTCACAATCTTTGTTGTTGAGGTTGACCTAACGTACAGTAAAAAGTAATTGTCAGTGGAGGTAGTTCACCATTCTGTCATGAATACTTTAAACACTTTAAGAAATTGTTTCAGATGTTAAAGATCAAAACACTAAATATTTTCCCTGATTTTATTTATCTTTTATTTATCTTTTATTTATTTGTACTCATTGCTTTCCTTTATTCTTTAAAACAAAATTAAGTTGTACATAACCCTTTATTATAGTCTCTTTCATTCTTTACAATAATTTAATGGACAGCTACTTTTTACTTTTATTAAAATAGAAATTTGTAGAATCAGTGCATTTTCTTTGTACTCTAGCTTTGCACAAGAAAACAAAACATCTTATTTCCTATATAAAACAGTAATCAGGAGTTAATTGAAAACTTGTGTGCTAACTAATTTTTAAATATTATTTCAGTTTAATATGGGAAAAAGTCAGCATGAAACTTTAATCTCAGAATTCTGACTTTAATCTGAGAATTGTGGATCTTAATGTAGATGGGCCCCATGAAGGCAGAGATGTGGAGCACTCAGCTTCACTGACAAAGATGTGAGTTATTTGGGAGGAACAGGAACACATTGGTGGAAAATGATGGAACTAGGTGACTTTTTACGTGCTTTTTCACGAATGGAGGAGCAGTGATTAAAACAAGAGATCTAGTCTCTAAAACAGACGTGGCTACAGCTTGATGCTAACATGTTTTTTGTTTGTTTGTCCGTCAGAATTCTCAGATTAAAGTCAGATTTCTGACTTTTTTTCTCATACTGAAATAAAGTTAAAAAATCTGTTAACTTGTTTTATTTTTCCAGTGGCCCTAATCCTCGTCTGTAGCTTAGTGACTGATTTAGCTGTGACAGTTTCCAGCTGAGTACTTTAAGGCCTCCCAGCAGCGGTGCTGTTAGATTCATAGCAACGTGATGCTTTCAGGGACGCCTCAGACAGTGGAGTCCTCCTCACGGCTCTGGGAGGGAATAATCCAGCAGGTGGTTTCCTTCCCGCAGACGTCCGAAGCATCCGAGCAGAATGTCGACCGCCATGCTGACCGTGGAGTGGACCTGCCCCTCCGTTTGCCCCCTCAGAGGGTTCACCTCCACCAAGTCCACGGCGGAGAGCAGACCTGAGGACGTTCTGAGTGATTCAGCTGCACTTATACGGTTCTGCCTGTAGGTGGCGGTAAACATGGCTCCTACCTGTCTGACAGAGCTGCTCTGTGATGAACAGCCCCTCTCGGTAGCTCAGGCCTCCTACCACAGGGGTTCCTGTTGCCGGGGCAACAGAGGGGTCGATAGCGTCGATGTCGAAGCTCAGGTGAATCGGTTTCTTTGCTCTTTAAAGACAAACCAAGCAATTAGAAATCATTTTTGGGGGTTAGGGTCCTTCCAGGTGTCTGATGGGACCCCAGGAAGCTCCGGGTTTGGTCTCTATTCCCGCCTGAACAGAAATGCTCTGAACCAGCTGAGGCTCACCTTTCCCACAGGTAGTCACATGTCTCCTCCATGACCCTGGCCACGCCCAGCTGGTCCACCTGTGACATGGAGAACACCTTCACTCCCAGCAGCTTCAGGATGTAGCTTTGGATTAGAGAAGGTCGCGTTTTAGACACCGATTAGGTCAAATTGCTGCGGTTCTGGCCGCCGGACTCACTGCTCCGCCGGATCGACGTCTCTCAGGCCGACGTAGACCAGGTCCCTGGAGGACACGCAGGGCTTCATCCAGGAGAAGTTTGGTAGCTCAGGAACCTGCAGCGGAGGAGAGCATCAGAGGAACCTGCTCTGCGGTTAACGCGTACAGCCAGGAGGGGGCGCTCACCTTCGACCGAAGCTCGTACAGGAGGTACGACATGGGCTGGCCGTGGAGGTTTCCTGTGTACGAGGTCAGCGGTGTGTTGACGTCAGCGTGGGCGTCCACCCACACCACGCTGAGGGGGCCCGCCGCCGCGGCGTGACCGTGGATGGAGCCAATGGCCAGACTGAAGACAGGACAGGTTTAACGGTTCTGGTTCGGTTTCTATTTACGATGAAAACAGGGGAGCCTAGAATCTATTTATTATTAAAATGATCATTTCTGCAATTTTTCTTCAAATAAGTGTATTTTTTCTGGTATTGAAAAAGTAGGTGACCAAAGGTATCAAGTAACAAAGTACAAATACTTTGTTACCTTAAGTAGAAATGCTGGCTATCTATACTTTACTGGATTCATTATTTTTTACTTTCTTATCTATGACGGAGTATCAGGGCCAGGCTAGAGTTTTTTTTCCTTCTATTTCGAGAATAAAGTAATAAAATTACGAGAATAAAGTCGTAATATTAAGAGAATAAAGTCCTAAATTACGAGAAACAAATTGCATTTTATGACAACTCCTACGAGAATCCCTTTCTTCCCTAGAATGAGGAATGTGGAGCATCATGTGAAGTTATACTTTAGCATCGGTTTGACCAATCAGGAAATCTTTTAGCAGCAGCATCAAACTGGGCAGGATGTCAAAGTGGACTCTGGTTGCTGATTGGTGGAGCTGGTCGGCTGTCATCTGCTGGGCGGAGCTCCAAGCTTTCTTTCTGAAACGGGTTTGTTGTATGAAGACTTTATTCTTGTAATTTCACGACTTTATTCCCGTAATGTTACAACTTTATTCTCAAAATAGAAGGAAGATAAAATTCTCTAGCCTGGCCCTAATACTCTGTCGTACTATTCCTTACATTTCTGTTGGTGTATAAAAAAAATAAATAAAAAAAACATCAAAATAATTAGTTTCATCCAGACAATTAATTTCTTTGTGGTTGGACTCAGTGCTGCCCCAACCTGTTGCTCACCACAAACCAAAATAAACAGTTTTTCAAGATGATGCAAAGTTAAACGTGTCGCTGTTACCATTAGTTAAAAAAATTAATAAATGAAGTCTAAGGAAGTTATCATCCAGAATTGTAGAAAAATTTTCCTTTAATAGGGTAGAGCATTAAAGCATTTTTTCCTGCATTACTTTTACTTTTATACTTTAAGTAGTTTTAAAAATGCTACTTTTACACTTTTATTGGAGTAAAAAGCTGAAGTTGATCCTCTAACTTCTAAAAAGTGTTTTAATCAGCAGGATGAATACTTTTGACACCTCTGTAAGAGAGAAACTTTGCCAAAGGATAAAATTTACATTTAAAATAAGAAAAAAGAACTACAGTCTCTTATTTCAAGTGCATGTTATCTAATTATCTTATTTTAAGGGTAAAACTACTAATTCCATTGGCAGATCATCTTATTTTCCTACTTAAATTAAGGATATTTTAAGAAATGTTTACTAATTTTCAGAAAGTTATTGCAGATGAAGCCGTTATGTCTGCTGACCTGTGGTCTCCTCCCAGGACCACTGCTGTGTGTCCGTCCCTCTTCACTGTCTGCACCGCCTCCGACAGCCTCTGGTTGGCGCTGCCCACCGCCCGGACACGTTTAGATCCCCTGACCGGCTCATCCAGCACAAAGTCCTCAAACGTCAGGTTCCCATAATCCTTCACTGCACAGCCTGAGCAAACAGAATCAACATAGAGATTGATTTCTAGAGCAGCCTCTTGGTGTCATGTTGATCATTTCCTTCCGGGTGAGCATTAACAAACATCTGTCACCAATAACAGCTAAGGACATGTCCACCTGAGGACGGCTCTGTCCATGCAGCTTAGGCGTCCTGAGAGGAACGCCCTCTGCAGCTGCAGGGGTTCACTTCAGGAGCTGCTGGGGAAACATTAACGCCTGAGGGAGGGAGGACAGTTATTCAATGAGCGCCGTGGAGCAGAGCTTCCATGGAGGTCAGAGTTCAACATGATCCAAACATCAACCTTTCTACCTGGTGGCACCTCCATCTCCGTTTAGACTTGGGATCCTAATTAGGATGTTTATGGAAAAGATCAGACTAATAACCCTAATATTTAATTTGGAGATAAATATTTATTTAACAAACAAAATATTTAATTTGTTAAATAAATATTTAGCTCCAGACTAAATATTTCTTTAACAAAGTAAGATTTTTATAAAGGAATGAATGAGCGTGAAAAAATTACTTGGAAAAAAAAAACTTTATTTTTCTCTGAAAAGACGCTAAATAACCATAATTATTGCTCCTAATTTTTAACTGCTTCACTTTACAAATGGCTCCTCATGTTGTTTTATTTTGGAAGGTATTTAGATGTATTGATTCCACTCTGGAACCATCACAGGACGCCATCTGGTGGCCATTAGCGGTATTGGTTAGTGAGCGGACCTTTTTTTTTATATATATATTTTATTAGAAAAAGTTTTATAATACAGAAAAAAGTACAATTTACGGTGAACAATCACCAGGGGTTTGAGCAAAGAAAAAAAAGAAAAGAAAAGTAAAAGTAATTAAATAAAAGTAAAAATAGTAACAGTAAATAGAAGCATATAAAGGGATTATATAAATACTTCAGTTTTTCTAAACTTGGATGTGTGACGTCATCGGAGCTGTCCTTTGAGACATCTGATTGGCGGTCGTAATAGAGAGTAGCTACGTGGAGGAGGAAAGACGCACAGCAGCACTCAGTGAATATTAACCAGCAGCTACTTCAATGTTTAAGTAAAAGTTAGGAGACGGTTTGGTTAAAAAAAATAGAAATGGCACCAAAAAATCTGTTTGTTAAAGATAAGAAACTTTTTCAGATAAAAATGGCAACAGATTGTAAGTTTATACAAATTAGTATTTTAATGCAAGAAGCTTGAGAAAACATAGTTAAAATGTTCTTTACTAGTTACAAAAACAAATTCTCAGAGGTCCATGACTCCCAGTTACAGGATAAAATTAACGCGTTTTCTTATTTTACAGACAGAATCAGACTGCAGAGCTTCTAAATATCATGAAATGTTGTTTCTTGCATCATCATATTAGTAATAAATCTTTTTAAACAGCACAGAGAGAAGCCGGGAGAGCAGCAGATTTAAAGGTGAAACAGATTTACTGGGATAATCAACACGCAATAAAATATATCTCCAAGTTTACCACAAAGTTTACAAGAAAGAAATCTGCTATGCTATATTTAAAATGAAGCATATCCATATTTTTCTGGATGGATGGAATTGAAATTGTACTTCTAGGTAAATCTTCTTCTGATATATTGATTTTGGAATCAGAATCGGCTGTTATTTATTTTTTTTATACATTAATGTTTTTGGGCCTATATATATATATATATATATATATATATATATATAATGCACTAAAAGGCATCTCTCTATCAATAAATATAAATATCAGTTATTCTGGTTCTCTGTGTTCTCAACAACAGGAAAGCATTTAATAAATAGATGTTTGAGCTCATTTTTGGAAAATAAAAAAATCCAAATGAAAGCGTTCAGTTGGAGTAACTGTAGGTCCATCAGCCCCCACCCTTAGAGCGCCCCCACCCTGCAAAAAATGTAAATCTAAATAACTAATTTTTTCTTAAAATAAGTAATTTTTTTCTTGAATTGAGGGGGCAAGTGAGACACTTTGCCAATGGAACAAGAAAATTTACATTTAAAATAAGAAAAAATAACTGCATTGTTTTATTTCAAATGCATATTGTCTAATTATCTTGTTCTAAGAGTAAAAATAATAATTCCATTGGCAAACGATCTTATTTACCTGCTCAAATTAAGAGTAAATTTACTAAATTTAAGAATTTTTGTACTTATTTCTAGATCGTTTTTGCAGCGCACCCTTAGAACGCCCCCACCAACTTTCATCACTAAGTTACACCCTTGCTTGGATGAGTGAAAATCTGCAGCATGGTGGATCTATTGTTAGATTTTCTACTTTCTCATTAGGTCTGAGGACGCCCTCTGAGTTCTCAGAAGAAAAATGAGTCAAACTGGTTCCTTCTGTTTATTCATAGCAGGAGCAGGAACAGAAACAGGCAGTGCGTCACGCTGCCATCAGCACCAAGGACAGTGACCTGAACTTCTGGACTTTCAGGTTGGTTTAACCTTGAGCCCAAAGCCTGCAGGTGGAGAAGCAGAACCGAACCGAACCGCAGACAGGATGGAGATATTCTTCTATTCTCGGTTTGAAAACATGTTCAGATCATTGATAAGAAGAGACTTTTTAAAAACACGCTGAACAGATGAGGAGGAAAAACAAACAAACGCATGAAAACTATTCCTTTCAACATTTGAGGATATTTAAAATAAAAATGAGCATTAAATCCATTTATAAAACTAAAAACCCTTCAGTCTATATTAAAACAAACATTAAGATATTAAATTGGAATTAATCTAAAGTCCAGTTTTATTTCCACAGATAAACATTAACTGGTTTTCTGGAAAACCTCCTGAACTGTTTGGTTTGTGTGAAGATTTGCTTCCTGGCGGTTAAACATAAATCAGGTTGTTTATTCTGGGATGGAAATAATCCACAGACTCTTCATTTGGCCTCAAGTTTCCAAACTTTTCCTAAAAGTAGGAAACTTTTTGGGACGTTTGGCTGTTTATCCGAGCCGTGACGTCACGCCGCTCACCCTGCAGCTGCAGCCGGTCCAGGAGTCCCGCTGCTCGGATCCGGTCCGGTCCAGACTCCACTCCATGCCTGGACTGAAACACGCGGAAAGGTCACTGCGCGCCGGGCGTCCACCGACGCACGCACGGTGCACGCGCTCTCACCTGTCCCTTGGAGAAAGGGGCTCCGATGATCCCTGCTGAGAGCTGCTGAGGATGAGGAGGATGGTGAAGGCTCCGCTTCAAGAGCTGCTGCAGCGTGCGCGCGCTCTGCATGCTGACATGCGGATGGTTGGAGCGGAACCCCCGCGAGCCGCTCATAAACCCTGCGTGACGTCACAGGCGGACAGGTGGAGACACCGCGGCGTCACTGATCTGGTCTGACCTCAAACCAGCAGTTTAAAGACGACCAAACCTTTTTATTCACATTTTCCTTTATATTGATTTTTGAAACAAACAAACCCATATTTTCCTGTATGAAAGCTGGTGAAACTAAAATTAAAATACTTTTTATCAGAACCGAAATAAAAGGTGGAACTGTTTAACTGGATGTTTTTAAATCAGCAGGACTTCAGAGGATCATCAGCTTCAGTTTGGACCAAAAAACCTTGATATGCAGGAGGGCCAAACCACCCCTTTAATAAAGTGATATAATAACTTCTGAATATTATGAGGCAAACAGGCCGTTTTATTAAGATGAAAGCTTCTATAGTTATGAACTAACTTCTCCTAAAATGCAACATTTAACTCAGAGGACAGAGTTTAGATATTCTGATCTCCTTCGCTTACTGGGGCCATCTAGTGGTGGATTCAGGGAGGGATTTACCATTAGGCAATACTCGGCAGTTGCCTAGGGCTCCAAGTTCCAAATGATGCAAAGAGCAGTGTTGCCAACTTAGTGCTTTAGTCGCTATATTTAGCCACTTTTCAGACCCCTCTAGCACTTTGATTTCTAAAAAGCTCCTAGCGCCAAATCTAGAGACTTTTTTCTGCTACTGGAGACTTTGGAGACAACATCTAAAAGCAGCGAACTCTGCTCTCCAGAGCGAGTAGATTGGTAACCCCGCCTCCTGCTCTCCTCTATCTTGTCTGCTGTCATGATTCATGCAGCTATTATTTCATCCAAATGAAAAATGGAGAACAGAGAAGCAGATCATGGCTTGTCTACAGTGAAAAGAAGGACTGGGTTATTTACTTTGGCCTTTTTGGAAACACAATCCCGCCCCCTTGATAATCGACCAATCACATTCACTTTGTTCACTCGTGTAAAGTCGGGCACCACTTGGGAGAAACAGTTGGAACAGCCGCTTCTCTACAACTTTAAGATGAAAAACAGGCAAGTTTTAGTTTAGAAAATTAAAACATTTATTGATCAGGTAAAAACAGCATTTTGTTCTGGTTCCTCCTCAGAACGTCCTAAAGGTGGGCCGTGATGCTAGAAGTAGCTCTGCAGAGGTTCTCCCAGGATGTTCTCCATCTCCTGGATCACCTTCTGGACCTGCTGCTCCACTTCCTCACACTCATCTGAAAAGCAAAGAAACAAACCGTTCAGCTCCACAGGAGCAGCTTCTGAACGGTTCTGGTTCTGAATGGGTCGGTGACTACATGTTAAACATGGACCCTGGTTCTGAACCGAACCAGAACCGGTTCAGATCCGTCACCAATCGTTTTCCCCTCACCCTCCATGAGTTCTGCCAGGAATGGGATGGTCTCAGGCAGCAGAACCACGTAGTTCTCTTTCAGTTTGGACGCCAGCTCCATCAGCAGGAGGAGGGAGGAGAAGCGGACCTGCAGAGGAGGAGCAGATGATCAGAGGAGGAACAAACAGGCCGACCGTCTGGGCGTCCGGCTGAGCTCACCTTGGCGTCGCTGTGCCTCGTCTTCAGCAGGACCTGGTAGTTCAGGGTTTTCCACTGAGCGTCGTCAGCCAGCGCCACGGAGAACTGACCCACGCAGGGAACCAGGTGCTGGGTGACCCGGTTCTGGTAGGTCTGCGGCCCGCCCAGCCCGTTCTCCAGCTGCACACAGGAGCAGAGCTTCAGCAACTGTTCTTTCAGGATTAAATGCAGAGTTCTTTCTGCACAGTGTTGCCAACTCCTCAGCAAGAAAAGTCGCTATTGGCTCTCCTAGAAAGCGCCAGATGACATCATCGCCTTATCTGCTTATGTCATCCAGCTGCAGCAGATTCTGAATCATTAATTTTTTTAATCTCTTTTTTTTGCTGTCTGTCAAAACAGGGGATATAAATAGGACATTTATATGAGCTGCTTTGCAGGAAGGAAGAAACGTGGTGATTTGAAGAGTTTATAAAAACTTTTACAAAAAGAAGTAAAGCCATTTAGTTCCACACTCCAGCAACTGGGGGCATTAATGCACCATTTACCATCTAGAAAAACTATAAACAAAAACACAAAGAAGAAGAAATTAGCAGCGGTGCAAAGACACACGCAGACCAGAGGAGCAGAAGGGAAGAGAATGAGGCTGTAGGGCGAAAATAAGGTTATTTTAAGAGACAACTGGGCTAGTTAAAAATTATTTTCATGATTGAATTTTTCAATCTAGGGCGGGATTAGCAGCAGCTTTGCAAATTTAATCTGCAATCTGTATTTGAATTGGAAAAGTTTACTATCTGCTGCAGGGCAGGCAGCCGCTATGCAGGATGGCAGCAGAGAGAGGGAGGGAGAAATTGTACTTCGCTAACTGCATGCAGCGAGGCTAACAGAGTGCAGCGAGGCTAACAGAGTGCAGCGAGGCTAACTGACTGCAGCAAGGCTAACTGGGTGCAGCGAGGCTAACAGCGAGGCTAATTGCGTGCAGCGAGGCTAACTGCCGGCAGCGAGGCAAACTGCGTGCAGCGAGTCTAACAGCGAGGCTAATTGCGTGCAGCGAGGCTAACTGCCTGCAGCGAGGCTAACTGCGTGCAGCGAGGCTAACAGCCAGGCTAATTGCGTGCAGCGAGGCTAACTGCCGGCAGCGAGGCTAACTGCGTGCAGCGAGTCTAACAGCGAGGCTAATTGCGTGCAGCGAGGCTAACTGCCGGCAGCGAGGCTAACTGCGTGCAGCGAGTCTAACAGCGAGGCTAATTGCGTGCAGCGAGGCTAACTGCGTGCAGCGAGGCTAACAGCGAGGCTAATTGCGTGCAGCGAGGCTAACTGCGTGCAGCGAGGCTAACAGCGAGGCTAATTGCGTGCAGCGAGGCTAACAGCGAGGCTAATTGCGTGCAGCGAGGCTAACTGCGTGCAGTGAGGCTAATTGCGTGCAGCGAGGCTAACTGCTGGCAGCGAGGCTAACTGCGTGCAGCGAGGCTAACAGCGAGGCTAACTGATTGCAGCGAGGCTAACTGCGTGCAGCGAGGCTAACAGCGAGGCTAATTGCATGCAGCGAGGCTAACTGCCGGCAGCGAGGCTAACTGCTTGCAGCGAGGCTAACTGATTGCAGCGAGGCTAACAGCGAGGCTAATTGCATGCAGCGAGGCTAACTGCCGGCAGCGAGGCTAACTGCGTGCAGCGAGGCTAACAGCGAGGCTAATTGCGCGCAGCGAGGCTAACTGCCGGCAGCGAGGCTAACTGCGTGCAGCGAGGCTAATTGCGTGCAGCGAGGCTAACTGCGAGGCTAATTGCGTGCAGCGAGGCTAACTGCGTGCAGTGAGGCTAATTGCGTGCAGCGAGGCTAACTGCGTGCAGTGAGGCTAACTGCGTGCAGCGAGGCTAACAGCGAGGCTAATTGCGTGCAGCGAGGCTAACTGCGTGCAGCGAGGCTAACTGCGTGCAGTGGGGCTAATTGCGTGCAGCGAGGCTAACTGCGTGCAGTGAGGCTAACTGCGTGCAGTGAGGCTAACTGCGTGCAGTGAGGCTAATTGCGTGTAGTGAGGCTAAGGCTTTATCCTGCTTTCCCTGCCTCCTTTTTCCAAAGGTCAGGATCTGAGCCAGCCTGGATAAAGACAGCTAGGACTGATTTAAAGAACTTTTTAGAAAAGGCAAAGAAGAATGAACAATAAAAACATTCTGAGAAAATAAATTTATATATATAAAAAAAAAGCTGACTAATAGCTTCCCCATTATTAAACTGGTTCATTATTTTTTTAGGTTTGTGAAACAATATTGGACAAAAGACAGATTTACCTTCACAGCTTTAGAAGGACAAGATTTATGGACAGAAAGTAAACCTGGACATGAAATGATGTTTTGTTTTTCTAATGTTTTTTTTATTGTTGGCATTCATATAAATAAACTGATGTGATAACTTAGTAAACGTTTGAATGGCTTTTGGTAAATTGTGAATTTATAGCCGCTGCTGATAGGGGTCTGAAGAGGCGCTAAATTTAGAGTCAAAATCAGTGAGGTGTCTCACCTGGTCCACCAGCGGACCCAGCAGGGCGTCGGCTCGCTCTTTGCTCAGGAACCTCTGTGTGTCGTACAGGAAGATCTTCTGCAGAACGTCAAGGACCAGCTGAAGCAGCAGGCAGTTCTTCTCTTCCGAGTCAAAGACGAGCTCATCTGGAACGGACAGAAGGTCAGACAGCAGGCGTGACTAATCAGCAGGATTCCTGCAGAGGAGGCGTGTTCTGGAGAACGTTCAGGAACCTGTTCTGGAGCTGTTGGTCTGTTTCAGCACGTCAGCCAGAGGTTTCACCAAGCTTCCTGCAAACAGGACGAAGAGTCCTTTGAGCCGCTCGGCGATGCGGTCGCAGAGGCGGTAAAACGTCAGCAGGCGCTCCTTCCTGTCCGATTTGGTCCAATCGAAGAGCTGCAGAGGATAAACAGATGGCTTCAGTCACGGTTCTGCAGAGAATCACTGCAAAGAGTTCAACCCAGAGTCACCTTGAAGAAGAGTGGCCTGAACGTGACCTCGGACAGCTTCATCACCATGGTGATCAGACAGTCGATGACTCCGCCCTCAACCTGCCACGCCCTCTGCAGATCGCCCTGATAGGACAGAGGGAGAGATTCGTCTTAAAGCGGGTCAGAACCAGACCGACCTCCATCTTCCCGATGCTAACCTGTGAGCGCTTGGCCCGGAAGTCCAGCGCCGTCAGGAAGAAGGTGGTGAGCTCTGATTGGTGGACGGCAAGCTGCTCGCTGTCCATCTGAGCGATGTGTTCCTTCAGGACGCTCATCAGCGCCTCCAGCTGGTCCTGCAGGGAAACGAGCCGAGCCTCAGCAGAAAGAATAATTGCTAGCGATGGTTGTGATCGGATCAGGAACACCGCTCACCTTCCTGTCCTCCACCATAGAGCTGTAACACCTAGAGAGGGTCGGCAGCAGGACCCGGGGGGGCAACTTGGTGGCCAGTGTGCTTCTCAGGGATGAGACACGGAGGCAGAGCTGGGCGGAAGGCGAGGATGAGGAGGAGGAAGAGGAGGAGGTCTCTGTGAGGCGAGTCAGGCGGCACACCTGCAGGGACACGGCGTAGGACGGTGAGCCCACCGAGGGGCGCTGACCCAATTATGACCGCCGCTCTGGTGCGTTACCTGGAGTATGATGTCCTGCAGGTACGGGCTGATGAAGTGCGGCAGCGTCTCTGTGACGCGCTGCAGCGCGGTGACGGCGCTGAGCTGGTAGATCTCATTGGTTAGCAGCTCCTTCCTGTCACTGAGCACGTGCAGCACAGCTGGCATCAACCTGCAAGACGAGCAGCGGAACAGGTGAGTGGAGGAACAGGTGAGCGGATGAAGAGGTGAGCAGATGAAGAGGTGAGCAGATGAAGAGGTGAGCAGTGTGCCGTGGAGGCACTAGAGCACAGACTGGGTAACCTGACCCGGTTACCTTGGTAACTGAGGGATGGCGAGCGCCTTGAGCTCAGTGACCACCTCTGCGATACAAAGCAGAGCGCTGCCGATAACGTTCTTCTCCTCCTTCGTCGTCGTTACGATGTCCACTACCATCAGCAGCACGGGAACAAACACCTCCTGGTGGGCGGAGCCAAAATTGCGACAGAGCAGCTTGAGGCTGTAGAGCGCGGTCTGCCTGTTGATGGCCTGCTCCGCCTCCTCAGACTCCTTCCCAGGACTCTTCCTAACGACGGCCAGGAGGTCGGAGGTCATCTGTAGGAGTGCCGACACCTGAAGGGAACAAAGCGGCGTCAGAACAATCCCTCGACAGAGCGGTTTCTATGGCAACGACGGGTCACCTGTTGATCATCCCACTGCGGGCGCTGATGCAGCTTGTTGTTGAGGAGCTCCATGGCCTTCCTCCGCACCGACGGCAGCTGGTTTCCCATCAGCCCCTTCATCACCGTGATGAAGGTGTCTGTGGGCAGCAAGGCGTTCACCTGCGGCGGCGAGCAGAGTTAGAAACAGAAGGGCTCCGTACGAGCAGCTCGGCTGCGTGGCGAAGTAGCTAGACCCACCCGGTCCAGGACTTCGTAGGACTTGTTGAGTAGAACTCTCCAGAACTTGGCGGTGGGTTGGTCGGCGTTCTCCTCCACGCATCGAGCCACAGACTGGATGTAGCGCAGGATCTCCTCCAGAACCCTGCGGCACACAGAAACTCAGCGTCTTCCCTGCAGCTGTGCCTGACGGCGCTCTGAGGGGAACTCACCTCTGCTGCAGCTGCTGAAGGGAAGCGCCGCTGTCATCGCCGCTGTCATCGGTTTCCTCTGAGACCTGAAAACGGAGCAGACGTTTAGAAACTGCCCCTGACTCCTCCCAACCTTCCAGCTTCTTCTCTCCCACCTTCTGGATGAAGGTGTTGGAGCCCAGCAGCTGAGCCACGAACGACACGCAGAGGAACTTGAAGTGCCGCAGCTCCTTGCTGCTGTGAGTTTCCACGCTGAAGATCAGCTCCTCCGTCCTCTCAGGTTCCTCCTGCTTCCTCCCGACTCCTCGCCGACCCACTGGCCGCCTCGGCGGAGCTGCAGCAGAACCCCGGTGTTACGCTTCTGACAGAAATCAGACGGGAGCGGATTTGGAGTTGACGGCTCTCACCTTCTTTATCGTCTGGCAGCTGCAGCAGGAAGTTCAGGATGTTGATGACGGAGCTGAGCTGCTGCTTCACGTCGAACTGACAGCTGAGGGAGATCCAGAACTCCATGTCCCGCTCCAGAGCTGCGTCCTGCACCGCAGACACCGACCACCATGAAAAACCGTAGCAGTATTAAGCTACGCTCACACCGGATGCGACATGTGCAGCAGAAGCAGCCGTTTTACATGCAAAGTCAACGGTTGATGCGCATAAAATGGTCCTGCAGCGTCTAGAGCAGCGGCGCCTCATGAGCTCCTGAGCATCTGAAGCTTCACAAGCAGCAGCTGCTGGAGTTTTAAAAATTATCAACCAATCAGAGAAGCTGAACACAGGAGCAGCAGAAGCTTCTGGACTCACTTTACTGGACGTCTGACCTTAATGAGGATCAGAGATGAAGCAGCAGAAGCTTTTCTAAGTAGCATTAGCTCCTTAAGCAGGGGCGGAGCCTGTGGTACCTTGTCGCCGGCTTCGCCGCTCTGCGTGGCGTGCAGCTTCAGCAGCAGCAGCTGGAGGATCCACAGGAAGTGGGCGGGGCCCATCGCGGTCACCAGCAGTCCGAGGACGGGCAGCCGCCGGTGCTCAGGAACATGGGGCAGGGCGTCGGCGAACACGTGCATGATCTTCGTTACCACGGCAACCATGGCAGGGGCGGAGGATCCGTCGGAGAGCCGGTGGGCCTGTAAGAGGGGCGACGTCGCGACACGTGAGAATGGTTTCAAGGCATCAGGCGACGTCGCCCGCAGCAGCTGCTCACCTGGACCAACGCCGGGACGACCGTCGCCATGGTCTTCTCTATGACTCTGAAGCTGTAGGCGTCGTCCAGCCGCAGGATGTTGGCTCCCATGAAGGTGAAGATGGGCATGATGTTGTGCAGGACTTTATCCTGCAGGGGGCGACACACGGAGCTCACTGAGTCATTTATTCAAACCGGTTTGTTTCTCGCCAGAGGAGGCGGCGCTTACGGGGAAGATGGAGGCGGTGGCGGCCAGCAGCAGCAGGGCGTGGTGGTGAGTCTGAGGCATGTCTGACAACCGGATCACCTGAACCACCAGCTCCACGTTAAACTTCTCCTCATCCAGGACCTCTGCAGGGCGCGGACACAGAAAACCCAATCAGACAGGAGCAGCGAGTTTTAGGCCAGGATCACAGAGCGACTTCCTCCTCCTCACCTGCAGCCATGGGGCCGCCATCAGGGGACAGCTTGTTGCAGATGTTTAGCAGACAGCTGAGCAGCAGCTGCTTGGTGTACTCCATGTTTGTCTGATCGTCTGCACACGGCTCCAAACTCCTGACGAGACAAACAGCCTTCATCAGTCGCTACCTTTGTATTTTCTAAATGATTTCGGTTTATCTGGAGTTTTAACATTCAGTCGGGTTTCAGTGGAACTTTGATGGACTAGGAAAGCTGCCGTTTGGTACCTGGAGAGCAAAGAGAAGAGAACCGGCACCAACACCTGGGCTCTCTTCAGCTTCTTCTTGTGTTGCAGCAGCTCCAGGATCAGTGTGACTCTCTGCCACGGCACAGCGCCCCCTTCTGGACACGAAGCGTCGCTCTCCTGAGGCTTCCTAAGCACAGAAATGAGCAGAAAAAAACAGCTCTGAATATAAAGCAGCGGAGGTCCGAACACACGACTCTGTGGTGCAACAAGTGGAGAAAACATGTTGGAAAGGCAGGAGAGGAAGGATGCATTTAGTCAGGGGTGGTTCTAGATGGACTTTACCAGGGGGGCAGGATGGTGCGGGGGGGGGCAAAGAACTAAAGAATAACACAAACAGACACAAATAAAACCTAGAACAAGATAAAGCCCAGGATGCACTTATGATCTAACGCAGGGGTCTGCAACCCGCGGCTCTGGAGCCGCATGCGGCTCTTTCATTCTTATACTGCGGCTCTGAGTGGCTTGGGAAAATAAATTACAAAAAAAAAACTAAGTATTTAATTTAAGTCAGTGTTTCCCGCAGCACTATCTTGGCGAGGCGGTAGCGTGAGTTTGGCGAGGCCTCGCCAAACTCACGCTACCGCCTCGCCAACGTTCCAAAAGAAAAAAAAAAAAAAAACCCAACCCCCCGAAGTTTTAATTCATTGCCAGGCCCAGACATTAAACCAGAATCGGCCTCCACCAGTCACGTGACATTTGTTACTAAGACGCCATTTTAGGTGGAAAAGGCGTAGTGTACCGCGCCTGAGTTAAACAGATGAGTAATTTTCTTTGATCATCCGAGGAGACGTGTGGGGTGGGGGTGGGGGGGTGACGTGATGTCTTCGTCGTCATCATCATCGGTGAACTATATCTGAAAAGGTAAGTGGTTAATTAAAACTGATAATAGAAAATTAATATCTGCCTCGTGTGCTCTGACAAATTAAGATAGGATTTAGTTTTATGTATTTAATTTGACCCCCCCAGCCCGCTCGACAGTTATCCACGCAAAACTGGTTCCGGCCGACACCTCACCGCCTCGCCTAAGCTAATTCCTGCGGGAAACACTAAGTTCATTTTATTTTTGTTAGTTCTTTAATATTTTAGTCATAAATTGGAAGATTATTGTGATCTTGACATATTAGAATTAATATGTTATAGTTTTTTCGTCGCTCAAAATACACATCATACTCGCATTTGAAAGAGACATTCAGACATTGTGTTATTTTTTCAAGAATTCAAAATGTGTTCATTAGATAAAATTTTATTTTCTCTGTAGCACTTTGTTGATTTCTACGGAAGAGGATTAGGGCCACTGGAAAAAGAAAAAAGTTAACTGATTTTTTTTTTTTTTTATTTTATTTCAGTATAGTATGGGAAAAAAGTCAGAATTCTTTTTTCTCAGAATTCTGACTTTAATCTCAGAATTCTGACTTTTTTCCCATGTTAAACTGAAATAAAATTTAAAAATCAGTTTACTTTCCTTTCTCAACTCACTCTGCCCAACATTACAGCCAAGCAAAACAAACAATTAATATCAGAGATAACTGAGGCAGAACTAAGATCGGTGATTAAAAAGTTAAAAGGAGGGAAATCTCCAAGAACGGATGGGTTTACCTCCGAGTGGTACAGAGAAATGCAAGATCTATTAGTCCCTGTTTTATTAAGAGTTTTCAACAATGTTCTGGAAAAGAAAAGAATTCCTCCTTCATGGAGAGATGCAATTATTTCATTAATCCCCAAGGAGGGAAAGGATAAGTTGGACTGCAGAAACTACCGCCCGATAAGCCTGCTTAATATTGATTATAAATTATTTACTGCCATAATTGCTCAGATATTAGAAAACATCTTACCAGTAATAATTCATAAGGACCAAACAGGCTTTATCAGGCAGAGACAGACACAGGACAACATCAGAAAAACTTTGCACATCTTAAACCATGTAGCTCAACAAAAAATAGAGACCCTTGTACTGAGTCTGGACGCAGAGAAGGCTTTTGACTCGGTAAGATGGTCCTTTCTCTACAAAGTTATGTCCAGATTTGGGTTTCACCAGAACATAATTGATGTCATTTCAGCCCTATACAATAAACCATCGGCTAGGATAAAAATTAATGGAGACCTATCTGACCCCTTTGTTTTGGAAAGGGGTACGAGGCAGGGATGCTGCGTTTCGCCGCTTCTCTTCGCCCTCTTCATAGAGCCGTTAAGTCAATGGATAAGACAGAGAACAGACATAGCTGGGGTTCACATGGCATCTGGAGAACAGAAGCTTTCATTGTTTGCAGATGATTTGTTGCTAACCATAACAAATCCATCTCAAACTCTACCAGTGCTTATGGGAGCAGTCGAGGAATATGGCTCGCTCTCGGGTTACAAGATAAATGTTACCAAGACTCAGGCTCTAACAATAAATTATAACCCACAGAACAATATTAGAAAACTGTACAGTTGGAACTGGGAGGCAGATTCCTTAAAATATTTAGGGGTCACATTGCCCAAGGACTTTTCTAAGATTTTTGATGCCAACTATGGGCCCCTAATCTCAAACCTGAAATCAGACATACAGAGATGGAACCTGATCCCTTTTTCAAATCTATACTCCAGAGTGGAATCGGTCAGAATGAACATTCTCCCACGCTTCCTTTATCTATTTCAATGTTTACCTATCCAGATATCAAAAAGACGTTTTATAGAATGGGAAAGAATGATATCTCAGTATATTTGGCAGGGAAAAAAGGCAAGGGTGAGGTATAGGACGCTGCAATTAAAGAAAGAGAAAGGTGGACTGGGTCTTCCCAATTTGCAAGTTTATTATCTTGCAGCTCAGTTAAGACCAGTGTTCTGTCTATGCTCTCCATCATACAATGCCAGGTGGAAAGATATGGAAGGTAGAACAGTGGAGGGAATACCCCTGATATCAGTATTAATGGATACGGAATTACAAGATGGGCTGAACATACCACAAGGTTCAATGTTACACACAATGCTGGATTCCTGGAGAAAGGTGATTAAAATCTGTAAATTGGGCAACCAGATAAAAATACTCAGATGGTGTGCCTTTGACTCTGCTTTTAAACCGAATAAGATGGATGGGAGATTTAGAGGATGGATCCAAAAAGGAATAACCACCTACTATACATTTACCAAAAAGGGGGTATTTCAGAGTTTTGAGGAGCTTCAGAGATCTAATGGGTTAGAGAGGGACGACTTCTTCAGATATTTACAAGTGAGGGCCTATTTCAATCAAAACATACGTAATGATTGGGAAACGGCCAAATCAAAATTGGTTGATGTGTTTTTGTCTTTGTTGAAGTCAGGTTCATGCAAGAAACTTGTTTCCATACTTTACAATGCTATTCTATCTTCTAAACAAGGCGATACGAATTATATAAGGAACAGGTGGGAAAAAGAAGGAAACGTAACTATCTCAACCGAAGTCTGGGAACAGATTAATAAATTACACTGGATGACTTCAAGCTCCAACACATGGAGACTGTTCTGTTGGAAAAACTCTGTTCGATATTTTGTAACTCCAGCTCAGAAAAAACATCATGGCAGCGGAGACGCCTGTTGGAGACTCTGTGGAAAAAACGGAGCAAATCACCACCACATCTTTTGGGGATGTCCGGTGATTAAAGATTTTTGGGAGCAAACGTGTTCCCACATAAACAACATCTTCACTAAAAATCTCCCGTGTAAATGTGAAATTCTGTACTTAGGAAACATTCCATCTGACAACTGGACTCTGGAAGATAAAAAACTGCTGTTAATGCTGCTGGCTGCAAGTAAAAAGACAATCACCAGAAAATGGTTAAAACCTCAAGCACCTACAGTAGAGGACTGGTTTGACATAGTGCAGGACATTTACATGCTGGAGAAGCTAACTTTCTCTGTCCAAGGACGTAGGGAATCTTTTTTCAGGATTTGGTCTAAGTGGACAAACTATGTAAAAGCAGTAATCCCTGTGATCTAAACTTGTCTTACCACATGCAAATATTTTTGTGCTGTGTACTGTTCCCTTTTGGCAGGCCTATGTCCTGAATTGTGCTTTTCCCCAAAAATAAGGAAAATTTGAATCAGACCTCATGTTCCCACCCGCTCGCTTTTTTAAGTTATAGATGTTTGGTTACTATACAAAAACTCTGGATCGGCTTATGTTGTTCTTTTCCATATTTCCACTGTGGTGGAAGGTTGAATGTACAAAGTAATTGTAACCTGCCTTTCCAAATAAAAATGTCAATATAAAAAAAAAAAAAAAATCAGTTTACTTTTTTTTTTTTTTTCAGTGGCCCTAATCCTCTTCCGTAGATTTCATAAGCAACCCACTTTTGTTGTTTATACAAAGTATAAAGGTAAGAAAAAACAATATAAACAGTGTTATCTTCATTTAAGATAAGATGATAGCCCATCTTCAAAAGGGTAGTCAAAGCACAAATAAGTGTACTGTACGGCTGGGGTGAACCACGAACCATGAAAGGGAAGTTGTTGTCTTCTTTAAATATTTTTTCTTTCTATTTAATAAATGCGTTCATAAATAAATTCATTTTAGATGTCAAAAAGTATTTGCGGCTCCCAGTGTTTTCTTTTCCGTTTAAAACGCATCAAATGGCTCTTTCTGTGTTAAAGGTTGCTGACCCCTGATCTAACGGATAAAAACTGATCATTTCTCACGAGTGAAGCTAAAACTGATTGCAATTTCTAAATAATTATTTTAGTACATTTCCCATCCAAAATATTGTACGTACAAATCAGTAAAAGTCTCTTCTTTCATAATTAGAAATTGATTTAGTAACACTGCAAAAACAGATTCAATTCTATTCAGTTTATTTCTATAGCTCCAATTCCCATCATGTCATCTCAGGTCACTTTCCAGTTCACCAGATCATCCAGTCAGATTGATTCAAAGTTTTCTATCTAAGGAAAACCAGCTGATTGCATCGACTCATTGACTCTTCAGCAATCCCTCACACTAAGCATGCTTGGAGCGACAGTGGAGAGGAAAAACTCCCATTGAACAGGAAGAAACCTCCAGCAGAACCAGGCTCAGTGTGAGCGGCCATCTGCTGAGGCCGAGCCTAGTTTTTTAAAATAATTGCATCTGCTAATTGAACCAATATTGTTGTGTGTGTTTTCAGTAGGACTAGCTGACTAGCTGAATCCTACCTGGTTTTCAGACGTACAGTTTGAGCAGGTAGATCGCATCAGAGCGTCGGGTCGCACAGAGTGAGAACAAACATGGTGAGCTGTGAACTGCAGCTGTAGCTGCGTAGCCTCGTGAGACCATCCTGATCTCGCGAGCTTTCAAGGTTTCACTCGCAGATCAGTCTGGAGACTCTCCGTTAAAGAAAATTTGGAGCCGTTCACCAAACGATCGTCCAATCAGCGTTGGCTTTGAGGCGGGTTGAGGTGTGACGCAACGAGAAGTGCGACAGTTCAGTCTAAAGAACATGGCGGCTTCAGCCGATGAAACTAGCGTTAGCGTGGCTATCCAGCAAGTTTTATGGGAATTACAGAGTATTTCTTCACTGAAAGAAGAGCAAAACACTGCTCTGGAGGCTTTTCTCAGAGGAAAAGATGTTTTTGCTCTTCTCCCCACTGGTTTCAGCAAGAGTTTGATCTATCAATTGGCTCCTCTTCGTCGTCGCTCTGTTAGTACGTCATATGCTTCGTTGATCTGATTGGTTTATTTGGCCCGTCTATCACCAACATAGGCCAATCAGATAACCAGTATTTTCGCCCCTTCCCAAAATTACTTCAACGGAAGGTTTCCAGATGGATATGCGGAGCAAATCCATCTGGAGGAGTCAGGTTAGTAGCTGCGTGCAACGACTGAAAAAAATTGCACAGTGTAATGTGATAGTTTACCAATGGAATGAGTATTTATACTCTTAAAATTTGATAATTAGATAATATGCACTTAAAATAAGACAATGCAATTGTGTTTTCTTAGTCTAAGTGTAAATTGTCTTGTTCCATTAGCAAAATGTCTCTTTTTCCTCAATCCAAGAAAAATTCACTTCTGTCAAGAAAAAATGACTAATCTAGATCTCGATTTTTTCCAGTGCGGGCCCCTTTGGCCCCTGTCTAGAACCGCCTCTGGATTTATTGCTCCCAAACCCTGACAGCTCAGGAAGCAGCTGCTCTACTGTTCATTACTACGTCTACACAATGATTGTTTTCTACTGTCTCTGCTTTCGATCGCAGATGAAATGTAAAATAATAGCAAATATAGGGAATAATATGTTGAGACTCTGAAAGAGATTCGATCCATTGATGTCATAAGAAGGGGCGGGGCCCCGAGCAGATGTGGTACCTCCAGCTGTTTAATGCTGATGGGACTGCTGCTCTAATGAATCAGTTCTTAGGGAGTGAAATGCTGAATACCTGGGAACCATTCTGCTCCTGCGGGTTTGCTGAACCGTGACGCTGACCTTTGGTTTGTCAGGAGGAGCGAGCTCATTGGCCACCAGTTGAGCGTCAACGGCGATCTGTTAAAAACACATTTAGAGCCTCAGAAGCCACCTACGGTAAAGTTTATTTAACTTGGTCTCCGTTTCTCTCACCGCTTTGAAGACGCTGCTGACCGTACCGGCCACCAGCGGGCTGCGACCCTCCGCCAGCAGGTCGAACATCACCGACAGCAGCTTCTGCTGCACCTTCTCGTCTCCGAGGGCCGAGAAGAACGGCTTGGTGATCTGTAGGCATGATGGGCCAAATGCTCAGAAATCTCTCAGACATTAACCTGCAGCTTCGTTAAGCTTCGTTAAGCTTCGTTAAGCCCCCACCTGTTCCAGGGCGCAGATCTGACAGCCGGCCAGCCGCAGAGCTCTGACCAACAGGTCCATGCAGTTCTGCTCCTCGGCCAGCAGGGGCGCCGACGCCTCGTTAAACTTCCCCAGCACCAGCTGCAGCAGCTGGGTCTCAGAGCGCAGCGGGGAAGGCGTGTCGGGTCCGGTTTGCTCCAGGAGGCGTTCCAGGACAGGAAGCAGAGCGGAGAGGATGAACTGGAAGGACACGGAAAAAATGTATCATCTCTTCTTCAGAAAGAAAACGGTAAATAAATAAATAGATGTTTCTGTTTGCTACACCTTTGGCAGTTACACTGCAAAAAACTGAAAGTATGAAAACAGCAACACAGATGAAATAAGTCATTTTTTCTTAAAAAAGTGATTTTTGTCTACAATTGAGGAGGGAAGTGAGACACTGTGCCAATGGAAAAAGACAATATATATTTAAAATAAGAAAAAAACAGTTGCATTGTCTTATTTTAAGTACATATTACCTAATAATAATTTCATTGGCAGATCAGCTTATTTTCCAGCTCAAATTAAGTAAATACACTTAATATAGGAAGTTTTTCTCATTTCTAGATCTTTTTTGCAGTTTTCATTTCTTTTATACCAGGTAGTCATAATATATAAACATGAAACAGAATACCTTTACAAAAACAGATAAAAATTACTTTTCATCAACAGAAATTAGACAAACATCTGACTAAAATGATCAGTTTTACTGACAGTTTACCACAAAGATTAGAATTAAAAACAAGCAACACTATTGCCCAGGCAACGGTTGCCCCGGTGCGGCCAACTGGCAGCCAGTGACCTCTCACCTTTCCGTTGACGAGGCTGAGCGCCCTGAGCAGGGCGGCGGCGGTGTACGACGGGCAGCAGGGGTCCTGAATGTTCCGCAGCAGCTGCTGCAGCGCCGCCTGCAGCTTCTTCTGTTGCGACTTGACTTTGCTGGATAACGACTCGTCATGAAGAACAGAGAGAACCTGAAGACGATAAACCAGGTCGGTTCTTAAGCTCCAGACCAACCCCTGATCCTTTGACTTGGTTTATTCACTGATTCTGAGGTTTTCAGAGCAGATTGAGTCTGAAGTCATTGAAGATCTCACCGTGCTCAGATATGACGGGTCAGCTATGATCTCCTCTGAGGTTCTCTGCAGCCTCTCTATGATTGGCTGGAAGGGCAGGCTGCTGGTTCCTGATAGGCTCTGAAGGGCGCTGAGGGCGGCCCTACGGACCTCCCGAACAGGAGAACGAACGCAGCACAGCAAGGAGGGGACCACTGATGCAAGGAGACACATCAGAGCAGAGAAAAGAGCTTTAAACAAGCCTGGAAGGTCAAACCAGTAAAACCAGCAACCTTCACTGGATTATTGACAGGAAGGAAACAATAAGATTGCTTAGCGCTGCCTAGCGTTGCTTAGCGTTGCCTAGCGTTGCTTGGCGCTGCCCAGCGTTGCCTAGCGCTGCCTAGCATTCCTTAGCGCTGCTTAGCACCGCCTAGCGTTGCTTAGCGCTGCTTAGCGTTGCCTAGCGCTGCTTAGCGCTGCCTAGCATTTCTTAGCGCTGCCTAGCATTTCTTAGCGCTGCCTAGCATTTCTTAGCGCTGCCTAGCATTTCTTGGCGCTGCCTAGCGTTGCTTGGCGCTGCCTAGCGTTGCCTAGCGCTGCCTAGTGTTGCCTAGCGCTGCCTAGCATTTCTTAGCGCTGCCTAGCGATGCCTAGCATTGCTTAGCGCTGCTTAGCGTTGCCTAGCGCTGCCTAGCATTTCTTAGCACTGCTTAGCACCGCCTAGTGTTGCCTAGCACCGCCTAGCGTTGCTTAGCGCCGCCTAGCGTTGCTTAGCGCTGCCGCCTAGCGTTTCTTAGCGCTGCCGCCTAGCGTTTCTTAGCGCTGCCTAGCGTTTCTTAGCGCTGCCGCCTAGTGTTGCTTAGCGCTGCCTAGCATTTCTTAGTGCTGCCTAGCGTTTCTTAGCGCTGCCGCCTAGTGTTGCTTAGCGCTGCCTAGCGTTTCTTAGCGCTGCCTAGCGTTTCTTAGCGCTGCCGCCTAGTGTTGCTTAGCGTTGCTTAGCACCGCCTAGCGTTGCTTAGAGCTGCTGCCTAGCGTTTCTTAGCGCTGCCTAGCGTTTCTTAGCGCTGCCGCCTAGTGTTGCTTAGCGCTGCCTAGCGTTTCTTAGCGCTGCCGCCTAGCGTTGCTTAGCGCTACATAGCGTTGCTTAGTGCTGCCTAGCGTTTCTTAGCGCTGCCGCCTAGTGTTGCTTAGCGCTGCCTAGCGTTTCTTAGCGCTGCCGCCTAGCGTTGCTTAGCGCTACATAGCGTTGCTTAGTGCTGCCTAGCATTTCTTAGCGCTGCCGCCTAGTGTTGCTTAGCGCTGCCTAGCGTTGCTTAGCGCTACATAGCGTTGCTTAGCGCTACATAGCGTTGCTTAGCGCTACATAGCGTTTCTTAGCGCTGCCGCCTAGTGTTTCTTAGCGCTGCCGCCTAGTGTTTCTTAGTGCTGCCGCCTAGTGTTTCTTAGTGCTGCCTAGCATTTCTTAGCGCTGCCGCCTAGTTTTGCTTAGCGCTACATAGCGTTTCTTAGCGCTGCCGCCTAGTGTTTCTTAGTGCTGCCTAGCATTTCTTAGCGCTGCCGCCTAGTGTTGCTTAGCGCTGCCTAGCGTTGCTTAGCGCTACATAGCGTTGCTTAGCGCTACATAGCGTTTCTTAGCGCTGCCGCCTAGTGTTTCTTAGTGCTGCATAGCGTTGCTTAGCGCTACATAGCGTTGCTTAGCGCTACATAGCGTTTCTTAGCGCTGCCGCCTAGTGTTGCTTAGCGCTACATAGCGTTGCTTAGCGCTACATAGCGTTGCTTAGCGCTACATAGCGTTGCCTGGCGTTGCAGCTATGACATAATCACTTCAGCGTCCAAAGTGTAGGAAAGCATATAAGGAGAAGTCATGCCTGACCCCACCAGTTCTCGGCGTCCAGCCGTAGACGCTTTGCCTCAAAGCTGATTTCCTTCCAGATGTTTCAGTTTCTCACCTGGTGAGTCTGGAGCCGCCAGCTGGTCCAGCACTGCGGCCGGTTGGACCTCCATTATGGCTCTGCCCAAGTACAGCGCTCTGGTCTGCAGGACGGCGCCAATCTTTACGTCCAGCTGGTCTCCATGGTTACCGCTGTATCCCCAGACGAGGCTCAGGAACCTAAAGAGCACGATGGGCTCCTGCATGTGGACCTGGAGGAGAAGCAAACTTGATCATCTCCCAACTGAAAGTCTCTGCACATTTAAAAAAGTTTCATCCAACGACGGTCAGCCCTCACCCTGAAGAGCAGCTTCATCAGCTCCCTGCAGCTGAAGGCAAACGGGCTCTCAGCGGCGCTGCTGATGAGAACGCCGAAGAGGCGGCAGATCAGGCCCAGGTAGCAGCAGGTGCTGGTGTCCATCTTCTCTGGGTTCCACCATGCCTGGTCTGGAACAGAAAGGAGACCCTCCGCTCAGCCTCATAATCACACCCACCGTGTCAGTCACAGGTGGTGGGGTTGTACCTTTAAATGAGGTGTCAGGACACCTGAGTGAAGAGATAAAGTCTCTGAGCAGAGTGATGAGAACCGAGCTGAAGCCCTGATCCAGACGCTCCGACGGCTGCTGCTCACATCTGCTCAGGTAGACGACCAGAGCCTCAGAGAAGGAGGGGGGCACCTGGAGGGGAAACTCCGCCTCCTGTGAGGGAACAGAGAGTCAGACTTTATATCCCACAATACACCTGGACTCCCACGCTTTAACGCTTTGGCATTTTACCTCACATAGACATACATATAAGAGTAAAACCCCAAACTGACTGTCGCAACACAGAAATTATGGCCGCCATCTTGGGGAGGTCGAACAGAAGGAGAAATGAAGGAGGATGCCTCAGCACTGAGCAGCTTATTACGGCTTTGTATGTCGTTGTGAAGACACACACACACACAGATGTATGTGTATATATTTTTTTTAAGTGAGGGATATGTGTATATATATATATATATATATATATATATCTGCTTATACCTGTATAAATAGGTTGTATATGTGTATATAGCAATAAAAAATGTAAAACTATATGAGTGGCTGTGCTTTGCAACATGCATCCATCCTATCAGAATATTCCGTTACTCTCGAACCCATTAAGGATGTTCAGATAAACTGAACCATTTGTTTGTTTTCAGCAAAAAAAACGGAAAATTAGTTCAATATTCAGCAAGTTAAAGTTGATTAAAATTAATTCTGTTCCTGCTCAACATATTACACTGAGTGGACATGTTGACCTCCCCAAGATGGCGTCACTAAATCACGTCGGGGCCCACAGTCGATAGCGGTGAATGCGGGGTCTACTCTGATATTTAGTCTATGTTACATCAGGATAACAAAGACTGGGTTTCTGTAACGCCGCACCTCGCTGTTGTCGTTCTGCATCACGTCCAGCAGGTGGAGCTCCAGCAGCGTGTAGACCTTCTGAGCCGTCAGCAGGTGCTGCGTCTGGCTCAGCTCCCCCAGGCTGATCAGCAGGGTCCGGGTCAGAACCAGGAAGGGCGCCCTGCCTCTCAGGCCGGCGCTCCGCTGCTCCTCCACCAGAACCAGAAGTTTCTCCAGCTGTTTCCCAGAAACACAAAGGGTTACATCCAAGGAAAGGTCCGGTATTAGGATCCACAAAGAGCCACTCACAGCGTCCCGTTTGGAGAAATGCTCCATGTTGGTCAGGTTCTTCGTCAGCGTGGAGACCAGGCGCTGGTTGGCCAGGCCCACCAAGTCAGGCTCAGAGCTCCTCTTCATCACATCCTGCAGTTCTGGGAGCAGAGAAACTGTTCAGATTAGGCCTGCAACTAACCTTTAATTCGCTAAAGATGATTTTATACCGATTTAAAACTAAAACGTTTCTGGATAGAGCAGATTGACAGACGAAAAAATATATATATTTTTTATCCTAAATGCTAAATTTTTATATATTTTTTTTAGTGCTGTCAATCGATTAAATTTTTTTAATCGCGATCAATCGCATCAATGCCTGAGTTAACTCGCGATTAATCGCATTTTAATCGCAAATTTTTTTTCTGATTGAAAATCATTTAAATACTCTCGATGACATACAAAAAATACATACAGGCTAGGTTTGTGCCAATGTTCTTTTTTTTAAATGAGAACAGGTCACAGACACTGATTTATGCCATAGAAACATATGGCAAGAAGATGGGGAGGCATGTAGCAAAAAATAACAAATATGTAGCCAAAAAAAAGGCCCTGAAAACAGGCTGATGTAAAAGACAGTCTTTACAGTTAATACAGTCTTTTGAACAAAGACAAGCATTTTACCCTACTGCTATAAAATGCAGTACAGTTAACATTAGATGTTAATTAACAAAGATAATAATGAACAATTTTCAATCAATACATCAAAATCAATAGACCGACATCACTAGATGGAGGTAGTCTATGCTCTAGAAAGTTACTTTTCAGCCTCTTAACAAAAATGAGAACACACACACACCCACTCACCCACACACACACACACACACCCACTCACCCACACACACACACACACACCCACACACACACACGATACCGACCTGTGACAGCAAGAGTGCCGTAGCAGATTCCATTTCACCTCAGTAATCTGTTTTCTCAGCGTATTTCAGGTTGCTACTAGTTATCAGACGCTCAACTTGTTTGTTGGTGGTGGGGCTTAAAGAAAAGGCACTAGCGCCACCCAGTGTATGAGCGTCTTTTTTCCTTGAGGAGGTCCGCTCTGGAAGCCTATGGGAAATGCATTGACTGGGGGAAAATAGCCCCGCCTTCCCGCAGGCTGCAGCGGGATGAACTTGGAAAATTGTACCATAAAACCACATAGCGTTAATCTCACGTTAAAAAAATTATCGCCGTTAAAATGGCCTCGCGTTAACGCGATAATGACGCGATAATTTTGACAGCACAAATTTTTTTTTTTACAATCTTGGTATAATTCCTGCTCTAAGTGGGTCGCTCTTTCAGCTAAAGGCAGGTTTTAGAGTCTCTATACTCCTGTTAACATAATTAGTTGACAATTATGTCAATAATCGATTAATCAGAGGAATTATTTGAACCTTAGTTCAAAGTGTGGTGGGCGATATATTGAATATACTCGATGTTTCTCCACACATTATAGTTAAAATGACTCCATCGCAACCATCAAAAACAAATTCGCATTAAGACATTAAGCGTTTTATTTTCCCCACACTTTGAATGCATCATAAACCCCTCTTCCAAACAGGATTATTTTCTCGCACTCTACAGCAACCGGCAAACGAAATATGGCGACAGCAGGTGATTCAGCTGAGCGACATACGGCAGCGGTTTGGATTGAACAAAAGACGCCGTAAAACTAGGGATGTACGATATTGGGATTTTGGCCGATATCCGATATGCTGATATTTTAAAACTCATGTAGCCGATAACCGATATCGATACCGATGTTAAAGCTGGACAAAAATAAGTAGTCATTGAAAATAGCAGTTTTGTTATCCATTTCTGACACTTTGAAAAATAATAAACTCAAATATATTTTCATATGCTGATATCAAATTGATTTTTAAAAACGCGGTATCGATCTATTTTACTTTCAAAATCTGGTGAAATTTCATCGTTCTGTTACAAACTCTCGTGATATTTTGCAAATTCTTGTGAGATTTTGTTAGTAAAATAGATCGATACCGCGTCAATATATCAACATATAAAAATATGGCAACATTTGGTGAATTTTCGGGGGATTTCGTAGCATAACGATGACATATAGCAATATTTCATTAGTAAAAGAGATTGATATGGTGTTTTTAAATGGCAATATATCAGCATATGAAGATATTGGGATATTTTAATGGATCAATATTTTTTCCCTCGTCTTTAGAAGTTTTTAAGTCTGTAAAAAAGAAGTTTTTGAAGAAGAAGAAGTTGTATTTTTTAGACTTTAGAAACTCAGAAGCTGATCAAATATCGGGTTAAATATCGGTGGGGCGGCCGATGTCCGATATTCAGTTTTCAGGCCGATACCGATAGGGGGCCGATTATATCGTGCATCCCTATGCAAAACCATTGCTGCAAAAGGCAGCAGTACAAATTTATTCCACCCCCTACAGTCATCGGCTGCAGAATGATGAATGTTGTAAACTCTGCATGTCAGCGTCTCCCAGCTCAACAGTTAAAACGTTCAATCGATCAGCCGTGAAGCCGATGGCGTTGGCCTCGTCGTTTTAAAAAAGCGATCCCAGGAAAAAGGAAGAGATGGAGGGAAACTACAGACGCTATTTAAGACGTTATTTTTAAGATGCTCTAATACCTGCGATGTTCAGAGGTTTTCTAACGTTCTCAATTTTATAACTTTTTGTGCTTCTTTATAATTCCCAGCAGGTAAGATCAACGCTGATAATGATCTAACTTTTGGACGGGATTTCCATTTTTGTTATTTTAGGTCAATTTCTTTTTTTTATATTATGTACAAAAGAGCCTTTTTTTTCTATTTTATTTAGTATTGTGTGTTTTTGCTTTGTTTCCTGTTTGGTTGATGGGATTTTGTTAAACGTTTAATTTTAACACCCAAAGACAGCATGTGGCAGAAAGGCTTTTTTTTCTTTAAGGTAATTTAAACATATGGTGACATATATCGTGTATTGTTATCGCCCAGTCTTAGTTCTGCTTTTAAAGGAAAAGTCGCTCATATTCAGAATTCAAACTTCTGAAAGTTCCTCATTCCTCGCTGACCGGACTTTTCCTTTAAAGGTTTCCATTTGGCCCAAACACCCAGGAAGTAAAAGCTTGCATTGCCGATGCTTTTAATGTGAAAGGGACACAGGAAGTAGTTGGGTTTTCCACCTTGAGCCCAGCCCAGAGTGAGGGGGTGCTGGCTGAAGACGGCGGATTGGGCGATGGAGGCGGCCAGTCCGAGTTCAGCCGAGGTGATGACCAGGAGGGGGAGGAGCTTCCAGCCTGTTTTCTGCATCAACTCAGCATCTCCGTTTCCCAGCCGGCCGTCGGACAGCAAACGCACCGCCACCGTCAGCACGGGCATCCTGGAGGAGACAGGAAGCACTCAGTGACTCGTTCTGTAGAGGGTCGGATGAATCTAGCATCGTTAGCTGACTGACCACTGCTGAGCGGACGGGCGGACTCTGTGGAGCAGCGACAGCAGCCATGACACCACGTCCTCCGGGTCCAGGACGTCCAGCAGCAGCTGCAAAAAACAACAACAGTGAACGTGGCATCATGGAGGAACGAACAGAGAGGGATTCCTCCAACGGACCTGCAGGACGCGGAGGGCGGCGGAGACCACTTCTGGGACGTCGTCACTGAGGCGCTCCGCGACGGCGTCCTTCAGGAACGTTTGGTCCAAGGTCTGCTGTTGGTCAGAGGAGACACGACGGCGAGACGTCAGAACCGAGCTAACAGAACGGGATCCAGGACCTCAACGCTTCGGTTTTCCGGCTCTACCTGCTCCGAGCTGATGAGGCTCATCAAATGATCCACAGCCGCCGTTCGGACCGAAGGCTGGGGGTGCTTCAAGCTGAGGAGCAGCGACGTGTCCGAGTCGTCTAGAATCTGACAGGAAGACACAAACTCTCAGGCAGGAGGTGAAAACACGCCTTTCTCTCTGCGATAATCCGAATCTCTGCACATTTTCTCCATTTCCTCTGAATTCTACCTGGAATTTCCCGCTGCTGACGAACAGAGACAGGAACTGGTGGAAGAGGCGCTTCTGCTGCGGGTCGCTGTCGACCACATGACCAGAGAGCACAGCGTCCAGCGCGTGGCAGTACCTGCATGAGGAGAAACGCTCAGCGGGGTGGGAGCATACATCTAATGACGTTACATCACCAGTAGGGGGCGTACTTGGACTCGAACAGCCGAAGCAGAGGCAGCAGGCGCTGATCCAGGGCCGACATGTCGGCGGCGGCGAGCTCCGTTTGCTTCAGATACTGATCCAGGAGCAGCCTGCAGCAGGAGGGAAAACTGGGCTCAGAGATTTAAAACCAGACTCAGGAGGTCTGAGAAGGTTCTGGATGCTCCGTCAGGACCAGGATTAAGACGTGGACCGGATCAACCCAGAGTGGAACGGAATCACTCTGATAAACCAGAGTCTGTCGCCTGGACCGGAGCGCTCTGCCATCTATCAGGTCCAAAGGGCCCAGAAGCGCTTGGACTTCCTGCGGAGGATGAGGAGAGCCCACCTGTCCGCCCCCCATCCTCCCCACCTTCTCCAGAAGCACCATAGAGAGCGTTCTGAGCAGCTGTCTCACTGTGTGCTGTGGAGGCTGCAGCGCCTCAGACTGGAAGAAGGTGAGAACAGCAGAGAGGATCATGGGGGCTCCTCTTCCCTCCATTAAAGACATTTCATCCCAGCGCTGCGTGTCCCGTGACATCATCAATGACCCCTCACCCCCCCACCATGGACTGTTCTCCCTGCTGCCCTCTGGGAAGAGGCTTCCCAGCATTCAATGCAGGACCAGCAGGTTCTGCAACACGCTGATAAGCCTGATTTATGCCCAGAAACCAGGTCTTCTGCGTGTGTCGCAGTTAACGCAGATATGCCCTCCCCGCTTCCGCAGAACCTAAATGAAGTTGGCCCCCCCCACCTACTTCAAATCAGATAAAATTAGTGTCAAACGTTTCTGCTGGTTTTTTTCTTTGTGCCGCTGTCGTTTTAAAGATATAAAGAAATATTTCTAGAGGTCATCAAAGGTCAACCATCCCCCCCACCTTCTTCAAATCAGACGAAATGGGTGTCAATTAACTCAGCTCCGTTTGTGCAGCAAAATTTTTTGCTTGTGCTGCTTTGGATTTGAAGACATTAATGAAAATTTAAAGGTCAAAAGGTCAACCAGCCCCCCCACCTTCTTCAAATCAGATAAAATTAGCGTCAAACGTTTGTGCCGCTACCGTTTTAAAGATATAAGGTGATGTTTTTCTAGAGGTCATCAAAGGTGATCGCAGTACAAAAAATGTATACGTTTTAAAATATGCATTTTTTTGTTTTTAATATATTTATTTTAAATATTATATATTTAAAATTTATTCTAAAATTTTACATTTGTACTGCTATCATTTCAATGATATTAATAATATCATTAAGGTGGGGGGGGGGGGGCATTTCTTTATATCTTTAAAATGATAGCTGCACAAACGTTTGACACTAATTTGTCTGATTTGAAAAAGGTGGGGGGGCCAACTTCACTCAGGTTTCCGCAGACACTCTGGTGCACCTCTCCAAAATTGTAGGTGACCGAAGACACGAAGAAACGAGGCCTCTGATTGGTCAGTTCAATTCAATTTAGGAAGCTCCACAATCTCCAGTAGTCAGCCGAGACGTTTTCTCACATGGCTGATGTGGGTAATGGCAGAATATCTGGCTGAAGCGGCGTCCACAGCGCCTGGAACACCCCTGACACTATCCCAGGACGCTAGTTTGTAGCTCAGCGCTACAGCCAGTCTTTGGGGAACACTCACGGATGAACTGTGCGTCGTCCGGCGTTGGATGAGGGGTTGTAGACGGCGAACAAGCTCGTCAAACCCACAATCCTAGCCAGTTTGTAATAGTCCACCTTGCATTGCGGCGTGGAATAACACAGCGCAGACCACGCTTCAATATCGAGCATAAATCAAAAATATCTGCATCAATCTCACTGCTGCAGGAGGAGAACCAGACCTTAAACACCAAACTAAAACACTGCATATTTGCACCATATATATTAATGCTCTGAACTTCCATATCAATGCATTTTTTCTGCACCATGTTTTTTCTCCCACACTGTTTACATTTGATCACTGCTGCACTTTGTTATGAAAGCTGCACTAAAGGACATTTTGTATGTGAATATTCAGTTCAGTTCAGTAGCTTTTATTTGTCCCAGTATGGGCAATTTTTGTGCAGTAGTAGTGCACCTTTCACACACGTTCACATTTCACAAATCACAGATAAAAAATAAAAGAAGAAACACATAAAATATCCAAAAAGATAAAAGTAAGGTGATAAAAGAGACAGAAAAATAAAAAGTAAATAAAATGAGCAGTGCAGGGGATGAATGAGAGCATAGGCCTATATGCACATGAACATGAGAATAAAAGTTGTTAGTCTACCAGACGAAGGAGGCTGAGGCTTACCGGCCCACGGTTCCATCCAGGTCTTTGGTCAGAGGGACCGAGCTCAGGACGGCCTCCAGCACGTTCACGCCGTCTGTCCCTTTCTCACCTGAGACAGACACTGAGGGGTTAACTCTGGCGGCTCGGCTGGCCCGTCACTTCCTCCATGTTCCCACTCTTACCTGAGCTGCTGTAGAACACACGCTGGACCAGGTGAGGCAGCAGGTACCGCAGCAGAGGACTGACATCATGACCGGCCGCCAGGACCTGCAGCGTTGGAACCAGCGTCGCCATGGAGATCAGACTGCCGACGGCTCTGAACACAAAGCGAAAGCAGAGATCAGAGGAGAGCAGAGCGGCGCCGGGCGAGCCCTCCACCCCCGGAGCGCCTCAGGCCTACCTGGGACCGACACATTCCACCTTCTGGTTCTGGAGCAGCACCAGCAGGCAGCCCAAACCCTCCTTGGCCAGGACCGGCTCTTTCAGCAGAGACTTGCTGATCTGCACGGTCAGGCTGTCGACCAGGCTGGCCTCCATCACCACCTTCACCGCCAGCTGGCACACCATCATGTAGGTGGCGGCTTTGTAGTCCGACAGGGACGACTTCAGACCCTGAGGAGACCAAAAACAGAACCAACAGGTCTTCATCATCTGCTTCCTGTAGTTATGTTCAGTCTGCTGGTGTCGGCTGAATTCACACGAGGAGAAACGCCGCCTGCATCATTCTGGGATCATTCCTCCCAGCAGAACTGGTGGCGTTCCAGTCACCGTCCTGCTTTGGGACCAGTCTGCCATTAAAGGACCCGACCGAGTCCAAGTTTTAGCCCTCTACCTTCTAATGTGAGCTAAACCGGAGAGCAGCCCACAGCATGATGCTGCCACCACCATCTTCCACTGTTTCAGCAGAACTTATTTAAACAGTTTGGGGAATTTGTCCCAGTGTGGATCAGAGCAGGAGGTTACCCTCTGGACATATGGCAGCAGTTTGGCGACGATGGAGTCAGACACAGAGTCCACAGCGTCCAGAGCGGGGACAATGGTGGAGGCGTAGAAGGAGAAGATGACTCTGAGCTGAGAGAAGCTCTCCGAGTGTCCGGAGTAAGCCTGAGGAGGAGGAGATCAGAGATCAGTTACATAGAAGCCAGAAGCAACGAGGAGGAGAAGCTGCTGCTCTCTGAGGTTACCTGGATGGAGCGCGTCACCATGGAGCAGATGAAGTCCATGAAGCTCAGGTCTGAGTAGCAGTGTGTGATCAGAGTCCCCCTGGACAGCGGCACGCCCGGTTTCTGCAGAGACATCGACACTTTTCAGGGATCCGCTCAGTCAGAGTCAGCGGAACCAGCGGGAGGACAGACTCTGACCTGCAAGCAGCGCAGCCAGTTCCAGCGGCTGGAGGCGTCTCTGAGCTTCAGCAGCTGGACGACGCGGACGAACAGGTTGGTGTCGTGGTACGGCAGCGCGCAGGCCAGCAGGCTGTCCGGGTTATAGAGCTGGACGTGGAAGCTGGACAAAGACCACAGAGGACATGATAGCTCAGTCAGAATCCTGAACCTACAGGATGCTGCTTTTTCTGCTTGTTCAACACAAACTTTTATGGATCGCAGGAGAAGAACAGCGACAAACAAAACAACGTTAAGTATTTTAAAGATAAAAACAAACAAACAGTTAACATACAGAACTTGCATTCAGAACTCCTGAGCTATCTCTATAGTTCTGCTGCTATAGGCTTAGACTGCTGGAGGACATAGGAACCCCTTTTTCATCATTCTGCTTCATTCTATCTCTATTCTCCCACTCTGCAGAATCTGTTAGTTCAATCTCTAACGTTCTGCTCTCTCTGCTTTTTCTCATAGTAGCTTCATCTGGTCTGTTCCTGTTTGGCTGTGACTCCATCCTGGAGAGAAATATCAGCTGTGCTGCTGCCATCAACACCTTTGTTTCTAGATGTTGGAGCTTGGCCTGTTTTCCAGTGTAGTCCTGTTTCTCTGACTGTGACTAACTGGATGTGCTCTCTTCATCCTCTGACATGGGAGCTGGCTCGGAGCTCGTCTGCCTGGCTGTGTGTTTCCTGGACGGGGCCGCCTGTGGAGCTGGTTGACAGTTGCCTTTTGTATCTATGCTTTTTTTTCTATGTCTGCTTCTGTCTCCTTGAACCCCAGTGGGCCTCAGCAGATGGCCGCTCACACTGAGCCTGGTTCTGCTGGAGGTTTCTTCCTGTTCAAAGGGAGTTTTTCCTCTCCACTGTCGCTACAAGCATGCTTAGTGTGAGGGATTGCTGAAGAGTCAATGAGTCGATGCAATCAGCTGGTTTTCCTTAGATAGAAAACTTTGAATCAATCTGACTGGATGATCTGGTGAACTGGAAAGTGACCTGAGATGACATGATGTGAATTGGAGCTATAGAAATAAACTGAATAGAACTGAATTCTTCAGGACCAGAACTCTGCCGCCGGTTTGCTCAGAGCTCAGGCGAGAAGCAGAGCGACATACCGATGAATCAGCCACTCGATGCATTTGTGAGCCGGCTTCAGTAGAAAATAGGGGCAGAGCCGCGTTAGGAACAGCGAGATTCCTGCATCCAGCTTCTCGTTGACCTCCTTGGACTGGACGCTGCGCTCCAGCGTCAGCGACGCAGGGCTGAACAGAGTGTCCTGGAACTCCAGGAACGCCGGCTCAATTCCCAGCAGCTCCTCCAGCCCCGTGCAGCCTGGAGAAGACGGGAGAGCGGGACGTTAGCTGGAAAACAGGAAGTTCTCCTGCGTCAGCTCTGCTCTCAGACTCACCCAGGGCGTAGAAGGTGCTCCTGTCCACGGTGGCGGCATCTTTAGGATCGAAGAGCAGTGAGGCGACCTCTTTACGGGTCAGCAGGTTGGGGTCGCTCTGAGGCAGCGCGAGCCTCTTCAGCTGGAGAGCCAATGACGTCATGGTGGCTTCTGAGCTGAGGGAGACGCAAACATCAGGAGATGAGACACATCATCTGAAGGGGTCACAGTTAGACATGGAGATGCTTTCCTAGAGGGGAGGGAATAAAACAAGCAGGCCGCACATCTTAGATTGAAACGTATTAAAAATAGAGATGCGATGAGCCGAGGCTTCGAGGTGTGTCGAGTAGTGAAGGGGGCGTTTCCGCGAGGCTTGCTTCATTTGGGGGAGGAGCCAAAATAGATGACATCCAAAGCCTCCTTACCCGCCATACCATGTGACCGGTTCAGGAAGTGGTTCAGCTCGCCCCGAACTTCAGCAGGCATTTAAACCGCCTCAGTCAAGATGTGGGCGTTTATAGGAGACTTGCTGTCAGTTGGACAGAGTTTGGATAGATTCTAAGAATAGAATGGTTGAAAAAACAACCAATCTAGTTGGTTAAAACTAGTTTGGTTAGATTAAACAATGTATTGATCAAATCTGAGCAGGCTGCTGGATGCAGTTGAAACATTAGTGTTAAGAAGTATTGCTTTCTGCAGAGCTTTCTAAGCTAGTGGCGTTAGCTGCAAGACGTGGTCCATCTTTCCTGTGGTTGTTGGTTCAAATCCCATCTCAGACTTTTGAAAGTTGCAATAATACTTTACAAGTATTTTGGCTAATGTGACTAATTTGTATTGGTTTGCTATAGTACGAATATAGATCGGGTAAAAAAGCTGCCAAATTAGATTGGTTGAACACATAACTTCCAACTAGAATAAAACCTGTGGAAAAACTTTTATGTTTGAATAAAAATAACTAACACCTTTCATTTTGCTCATCATTGCGCAATTTGCTTGAGCCTGAGCTTATTTCACTAAAATTGCAGAAAAACAGTGAACCTTAAATGATTGTTCTCTTTTAAGACACTAAAAAAAAAAACTAAAAAAGATTGTATTTTACACACCAAAATTTAACAATTTCAAAGGAACTTAAATGGGGAAAAAGAAACAAAGAAAAACAATTGCAAAAAAAAATCCCAGATTATATTACTGACTGTAGTTCTGCTTTCCACCAGTAGGTGGTGACATATTTGCATGAAGCTTCATGAACTGTGGGGATCGTTGAACCAATTTGGCCAAAACGGTTAAATGAGGCTTCATCTCAGCATCACTACTTAGAAAAAAACATGAAGGACCCTCCAGTTGTTCACTTCAAAGAAAATCAGATGTTTAAAGACTTTTTTCTAAGTTCTTTCAGTGATAACTGTGTTGATTATTTTAATGGAAATCATTAAACCAGAAGCAGGAAATTATTGAAACAAATACAACGAATATTAATGATTTTAAAAAACTTGGCAACTTAAACTGATTCTAAGGGCCCCTGACTGATGGGGCCCAAAAGAAGAAAAGATTAGTCCTGCTATATTTTATATTATAAAAAGAAAATCCAGCAGTAAAATCAATAATAAATAATCAGCAGTAAACACTGAAACAACATAAAAATCTGTGTCAATATTAAAACTGTTTAGTTAGATTTTTATATTCAGATTAAATTAGAGCCATTAAAAGACATCAATCTGGATCATTCTCATGAGCCGCCTGAATGAGCCTCACCAAAAATACAGGTTTTATTGTAAATAAACGTTCGCATGAACGAAAAATAATGTGTCCTTTTATAAAGTTATAGTGAAACCTAATGTAAAAACCCTTTTTCTATCCATAGATACAGCTGAGCTTTTTGATTTAAATAAGCTGTTACTATTTTTGATAGGATGTAAGTGTAAAATTTAAAGTTAATGTAAATTTAACTTTTTCAGGTTCTGATAATTTTCCTTATTAGAAATATCTCAACAAAAATTAAATCGACAGCATAGAGGATAATCTTCATTAGCATAGCAGTATTAAAGCTTGTGAATTCTGGGTCGGGGGCCCAATATCAATGTCTGTCATGGGGCCCCAAGTTCCTTGCGGCGCCCCTGTGATAGCGGAGGTTAAACTGTCGTTTGTCCATCGATGGTCCATTTCTGCTTTAATTAGATTTATTTTGTCCAATAAAAATCCCGGTTATGTCTGATTGACCTGAACAGAGGAAACTGAGTCTTGGCTGAGTTAAACACACAGAGGGAAGCACGCGCTGCTGCTTTCCTCCCATTATTCCCAGTTAGAGCCGCGCTGGGAAGCTTCCTGCCGTCAGAAACACTTCAACACAAACTAACATCAGAAACCAGAACATTTCACTAACAGATCAGCACCTACCGAACCGAACAGAAGCCTTCAAAACACACGTGCGGGCAGTCTGCGCCGGAAGCTGCTCTCTACATCCGGTTCACCGAAAAGATAGTTTGATGGAGCGATGCTTAACTTCGAGGTCACCTAATGCTTTGACACGCAGAAAATAAATCCAATTTTTTAGTTTATCGACATCAAGAAAATGGTCTTCCACATGCAAATATAAATAACATGATTAATAATTGTTACATTTATTAAGATTAACCTCTTATTTAGGGTGTAAATGTATAGCTGTAACATAAATTAATTATGTTTTACACTTATTCTATATTATCAGTGTAAAACATAATGACATGGCTTGTTTGTTTGTTTGTTTTTTTACTTTTTTAAGGTATTCTATATATTATTATGAATGCGTAAATGTGTGGAAAAGGTTGATTCGCTGAGATAATTTAGGGTGAACCATCTTAGGGTAAATTTACGATCTCTGAACAATCCTTGGAGCCGTTACCGCCTCTCGCCACTAGGAGGCGCTGATAACTCGTAGTTATAAAGCTAGCAGCAGCCTCAGCGGCGCTGATTCGTTGACTGACGGAGGTAAAGTCGTTGTCATCTGATAATTTTTCATGAAATTAGCTTTTCTCTGCATGTTTGAGCAGCCTGAGTGCTGGCAGCTGTTAATCTGCAGTGTTTAGCTAGCAGCTGTTCAGTGTTTAGCTAGCAGCCGCCGCTATCCGCTCAGTTTATTTCTCTGAACTCTGCTGAAGGTAAGTTCAAAGATTGGTGGTCGTTCAATTTGTAAAATAGTTTAATTTGAATAATATGTTGTGTTTTATTTGCTGTTTTTTCTCTGAAAGCGACATGGCTAAACTAGTTTGTTTTTCGCGGGGCTCCGCCCTCTTCTAACGCTGATTGGCTCGATGCAACATCAATTTTCTTTGCTCCACGCTGATTGGCTGAACGTTATTAATAAGCGGCTATCGCTTTAGAGAAACGGAGAGACGTTTAGGATTTCAAACTTTGTGCAGAAACGGAAGAGGATTAGGGCCACTTAAAATTTTTTTTTTTAAATGTTAACAGATTTTTAAATATTATTTTAGTTCAATATGGGAAAAAAACTTCTGACTTTAATCTGAGAATTCTGACTGAATTCTGACAGCTAACAAACATGTTAGCATCAAGCCGTAGCCATGTCTGTTTTAGAGTCTAGCTCTCTTGTTTTAATCACCTTCTGCTCTTCCATTAATCAAATAGCATCACCAGGGACGGAAAAGGTCGCTTAATTCCATCATTTTCCACCAATGTGTTCCTGTTCCTCCCAAATAACTCACATCTCTGTCAGTGAAGCTGAGTGCTCCACATCTCTGCCTTCATGGAGCCCATCTACATTAAGATCCACAATTCTCAGATTAAAGTCAGAATTCTGAGATTAAAGGCAGAATTCTGTCTTTTTTTCCATATTAAAGTGTCCCGAATCCTCTTCCACAGTATTGATAATTAATTTAAAGGTGAATTATCAAAGAGTAAACCTTGAAGATTTATTAGGAATAAAGAATTAAACCTAAAGGGTTTACTAATGAAGTAAACTTGAAAGGTCCTGCAGCGGAAAACAGGAAAAAAGACAAGGTTTGTGTATGTAAAATGAAAATATGCTCAAAGGGGAATTTTTGTTTTTGCTTTTTGAAAAACCAAAGCAAACTGGTTAAAACTTTATTTCAAGGTTTGAAGACATTTCACTTCCCATCCAGGAAGCTTTTTCAATTGAAAAGCAAAAGCTTTCTGATACAGATCTGTATTTTCATTTTTACGTTTCACGAAGAATACTGCTTATTAATATAGATTAATTAAATCCGCAGGGGGGTAATTACTAGAATTAGTATTCACTCAATGATGGCAACCGAGTGAGACTACTGGCTTGATCTGAAGCCATTTATGGGATTTATGAAAACCGCTAATAAAAGCCGTTTATTGGGATTATAAAACCCAAAGCTGCTGCAAACAGACACTTATTACTGTGTGAAGGAAAACAGAATCAACCTGAGGAGGAACCCATGAGATGATGAACAGGTTCCATCTATTACAGCGTTTTGATTCTTCATCCTCACCTGCTGACAGGTGATTTCGCCTAAACGCATACATTGATCCACCACCATTCAAGAAATAATCCTATAATGTTATCATGGTCACAAGACTGTGGCAAGCCGTTTTTATATGTACTAGATTTATTGAATATGTATTTCTGATAACTGAAAAAACTGTTTTTTTTGTCTAAGTGACCTTTTTAAACAAAATGACATTCTTCACATCTAGAAAAAAGATTCTGGATGTCTAGAAATTAACTATAGATCTCTATATTTTTATTGTTAGGGCTCATCATTTGTATTATCTAGAATATGAAGAAAGGCATTTCAGATATATATACTAGTGTTGCCCCCATACCTGGCTGATACCATCCCGATACCATATAAAACACTAGATTTAATATGGGCCATTTATTGGGATGATAACATCCGAAGCGCGGCTGCAAACAGCTCTAAGTATTTACTGTTTGATGGAAGACTGAAGAACCCCATGAGATGATGAACAGGTTCCATGTATTAGAGAAACATTTTTATTCTTCATCCTCACCTGCTGCCAGCAGAATTCACCTAAATGACACAGTGATCCACTACCATTTAAGAAATAACTCCATAATGTTACAACAGGTCACAACAAGCTATGGCAAGCCATTTTGATACGTATTAGTTTTACAGAATTCCTGATATCTGGGGGAAAAAAGTTTTCCTTTTCAAAAAGACAATTGCAAACAAAAATTCTTCCCATCAAGAGTAAATGTTGTAGATGTCTAGAAATGAATTAGAGATCTCTATATTCCTATTTTTACTGCTCATCATTTGTATTATTTACAATCTAAAGAAAGGTATTTCAGATATAATAAATGCATATTCAGTCAAGCTGAAAGATGTAAGAATGGGTACTTAAAGTATATAAAACTTAATTCTTACTGATTATTTTTATTTCTCCTGCAAAAATTTAAGTTAGGAAATCTATTATTTTAATTTAATCTACAGCTGGAACAACGGAGAGGAGAGTGCTTTTAATAAATGTAAAAACGGCCTGCCATAACAGCCATTACCCCGAGCAGCAATCCTCTCCTTCTCCCTCTCATTTGCAGCTGTAGCGCTGTTTCTCTGTCATTTAAACACATTTTCCTTTCCCGATTTGTTCATTAAAATCTAAATTTCCAGTGGGGTGAAACGGGCACTTCCCGTTGCCACGGTGACTCATTGAATCTGGACTGATAATGGCTTTTCATCCTTTGGACCTCCTCAGAGTTGATTGGACGAATTCACGGCAGCTTTTATGAAACTGAAAACTGAGTTTCCACCCTGAGGTTAAATAAATCCAGAGTTTGTTAAACCTGCTTATTGAATCGTGTTTCTGGAACGTTCCCTGTGGATTATTACACTCATAGATCTGATTTCTCAGCGTTTAAAACTCCAGTTTGCTCCAGATTTTTTTATTTATCCAAACCAGCAGCTCTTTCCTTCCATCTTGTTTTCTGAACTTTGGATTTCTTCTGTTCTGCTTTTATTGGAGTCGTTTCACCTGACCCGTGTTTATGGGCGGAGCCTAATGGGCTCGGTGACCCCTGGCCGGGGCAGGAAGCGTTGGCAGGTTAAGGGCTGAGCGATCCGTGCGTTCTGTGATGTGTCTGTGTGCGTCTCCTGTAATGGGAGAGGAAGACGAGGAGCTGGCGAGCTGGGGCTGGACTGGCCTGTGTGTATCCTCCACTCATGTGTCCGTATGTAGGTCAGGCTGTGGGATCAGGTTACAGGGATTTGTTGTAATCAGACTGGGAGCGATCAGGCGGGCAGGAAGTGAGCACCTGCTGGTTTAATGGAGCCTCAGTGGTTCTGATGCGTCACTGATTCCTAAACGTTCACTCAGAATGAATCAAAGCACTATTAATGCATTTCTGTTAAACTAAAATAAAACCTTAAAGACTTAAAGAAAAATCCCAAACCTGTCGGTTCATCCCAGCAGGAACACGCCTCATTAAATATGATTCTTAGATTGTTTCAGATTTTAGAAATAAAAAGATTAATGTATGAGATCTGGTATCAGAAGCTCTTCCTCCTCCTCCTCCTCCTCAGCTCCAGCTACTCCTCCTCGCTGTCAGACTCTGAGCAGGACCAGCAGATCTCCTCCTCCATCCAGACAGGACTCATGTCCAGACGCAGCCTGCGGCTCGACGAAGGCCTCCTGGAGCGTAGTCTTCCTCACAGCGGCGCCTCCTATGGCGTGGGCGGAGTTAGCTGGAGGAGCAGCAGGCCCCGTCATTCGCAGCGCCACTCAGCCTCCTGCTCAGAGTCCCTCCTTGCCGGTTCTCCTCGTAAACCAGGAGGCCATTTTCTCCACGACAGCAGCCTCCACAGCCTGACCTCCGACGCCTCCTTGATGTCCTCGCTACTGGAGGAGTCGTCCATCCGGGAGAGCACGCTGGTGGAAACCTTCTGGGGTACGCCTGCTCACCTGACCGACGTCTTCATCATCATGCATCAGGCTGGGTTTAATGCTCTGCTCCTCTTCCTCCTCAGGTCTGGACCAGGATGAAGATCCCAAAGGTAGGTCTATGAAGATGGCGTGTGGTTAGAAAGGCTGCTCCTCTGTTCTCACCTTCTCTCCCTCAGAAAGCACCATCATAGCCAGCGAGAGCAGCGCTCTGATTGGTCCAGACAGCTGCTGCGCCAAACCGCCGGCCCCCAGCCTCGCCACGGTTTGCTGTCGAGACTGCAGCTGTCCGAGCGAGCCGAAGGTCGAGACGGAAACCTCCACGGTCTACTGCCGGGAGCGCGGCCGCAGGGGCCGTACAGGTGAGGGGGCGGAGCTTATCTGAGTGCAGAACAAGAACAGAGAAAAAGACCTTCAGGAAAATCACTCTGGAACGAGGAGACGACTGAAAGGGATCAGTAAAGATGGAGGCCCTGAAAGGCCCGATAAACGGAGAACCAGCGTGGGGCGGGGGCGGGCGGGGGGGGGTCCCGGTCAGCCCTGTTCCTGTTTGGACTTGGACGCCACTTATAGTATTTTTCTCAGAAACAGAAACTGTTTGAGAAAATTCTCCCGAGGCAGGTGGAAGAAGACGCCTCCATTAGATAAGTTAGGACCGACGGCCCGGTTCAGAGGTCCAGTCTGATCAGAACTCTGAGCAGATCACAGAATCTCTGACGGACCGGCAGCAGAACCATTAGTGGAATTTCCCTGTTTGAAACCATCAGATGATATTTCTGTGTTCAGTTTTTCATGATTTATTGATCCATCTAGTGTTGGACTGAAAGTCTCATTTTGACCGTTTTGGAGGCGGCTGCTCTGAGATCATCCCATCGTTCTTCTTCTTGTGACTGCAGCTGGAGAACGCTGGCTGAATGTCGCCTCCAGCGCTCTGCTAGCGGCCGCTACGTTTAGCAGGATCTTTGCTCTCTGCAGGGCCGCCCCCTGAACCGGCTGCATTTAGTGGACTGGGTGGGGTGTAGCTGAGGGTCTGCTAGCATCCAGACGTGGCTAAACGTGAAGGAGCAGCTTAGACCAGTGAAAGCAGTGAAGCTGTTGCTGATCGGATGTTTTCCTGCTGCTCTCCAGGCCTCCATGCTTTGTATAAACCAGTGCATGGAAATGAGCTGAGCTTTAATCTGTGGCCTTTTCCAGATGTGCTGCAGCTGTGGCTGAGCTCCGCCCTGCTGATGGTCAGGAGAACTGCAGCCTTCTGCTTCTCTGTGCTGCAGGCGTTCCAGCCCCCCCACCCAAACAGGCGCAGAGGTAATGAGCTCTGAAGGTGGAGGGACTCGCATACTGGTGTTTAACTGGGATTCAACACAAACTGGTTCCTCTCAAACAATGGGTGCCTCCCTTTGGCCGTCTCCTGGGTGAAATGCAAATGGTGGCTAACGCTCGCAGCCACTCCCCGCCGCAGGTGATGCCCTTTAGCTGCAGGAAGTCCCGACTCTCTGTCCCCTCCGCTCCGGCTGACTGTGGAGTCATGGATTTGAAGCCTCATCCCGTCGGATCGCTGTGTGAGTCAAACGTGTTGCAGTACGGCGTGCAGTCAGGAGAAGCGTAGCGCGTCTGCAAACGGAGCTGCAGGAAGCTGCGTCCCGCAGGATGGATCTAATGGAGAGGAACGATTTCTATAGACCAACTAAACCCTCTGAAAGGAGGGATTTTCTGCAGAAATCCGATAGCTTTTCAGACTTTAAGCTGAAAAATATTCCAAACTTTTATTTCTAAATGTTTTTAAGGGTTTCAGTCATTTGCATTAATATTTAGAGTTTCCTTAAACCCAGAATCGTTTAGATGTTTGAATCAGTCGTCGCCGACATGAATGTCTTTATTTTGAGCTTTTTCACTCCTTCAAACCATCAATGTATTCTGAGGCGGAAAATCTCTAAACAAACGGCTGCAAAGATTCAGGAAAACAGGAAGTTGGTACAGAAGTTTAGAGTGATTTTGGTCAAAGTTTGCCCAACTGGATCTGATGTTTTGTTAAACGTTTCTTAAGCATTCAGGTCAGAGTCATTACAAAAAAGTTAAAAACAATCTACTGGACTTTGTTTCCAAGTTTGAAGACGTTTCTCTTCCATCTAGGAAGCTTTTTAATTCAAAATGTCAGAAATTATAGCATGGAATGCTATTTCTGACATTTTGATGGGAAGAGAAACGCCTTCAAACTCGGAAACAAAGTCCGGAGGATAGTTAAATTTTTTTAGACTTTCTTAACGAGCTGCTCTGCTTTCTGCAGCCTTCTACCATCATCCTGAAGCTGCATCCTAATTAATTTAAGGTTAATTGAGTTTGTTTCCCTGTAAATAAGCTCCTGGAACGGCCTAGTCAAAGTTCAAACATTGAAAGCTGTAGATCCAAACCTGTGCATCAGATGCTGGTTTCTTTGTGAAGGGAACCGTTCAGATGGATCATTAAGATTCAGGAACCAGTGACTCTGATGGTGAACAGCTGGAAGCTTCTGGATCTTTAAATGCTGAGAGTTGAATGAAAGGATAACGGAGTCTGTTGCTCTAACTGGATGTTGGCGCCAACAGGTGACGACTGTAAGGAGAAGCAGCGCTCCCAGCTGGACCCCCCCTCCTCCTCCTGGTCATCCAGCCTTTCGGCGTTCATCTGCAGCGCCGCAGTCTTCACAGGTCCACTCAGTCAAACCCACAGTGGGAGCTACAGCAGCTTAAACTCTGGTCCTGCTGATTGAAATGCTAACGCTCAGCTTTGTTCTGCAGCTGCAGCTCTGTGGCTCCTGACCCAGACGGTTTTTACCGCTTCACTGAGAGCCGGACGCTCTGCAGGTCACAGCCGCCGTGTTCGCTGCCCGTTTCTCTAGATAGACGTCTGTAGGTCGGCGGTAGAATAGACGGCCTGGATTGGCCTCTGATCGGCTTCTTCTGGGTGTTTCTCTGCGTTTTCTTCTCCTCCTCTCAGAGGGAGCGTTTCTGGCTTTTTACTGTTTACTAGAAGTTCATCAATGGGAACATCTCCTCATAAAACCCGCCCTGCGGCTGAAGGCCTGCAGCCAATCCTGAATCCGTTTGTGTCTTCAGGTCGGATGGCGGGAGATGCGTTCAGGTGGGTCGGCAGTCGATGGAATCACGCGGGCTCACGCTTCCATCCCGGCAGGTAAGATGTTACTTTGCATCCTATAAGAGCTGCAGGCAGCTCAGCAAACCATTCTCTGCTCTGTGGAGTTGACCTTTGACCCACCCCCCCCCCTCCATCATCCTACGCCTGTTTGATTGGCAGCAGTTTAACATCAGACAGTTTTTTTTTTTCTCCTCAGGCTCTTGGTTGGACTCCTGCTCCTTCTGCTGTTCTGTAAGTTCTACTTGAATAGTTTAATTTCTGCAGCTGGCTGCTGGTTTTTTAGTTGTCCTGAGGAACTGGTTGTTTCATTTTGATGAGCTTCTGTGAAACAATCGCTGCTTTAGGAGGAGATTCCTCTCGTTCTCAGCATCAGAAAATAAAAACCTGCAGGAGATTCTGAGGAACGACGGATAATAAAACTCTTCTGCTCCTCCGTCAGGTTTGCTTTGGTTCCGTCCTGCTGGTCTCCATCTTCTCCTTCCCGGCTTCAACGTGGAGGATGTCCCCGGTCTGTCCTCTGTCCCCGTGTCTCCTCAGGCCCCACCAGCAGAGGGCGTCACAGACGATGAGGCCCAGAGTCCTCCCCCATCGGCTGCAAAGCCGCCTCAGGTAACTGATGAAGTATTTATATTAACGACCTCCAGGCTGCGTGCGAAGATGTAGATATCATCACGTACGCAGATGATGCTGTCGTCTCTGCCCTGATGGGACATTAATCTGGTTTCATCATAAATTTTAACAGCAGCAAAATCAGACTCTGATCGACCGCTAAATCGAGAGCTTTGCTTTTTGGCTCAGCTCTCTCTTAGCCAATAGACCGGTACAGGGTCACTTCACAGCAGACGCCGCACCAATCCACCTATCGATCTCCCGCTCCATCTTCCCCTCAACTGTTTCCATTTATGGTTAATCCAACTATTCATTATTTGTGCACATTAATTATGTTTTTGCTAAAATGCCATCAGAACGCTGATAATATTAAGTGTGTCTCAGCCCCCCCCCCTTCAGTGTCCGCCATATTGGATCAGTCCATTTGCTGCACATGTTCAGAAAGGTCCAAACAGACAGCAGCAAACCATTTGAAAACAAACCATGCAAAGAGCAGTGTTGCCAACTTAGCGCTTTAGTCGCTATATTTAGCCACTTTTCAGACCCCTCTAGCACTTTGATTTCTAAAAAGCTCCTAGCGCCAAATCTAGCGACTTTTTTCTGCTACTGGAGACTTTGGAGACAACATCTAAAAGCAGCGAACTCTGCTCTCCAGAGCGAGTAGATTGGTAACCCCGCCTCCTGCTCTCCTCTATCTTGTCTGCTGTCATGATTCATGCAGCTATTATTTCATCCAAATGAAAAATGGAGAACAGATAAGCAGATCATGGCTTGTCTACAGTGAAAAGAAGGACTGGGTTATTTACTTTGGCCTTTTTGGAAACACAGGAAGGAGCAATCAGCTAAGTGAGCTTAGTGCTTGGAAAAAATCTTTCATTCCTTTAGAGACAGCATGAAAAGTCAGCTGAGTACAAAACATAGAGAGGAAAACAAGAAGAAAAGGGACAAGAAGAGAGGGACACAACCTAGAACAGATAATGGATGTCTATTCTATTAACATTTCTCTATCTGGAGAATGGGGCTGTTTGATGTGTTGTCTTAATTCAAAGTGCCCCCAAATTTCCTAGATCCGCCCCTTGTAATGGTTTATTTTGTTGGTCCACTCTATAAAAGCCTGGAACTCGAGGCTAATTCTGACATTTTTAATTGAGAAAACTTCCTGGATGGGAAGCAAAACGTCGCCTAACTTGGAAAACAAAGTTCAGTCAATGTTTTTTAACTTTAGGTTTTTGGAATGACTATGATCTGGATGAATCCTGGAAGTTTCCACTTTGACGCTCTGGATTGTCCAGCAGGTTTTAACTGAAGCTCAACAAAAACACAGATTAGAAAAAAGTCTGATTTCTGGGTGATTTTAGTGCCTCCTGCTGGCCTCACAGTGGAACTGCTCGATCCGTCTGTAACCCAGAAGCTACCGTTTTAGACTCTTTATTCTCACTATTAGCTTTCTTGGAAAATACAGCATGCTAAGTTTTAATATCCTCATTCTATACAAACATTTTGTAATGATTTAAATAAATTAATTCAGCCCTGCTCGTACCAAACGGCTTCATCCACCCTGCAGTGGAAACTGTTTTACAATCAGCCTGATCCATCAAAGATTAAATCTGCTGTTTAATCTGCTGTTGCTGTTTTTCTTGTTGATTCATCCACTATTTAGGCAAGAGTTACGTTTTCCTCCATGAGCTTCTGTAACCTTTCAACTGCAGGTGGACGGTACATTTAAAGGAAACTGGGTCAAAGCATTTCAGCTCCTCGGTTTATGTTTTTGTAGATGAAATGAATAAAGTATTAAACCAGGCGTCCCACGTGTGCGATGGTCTTTCCTACCAGGAGGCTCCAGAGGCGGCTCCACCAGCTGTGGACGCTGAGCGGCTGGTCCACATGGAGCGGAGTCTGAGGGCGCTGTGGGAGGAGATGGAGGCCGCGGGGCGGCGTGCCGAGCAGAGTCACAGGGAGCTGCTCCAGCTCTACGCCGACCTCCGCCAGCAGGCGTCCGCCTCCCAGCGCGGCGGAGTGGATGTGGAGCTGTGGATTAGCGGGCTGATGGAGCAGCAGCTGTCGCTGCTACGCAGACGCCTCGACGCAGAGAGGCGGCAGAGGGAACAGGTTGGAGACTCAAACGTCTGATACCTGCTGGTTTCCTGATCGGAGCAGCCGATTCACTGTCATCGCCATGTCTGCAGATGCGGCGGCAGGACCTGCTGGTGCTGAAGAGCCAAAGGTCCCGTCTGGAGCAGCTGGAGCTGCAGCTGCAGCAGGTCACTGCCAGCAGTCAGGTGAGTCTGGAGGATAGGAATCCTTCTCTGGCTGCATCTCTCTGACCTGCTGCGTTTTGTTGTGCAGGAGCTGAATTTTCCACCTGACTCGGACACGGCGCCCCCTGCTGCCCTTCCAGCTACTCCCAGGTAGCCTTCGTCCTTCATCCTTCTGATTTAAACCCGACTGCTGGGTTTGGACCTAAAGGCTTGATTTTGTTGTTTTTTCTCTGCTCTCCACCTGCAGCGGCGCAAACGGGGACCAACATTCCCATGATGCTTTGCAGGCAGAGGTCACCCGGTTGGAGGCGGCTCTGGTGGACGTCAGGCGAGACGTAGACGGTCTGTCCGGGTGTCGGGGCGGCTGCCAGCGGCTTGACAGCGTCCAGCAGACTGTGAGAGACCCGACAGGAAGTTACCAAGAGCGCAGTTTCACAATAAAAGCCTCAATGATGACTCAGTCTCCCCCACAGGTTTCTCAGGAGACGTCGGTTCTGATCCGAGAGGAGGTTCGGGCTCTGATCTACGGGAACCAGCTGACCCAGTGGGGGGACTCTGTCCTGCCCGAGTCTCTCCTGCAATGGCTGTCACAGCGGTTCATCAGCGAGGATGACCTGCAGGAGGCGCTGTCCTCTCTGGAGCTCAGCATCCTGCAGAACATCAGCCGCCGGCGGCAGCAGCTGCGGGGGGAGGACCCGCTCCCAGATGCCGTTCTGGGTGAGGCCGGGAACGGAGTCACCAAGGAGGTGAGAGGAGGAGGTCTTTCCCCCCCCCAACATGTCGACATTACGGTTCTGAAAGGAGTCCCTTGTTTTCCAGGAGGTCCAGGAGATGTTGGCGGAGGCCCTGAGGCGGTTCTCTCAGGACAGAACCGGCATGGCGGACTACGCTCTGGAGTCTGGAGGTCAGAAACACTCCGCTATGGTTCCGCTGGAACGCTTCAGTTTGTCTACATTTTTCAAACGGACTCAGATGTTTGGTTTCCTGCAAACTCAGACGGTTTGGCCTCTTTCAGCTTCGTCATGTCTGTGTCTGTCCTGCAGGGGGCAGCATCCTCAGCACTCGCTGCTCAGAGACCTATGAGACCAAGGCGGCCCTGCTCAGCCTGTTCGGAGTTCCTCTCTGGTATTTCTCCCAGTCTCCTCGTGCTGTGATCCAGGTGACTCACCTGTTCAACCAACACCACCAGAACTCGGAGCAGATTAGATTCACATAAAGCCAGAATTTCCAAGTCGATTGGAAATAAAAACACCAGAAAGTTTAACTTTAGACGTCGTTATTCTGGTTCCATATCAATAATCCGTCGCCTTCGTCCCGCAGCCTGACGTCCATCCCGGGAACTGCTGGGCCTTCAGAGGCTCCAAAGGCTTCCTGGTGATCCAGCTGTCCATGAGGATCCTTCCCACGGCCGTCACCATGGAGCACATCCCCAAATCCCTGGCCCCCAGCGGGACCCTGCGCAGCGCTCCCAGAGACTTCAGCGTCTACGTAAGACGGAGCCAGACCCCTCAGAACCACAGAGTTTGGTCCAAGCTCATCTCTGATGCTGATTTTTCAGGGTTTGCAAACCGAGCGCCAGGAAAGAGGGAAGCTGCTGGGAAATTTCACCTACCATGAAAACGGAGAGGACCTGCAGACGTTCCCCATCGCTGTGAGTCGCTGCTGGAATTAGTTTAGTCATTTCCTGATGCGGTGGGAATGAGTTGCATGGAGGTTATTTTCTCTTGCTCTTCGGTAGCATCCGTAGTTTATTGAAGTGGAAACGGGTCACATGTGGTTCTGTTCTGTGACTTTTGCTCCAACGGTCCGACAAAGGAAGCTCAGAGGTCTGATTTGGTTGGACGTCCAGAGCGATTGGCTGGGAATGTCCAGAAACGCACGGCAGCAAAAGGAAACTGAAGCTCCTGTCACACCATGATGATTTAGACAGCATTTGCTGACGTATGAAAAATCTGGCAAAAACGCTGGCAAACGTCAACATACGGATTTTCTTGACATATGCCGGCATCTGCTCATACGTGTTCATCAGTTCCAGGTCACTTATCTGATGGTCGACATCCGTTCAGCATCAGTTCCTCATCAGTCGTGGCGTCTAGATTATCCTAAACCTCTGAGTATCTTATCCAGAACTTCTCTCCAAAGCATTTCAAAGTATCTGACGTGTTTCTAACTTGCATCCAGGGGGGGATTTACCATTAGGCAATACTAGGCAGTTGCCCAGGGCCCCAAGTTCCTGGGGGCCCCATAAAACTCTGTTTCCATGTATTGTTAATACAGCTATTCCTTATTTGTGAACATTAATGATGTTTTTGATAAAAATCCTTTCTCTAAAATGCCATCAGAACACTAATATTAAGTGTGTCTCAGCCCCCCCCCCTTCAGTGTCCACCATATTGGATCAGTCCATTTGCTGCACATGTTCAGAAAGGTCCAAACAGACAGCAGCAAACCATTTGAAAACAAACCATGCAAAGAGCAGTGTTGCCAACTTAGCGCTTTAGTCGCTATATTTAGCCACTTTTCAGACCCCTCTAGCACTTTGATTTCTAAAAAGCTCCTAGCGCCAAATCTAGAGACTTTTTTCTGCTACTGGAGACTTTGGAGACAACATCTAAAAGCAGCGAACTCTGCTCTCCAGAGCGAGTAGATTGGTAACCCCGCCTCCTGCTCTCCTCTATCTTGTCTGCTGTCATGATTCATGCAGCTATTATTTCATCCAAATGAAAAATGGAGAACAGATAAGCAGATCATGGCTTGTCTACAGTGAAAAGAAGGACTGGGTTATTTACTTTGGCCTTTTTGGAAACACAGGAAGGAGCAATCAGCTAAGTGAGCTTAGTGCTTGGAAAAAATCTTTCATTCCTTTAGAGACAGCATGAAAAGTCAGCTGAGTACAAAACATAGAGAGGAAAACAAGAAGAAAAGGGACAAGAAGAGAGGGACACAACCTAGAACAGATAATGGATGTCTACTCTATTAACATTTCTCTATCTGGAGAATGGGGCTGTTTGATGTCTTCTCTATTCAGAGGGGCCCCCTGCCTGTCTTTGCCTGGGCCTCATATTTCCTAAATCCGCCCCTGCTTCCAGCTACTGTATAATGGCGTATTGGCAGCGTTTTGGTATAAAGGGGGTTCACAGGAGGAAACTGTCAGTTCTCCTCCAGACTTCATCCCCGTCATAGGGTGAGCCAGAAGGTGATTGATGGATCCTTCCTGCGTTCACGCCCACCACCAACACACTTCCTAGCTTTATTTCTTTCCATTTGTTCTTTTTTTTTTTTTTTTTTTTCGTCTGGCAGTAAACGGCAGCTAGTTTTATACGATGCGATCAAATAAATTTTTTTTTTCTGCAGGCCAGGCGCCTCTGGACCCATCGCTGCCCCCCTCTGGACTCTGGTTGTGCATCATTTCCTGAGCATTATGCTGCTGTGCGTTATGCAGAAGTTAGGCTTTCGTTGGACAGAAGTTCTGGACTCGTTATGAATCCTCTATGTTTACGCCTAAAATAGAAAGCATCCATAGAAAGTTCAGCGTCTGCCAGCGTTTTAGGAGATTCTGGGACGTCAGGCAGACGCTGGAGAAATCAGCAAAGTGTGACAGGAGCCTTAAATGTAAAATCAAGTCGTAAACATGACGCAATATCCGATAACCCGACTGAAATGTTGATCATTTTCAAATTTATTCTCGCATTGAGTAAAGTTTTAAGTTTCTTTACCGCCTCAGGTTCAGAAAGTTGGCCGTTATCGAATGTCAGGATTTCTCTGACCCCCTTCAGGCGATGACTCTGGTCTGCTCCCGGACCGTCCGTCAGAGTTTGAACCAATCTGACTAAAACTGTCTGCCTGCGGGACGTTCTGGTTTTCCTACAAAGCAGATAAAACGGTTTCATTTCAGCACTTCATCGCCTACATGAGTTTGTTTTTCTGAGGCTCTTCCTGTCGGTTTTAAATCTTTATCAGGAGTTTTTATTTTTTTGTTATTGATCTATTTTAGTTTTGTATTTTTCTTTTTTTGTCCTCACTAGGAGAACGACGAGGCCTTCCAGATCATCGAGGTTCAGGTTCTGTCCAACTGGGGCCACCCGGAATACACCTGCATGTACCGCTTCAGAGTGCACGGGACGCCGAGCGCCGTCTGAGCCGCCGCCCCGCAGCCGGACCGTACGTTTCCTGTGGAAATGCTCCAACTGTTCTGTGATCCAATGAATCTGTTCATAGTTTAGATCCAGTTTGTTGCTGCTGCTGCTTTTCTTTTTAGCATCTATCAGGCGTGATGCGTCGTCCGCCGCCACTACAGACTGATTCAGAGTCCAGCCTCCCTGAGAGCAGAGCTTCTGTTCTTTATTTTCACGCTGCAGACGGAGGCGCTGAGTCCCATGACCAAAGATCACAGCAACGTTTCACATTTTAAAACGACTTTTAATGCAGAAACGCAACAGACTTCCTGTTTCAGCTCAGAACGCTGATTTTTAACATTCAGGATCTGAAGCTGATGATCTAAAGGGAGAGAAACTAGAACCCCTTCCAGCACAGCCACCGTTTGTCTTTCATTTAAAAGTTTGTTACTTATTTGCAATAGAGCTATTTTTATATTTGTATGTAAATATCTTTGTACAAGACTTTAAACTGAATTGTTATGTAATAAAGCTGCAACATTTTAATCGGTGGTTTTACTGCCTTCATTTGTCAGTTAGATGCAAATAGACCTGAAGTTCCTGCAGGGGTATATCCATTCTCTCCCAGAATTCTATTCAGTTTATTTCTATAGCGCTAATTCACATCATGTCATCTCAAGGCATGTTTTTCTCCTTCATGACTACCTCTGTGTGTTCTTAGATCAGCTGCTGTACAAAATGTTTCGCCACAAACATCACAGAGAAACTGCTTTTCCTCTGGGTGGACGCTCATGTGTCGACTGAGGGTTGAATTCTGGGTAAATATTTTACCACAGATGCTGCAACCAAAAATCTTCTCTCCAGTGTGGACATACATGTGCTTCCTGAAAGTTGAATTCTGGGTAAATCTTTTACCACAAATATCACAGCCAAATGGTTTTTCTCCAGTGCGGGTGCTCATATGTGCCAGAAGATTTGCAGTTTTAGTAAATATTTTGCCACAGACATCACAGCTGTTTGGTCTTATGTGGATTTTTATATGTACCTGTAGATTTTCAGTTGTACTAAATCGTTGACCACAAACATCAGTTATATGGTCTTTCTCCTGTGTGGCCTTCCATGTGTCTCCTAAGAATAGAGCTTTGGGTAAATCTTTTATCAAAAATATGACAGCAAAATGGTTTCTCTCCTGTTTGGAGTGTTGTATGTGTCCGGAGATTTATCCTTTTATTGAATCTTTTGCCACACACGTCACAGTTAAACGGTTTCTCTCCCGTATGGACACTCAGGTGTTCTTTAAGATTAGAGGTTGTAGCAAGTATTTTACCACAAACATAGCAGCTTAGCATTTTTCCCCTGTGTGGACGGTGGTTTGTGTGTTGTGAGAGCAGAACTCTGACTAAATCTTTTACCACAAATATCACAAACAAATGGTTTCTCCCCTGTATGGATTAGCCTGTGTCGCAGGAGATTTGCATTTTGACTAAATCTTTTCCCACAGTTAGAACAACCAAATGGTTTTTCTCCTGTATGCACACGCATGTGTTTTCAGATTGAACTTTGAATCAAACTGCTTTTTGCACAGAGAACAGCGAAAAGTGATTTTCGCAGAGCTCCCTCCCACACCATCATTTTCTGCGGAAACTGGTGCCCAAGAATCATAGTTTCTTTCTTCAATTTCAGGCTCAGAATCGGAACATTTCTGCCAATATTCATCATCACTGGTTTCAGTTATAGTAGAGTTGGAAGAATCTTAGAGGTTTTCATCCATCTTTGGATGTCTGGGATAAGGTGGATCAGGATCTTTAGCAGCTTCCAGCCTTCACTGTCCTCTTCATCCCTTTCTGTTTTTTATTTTCTCAGTTATTTTTTTGGAAAGACATCCTGATTCTCTGCTGCCTTCAGCTTTGGTTGGAAAAAGCTCAGAAAACAGATTTCTCTCTTATTGTTTTTCAAAGTCACGACTGTAAAATGGAATTTATTGATAACCATCTTTAGGTCCTTGTTCGGCTGCTTTTCCTCCTGACTGACGCAGAGTTCCTCTTCTTTGGTGGCTCTAATGTTTGATGGTCCAAATTAATGGTCCAGGAAACCTCTTCTTTCATTTAGTTTTGGTATTTGACATCTTTAAGTAGGACAAACACAAACATTAAGAAAAAAGATCAGCTGACATAAAATTACATTAACTTTTCAGTTGTCAGCAGTCTGTCATCAAGCAGGTTTATTTGTTTGAAATCATTTAGGCAAGAAAGAAATGTTTTTTTTTTTCAGATATTAGGAATACATATTCAGTAAAACTAGTACATATCAAAATGGCTTGCCATAACTGTTGCTGTGAAAATATTACAGGCTTATGTTGTGAAGCGTAGTAGATCAATGTATCTATTTAGGTGAAATCTTCTGGCAGCAGGTGAGGATAAAGGAGAAAAACGATGTTCTAATAGATGGAACCTGTTCATCATCTCATGGGTTCCTCCTCATCTTCATTCTGTCTTTTACACAGTAAATAAGTGGCTGTTTGCCGCTTCTGATGTTATCATCCCAATAAATGGCCATAATTAGCGGCTATCAGTCCCATAAAATGGCTTCAGATTGTGCCAGTAGGATCATTAGCTTGTTATCGAGTGAATCCTAATTCTAAAGTAATTCCTTTCCTGAGAGTGGAGACAGAGGACACTGAGTTTACTGAAGGAAACCTGCTGCTGACCAGGTTAGCTCTGAGAGGATGTTACTATGGCAACAGAAACGGAGGTTTAGGGAACTCACTTTGTGAAACGGAAAAGTCAGTTTCCCTCTTTTCAGGTTTAGAAAACTTAAGAGATTTTGTTAAACCTAAATGGCATTGGCGCAACACTAGTAAGAAGTGCCCTAAATCTAACCATTACAGGTTCATAGGTAACCCCAACATAAACTCAATTCACACCTTAGTCACACGTAGAGGTGCATATAATATTATATATATAATATATATATATATATAACAAAAACTAATTAGTCAAGAATCTGCTTATTAGTCTTTTTAAAAGTTAGCAGCAGTGATGGGTCCATTAACCCCGATGCATGAAGCCCACTCAACTTATCTGAATTAAAGGTAAATTCAAATATTTATTGACTGTACTTGTCGTTTTAAAAATATGATTTAAAATCCTGGTCCAGCATCCTCATTCACATTTCCACCTAAATTTTCACATTATGATAAATGTTAAAATTATTATATATCTAAAAAGATCAAAGACATTTTCAATTTAAACATAGATACGAAACAATACATTATAATAATCTACAGTATCTTATATCATTGTTCTAGGTCATTAAATTAATTCAGTTTATTCTGTCCAATCAGCTGCCTGTAGTGTCAATAAATGTCCAGCAGGTGTCAGTATTCATCAAAGCCGCATCAATAGTTTGGCTTCATTATCCCTCATTAATCAGGTAATTTGAAACCAAATTCATGACAAACTTAAAATAAAAGTCCTGAAGTTTATTCTTGCTCTATAGGGTCGGTTACATGCCTGCATCCATCTAATATTATTATTAATAATAATCTGTTCATAAAGCGGTATCCTCTATGATCATTTCAACGATGTTTATTTATTTGACGTTTGCTCTACCCTTCCCAATATGGCGGACTCTTTGACGTACGGCAGCAGCTTCCGGTTGACGCAGCAGTTGAGTGACTTTCTTGTAAATTTTTACTGATAAATTCAGCTGTTAAGAATATAAATATTTAGTAAAATATTTTTTATATTTGAAAATATTAACCACTTATGACCAACAGATTGTTTAAGTCAGTCGGAATTTTATTCAGGCATCGTTTTTATTTCTTTAAAGGAACAAAGTCTGATAATAAATGAAGGTCAGGCTGCATAAAGGGTTTATTCAGGTGTTCTGTCTGCATCTGTTTCCATTTTAATCAGTGATTTCAGGCAGAATAAAAAGGCTCATCTTTAATCTGACCTTTATTTCCTCCTCATCCAGCCTCCTTCCTCAGTCAGACTGAAAGCTGCTGGGATTTAAACAATTTACAGCCTCTAAGATCAAATTCTGTAAATAAAATAAACACGAATCCGAAAACTCCAGCCATCTGTGCTCAACCACTATTTACATCCCCTTTAAACAAAGAACCCAGCTAAAGGTTCCTATGCCTGAACTTTTATTTCCACAATTTACCAAAACAAGCAGTACTTTGCTTTCATATCCATGATCATTCTGTATGTTACAGCCTTAAATGACAAAGGTATGACTTAAATAATGTACTTTTTTAAAGAGGGAAATTCGCAGGGAAACAGAAAAGCATGAAGCAAAAAAAAACAACAAAAAAAAACAGGATGAGGGATTCAAATACATTAAAAGAGCTGCATGAAGAGAAATTTCCATTAAATTAGATTTCACTAAAACTTTATCTTCTGAAAATATTTATTTTTGGCTTGAAAATGTTCATTTAGATTATCATTAAAATAAAAATAAAAATCCCTTAGCATAGCAAAATAGTAAATACAAAAGATTTAGCTATATTAAAGGAATAGTACACCCAAAACATGATTAGCCTTCATTTTCTACTCACCCCCATGCTGAACAACACTCTGGAGTACTTTTTTGATATCTCAAATGCATCTGGAGATCTGGGAGGCTTCTTGCTGTCTGCTGACATTCAAATAATGGAGGTCTATGGCGCCCGAGGCAGAAAGGTCCATAAAAGTCCACAAAAAATGTGTCAATATTCCTCCATACTGCTCGTCCAATGTATTCCAAGTGTCCTGAGTGGGTAGCGTCCATAATTTACTCGAAACGAAGTCATTTAGAATGTTTTTAGAGCATAAACAATAGTGTATAGGATTTCCTGAAAGCGCGTTCACGAGCCTACGGAAACCGCAGCAGACCAAATCAGATGAAAGTGCGCATTCAGCGTCTGCTCTGCCGATAATGCAAGCGTAGAAGAAGAAATGTGCTGTTTACCTGTGCAAAGAAAGAAACAACGAAAGAAAAATGTCTGAGGACTTCAGTGTTGAGGAAGAGCATGAGTTCTTTGCCGAGCTGAATGCGCACTTTCATCTGGTTTGGTCTGCCGCGGTTTCCGTAGCGTCGTGATCGCGCTTTTAGGAAATCCTATACACTACTGTTTATGCTCTTAAACATTCTAAATGACTTCGTTTCGAGTAAATTCTGGACGCTACCCACTCAGGACACTTGGAATACATTGGACGAGCAGTATGGAGGAATATTGACACGTTTTTTGTGGACTTTTATGGACCTTTCTGCCTCGGGCGCCATAGACCTCCATTATTTGAATGTCAGCAGACAGCAAGAAGCCTCCCAGATCTCCAGATGCATTTGAGATATCAAAAAAGTACTCCAGAGTGTTGTTCAGCATGGGGGGGAGTAGAAAATGAAGGCTAATCATGTTTTGGGTGTACTATTCCTTTAATATCTAAAAGAGGCATCTGTCGGAGCCCTCTGCTCAGAACTTTCCTTTCCTCTCTTCTCGCTCCAATCCTGTCCCCAGGCATCGGCACAGTCCTCCGGTCTCCAAGTCAGATTCTCAGCAAGGGAGACAGATGCTGTGTTCAAATTCAGCAGCCTGTGTCCGAAGGCCAGATTCGTCGGCTGATAACGTCATACCGCAGCACCGCTGGCTGTTTGGATTGGAAGACTCCTCATTAAACAGCCAACAAATGCAGCCTTCTTCATTTTTTTATTTGAAAAGAAGGCAACATAGAGCAGACAAGCTCTTTTTAAAACAAGAATAAAGAGAAACATGCATCTTCACTTAAAACAAACATTTTCAATGTATAAAACTAAGCCTCCTTAAAAATGTACACAGAAAGGATGAATGCATTGAAGTGCAACAATAACAAAAAATTAATTACGTCCTTTTTGCCCGTTTTGAAGAACAGGTCTGCTGTATCCCGTGTAACTTTGGATATCCCATGATTCATTGCGAGTCCAAGCAAGCTGCTGTTCTTAGAGGAAAAAGAGAAATGGCACCCAACAGTGGGGAATATTGGAAGTGCAGTTTGATATAATCCAAGGAAGTGAATTGTTTTTTGTGAAATGAATGAAAATAATTGTTTTAATGGTTATAGATTCAGATATGTGGCGGTAATGTTTGGTTTATTGAAAGGATTTATCTGTCCCTGTTTAAATGGGTTTGGCTGACATTTAAGCTCAGATTCTAATATCTGTGGAGTATGGGTACTATAAATCTGATATCTCAGACCATGGGACTGCTGCTGAAGCTCCTCAGAAAATATTAGCACCCAGAATAGTCGTGAGAAGTTTGTGTGTTAACTGCACGGTTGCTAAGCAACAGAGCATACGTTGAGTGCGGGGGTGGAGGCTGGAGAAGGCTGGACCTTTTCAGTATGCCAGTGTCGATGAAGCTTTATTTCATATTTACATAATGCCATGTGTGAATATTTAAATTACTCAGCTTCCCACGTCTCACATAGAAACAATTTTCACATTGAACATCGCAAACATTTAAATGACTAAGTTAGAGAAACCTTTTCCATGTGTCTGGCATGGAAAAGGTTTCTCACCAGTGTGTGTTCTGAGGTGAGCATTTAGGCGACCAATCCGAAAGAAACCTTTTCCACATGTCTTGCATGTGAAAGGTTTCTCCCCAGTGTGAGTCCTGATGTGATTCGTTAAATTGTCAGTTCGGGAGAATTGTTTTCCACATGTTTTGCAAGTAAAACGTTTCTCACCAGTGTGGGTTTTCATGTGATTATTTAAATGACCAAACTGAGAGAAACTTCGTCCACATGTCTTGCATGTAAAAGGTTTCTCACCTGTGTGGGTCCTGAAGTGAATATTTAAAATCCTAACCTGAGTGAAACTTTTTCCACATATCTTACAAGTAAAAGGTTTCTCACCTGTGTGGTTTCTGATGTGAACATTTAAATGACTAATCTGAGAGAAACGTTTCCCACATGTGTTGCAGATAAACGGTTTCTCACCAGTGTGCATTCTAATGTGGCTATTAAACTGACTAATATATGAGAAACGTTTTCCACATGTCTGACATTGGAAAGGTTTCTCATCTGTGTGGTTTCTGATGTGAACATTTAAATGACTCATTCGGGTGAAACTTTTTCCACAAATCTTACATGGAAAAGGTTTCTCAGCTGTGTGGTTTCTGATGTGAACATTTAAGTTACTCTTTCGAGAGAAACATTTTCCACAAGTCTTACAGGGAAAAGGTTTCTCACCAGTATGGGTACTGATGTGAACATTTAAACTACTTCTCCGTGAAAAACATTTTCCACATCTCTTGCATGAAAAAGGTTTCTCACCAGTGTGAGTTTTGATATGAACGTTTAAATTACTTATTCGAGAGAAACTTTTTCCACATGTTTTACATAAAAAAGGTTTCTCACCAGTGTGGGTTTTAATGTGAGCATTTAAATGACTAATCTGAGAGAAACTTTTCCCACACATCTCGCATGAAGTACATGTCTCATCCGTGTGGGTTCTGTAATGTTGTTTCATGTTATATTTAGTCTTAGATGATCTTCCAAAAATATCACATTTGAAAGTCTTTTTGTCGGTTTGACAGCGACTCTCTGACAAAGAGGAGCAACTTTCTTCCTGATCTTTTGTCTCCGCTATAGGAGGGATATGAAAGGAATGCTGCTGAGTTCTTGGTTCATTTTTACTCAAATCCTCTTCCTGAGGAGTAAAAGTCTCCATAAAAGTGATGGACTGCTTCTGAAGAAGCTGATGGTCTTCCTGTCTGCAGTGTAGGTCCAGTCTAGGTTGGGAACATTGGGTTATGCTTTGCTCAGGTTTAGGCAGGAAAGAATCTGGTTCCTCCTTTAGTTTAAACAGTGATTGTTCTTTCTCTTCTCCTTTAATCCACGGAGGTCCTGGTTCCTCCTGTTTTTTAATCAGTAGAAACTCTGGTTCTTTCTGTTCCTCAATAACCCAGGAAATACGGGGTTCTTCATTTTCTTCTTTAATAAGCGAGGTCTCTGGGGGTTCTTCCTCTTTAATCCATGGAGGTCCTGGTTCCTCCAGTTTAATGGGTAGAAACTCTGGCTCCTTCTGCTCCTCATTAGCCCAGGTAACCTGGGGTTCCATATTTTCTTCTTTAATAAGCAGGAGCTCTTCCTCCTTCTCTTTAATCCACTGAGGTTCTGGTTCCAGCAGTTCTTTAAAAGGAGGAGATGGTTTATCTGGTTCCATCTGATCCTCTTCAGTCCATGGAGGTACTAGTTCCTCCTGGTCAGAGAGCTGTTGGACGGTCAGAGTTTCTTCCTCATTGGAGACATGTGGCTTTTGGAGTTCTGTAGGGAACAAAACATCATGATTATAATTAGCCTCTGTTCCATTGCTAGTGGAAAGTGAAGCGGAGGGTTTCAATAAAAATGTTGATTTCCTGGATCTTAACTTCCATATGGGAAACAGATTGTGGTCTGATTTAGGGCTCAGATCATAATCTGGCCTGCGCTAAATGTGCATAATGCTTTGCGAGGAGAGTTCTTCTCATAAACTTTGTAGACGCCTTTTCTCTTCCGACTCTCGGCCATTTTCAAAGAAAGTGAGAAAGGTGAGCTTCAATGAAACCGTAGCTCACCACAGATATACGCCTGAAAGTGCGCAGAAAAAGCTAGCTATCGGGACGAGCACGTAGGACGACCGTAAACATATCACCAGAATGATTGACAGTTAGGAGGACCACTGATTGAGATGATCCACCCGGAAATAAAAGATCCTCCTCTTTACCTTTAACAATGACAGATCAACACACAATTTTTACTTTCTCAGGGCTATGATCACTTTACTTCCAGGTTGTTGTTTTTTAATGCTAAAATACCGGGATCATAGAGTCCTTCTAGTAGAGCCGTCCTAATTGGTCCGTCTACATGCTGAACATTCAAATTTGGTTTTCCAACAGAAAATCCAAAAACGGTTTCCTTATTTTCAACTAAAATAATAAAAAAAAAAGACAATCCACAGGGATGTCTGTCGCCACATGCTGACCCAGGAGGACTGCATCCTGAATCAGGTGGTTTTACTTCCATAGAGAATTAAACATTTTTTTTTTAAAGATAATTTAAAAGAATGATCTGAGTAAAGGTCCGGTCACACCGACTGCGTAAAGAGAGGCTCCATCTGCGCAGGGTGAGCAGATCTTTGCAGCTTTGTTTTTTTTTTTTTTTTTACTTCTGTCTCTGTGCCACACAAGGTAAAACAATTTCTCACATTTGACTTGGACAGATGATGAAACGTTTTTAAAATGAACAAATGAAAAAAACAAAATCAAACGCAGCTATTTAGCAAAGCCCCAAAGCAAAGAAAATGCAGCAATAAAACCTGCGGGACGGTTTAGAAGCCGATCGGGCAGTGAGAGAGATCTGTGAAATTTGTCAAAGTTTTTCTTGCTCTTTTCATAAATGAAGCGCCTCAGATGCTCATGAGGCGCTGCTCCTTCTGCTGCTGCTGCTCTAGACGCTGCAGGATCTTCTGCTGCACCTGGATGCGCGTCAACCATTGACTTTGCATGGAAACCAGCTGCTGCTGCTTAATTATTTCAGGCCTACCAGGGATAGGAAAATAAATAAAAAATATAGTAAATATTCAATAGTCAGATATCGCTTTCACAAATCCCAAAGTGGGTTTAAAGGGTCGTGCTGTTATTGTGGGTTAATATGATTCAGGTCTGAAATGACTGAATGCTGCAGCGTTTGAGCTGACCTGGAAACAAAAAATAGAAATAAAAATTATAGGGCCGTCATAAAGCTCTTCTGTTGTTACTGCAGAATAATATAATCCAGGTTTTAACTGTCTAAATCCTGCAGTTCTTGAATAAGAAGACATTAAAAACGACAAACTGAAGAAAGAAAAAAGGCGGAATGGCCCTTTATTACAATTCGGATGCTAACTTCAGATGGCCGCAGTGGATCGAGTTGAAACGAGTCAGAGACCTGCTGCCTGAAACCAGTCTACCTGACCCGGCAGAGTAACGAGGCTGAAGCACCTGAACCTACAACAACATCCATCTTTCTAAGACTAGTTTCACCGCAGTGGTTTAAATCAGAAGCAGACTTCAGCGTCGCGTTGCTAAGCTAGCAGATCAGAGCAGAAAATTAAACTTATCATACGGTTTTAGATTTTTACCGATTCTTTGGAGTTCAATCTGCGGTTTCCAGTAGATTCCCAGCAGTCTGACGTCTTCTTTGTAACCTAGGATGTTTTTTTTCAGCCTCGGTGCAGATTTCCTCAGCAGCCATTGTTAGCAGTGACGTCAGATTCTTCTTCTTCTTTTCTATTCTGGTGGATCGCCAGCAGCTTTAAGCTGCATACCGCCACCTACTGCATAACTCATACTTTACATCAAATTCAGTAAAAAAAAAAAAAATATTTTTTATTTTTATTGTATTCTGTAGATAAATAATTTATGCTTTCCTTAATCTATTAATATCATTTATATTTCCTTCATTTCCCAATATTCTATTAAGACTCTGTTCCTATTCTGTCCTTCCAACCATCCTTCTGTTTCTCTTTTTCATGTTTGTTCATCAGTAGCTGTTCTACATTTTTAATCCACATCCTTCACATTTATCATTATTTTTCCTCCCTATTAAATATAAATTGTCATTTAAATAGGTTTGAGTCACTCTTAATCTCATTATTACTTCTTCCCTTCTGTTTCTCTCATTAATGAAACTATTTAATGCTGATTTTTGTACTTTATATAATCCTCTTCCTTTCTTATCTTCGTTCCACCTCTTTTGCCTTTTTTTCCATTTCTTTACTCTTAATAAATGATTTTTCTTCCCCTTTCCCAATAGGAATTCTAATGATTATTATTCCCTCTAAAGCCTTTTTTCTAATATATCTGCCTTTTCATTGCCTTTATGTGCTGGAACCCAACATAACCAAATATCAAAGCCACCCCTAGATAATCTAAATAGAATGTGCTTAATGTCTAATACTAAATCTTTTCTATAATTTTTCTTCTCTCTGAATATTTTCCAGGGAATCTGCACAGACCACCAGCCTGTCTGGTCTACAGACTGTAAGCTTAGTATATTTCTGCTGTGAAAACAGACAGTTGATCTGATATTCTTTTAGAGATTTATATTTCAAGCTCTGGTATTTAATTTCCTTTTCCAATATGTCCTTTTAAATTCTTAGAACCATCTGAATACATTTTAAGGTAGTTATAATAGGAGTTTTTTAAATATATATCAGTGTTTATCCCTCAGTCAGACTGTCAGTGTTTTCTCCTCAGCAGGAAAAGGTTCTATTGGCTGTCCTGAGAGGCTCTATGACGTCTTTACCTAATTTACTTCCTGTCATCTGAACATATAAGTCCCCTTGCTCAGGCACCCAGAGTGGAAGCTGTGGGAATCGAACCAGCAACTTGCAACCTTCTCAGAGCACAAGTGCACTGCTCTAACTCACTAAGCTAACACTCCGCAAAGTATAAATTTATCTATGCCTTTAGGGACATGAATAAATAGGTGCTGAACACAGAAAAAATATTTCTTATAAAAAACTATTTAAAATGACACACTTTATATATATATATATATATATATAGATATGAACATTTATTCTGAAGCTATGTGTTTTTCACCGATGAAACATTTGGTGGATTTAGCGGCACACATTTAAGAACAATATTAATTATTTTATCCAAACAGATTACAAAAATAGACTTTTTTTTGTTTTTTAGAAAAACAAAGTTTATTTAAATCAAATACAACTTTTTTTTTCTCAGCTATAGATTTCCATTATCTGACTTTTTTTTTATAAACACACTTGGTCATAATCTGATGATAATTAAAGGTATGTGAAAATAATAACTGATGGATATGAATACATACAAGTGCCTGTTAGGCTCAGTCATTTTCTCAGCTGGATAATCCTGAACTAAACTAGTGCAAAAGCTTATAAATCAGGAACTTAATTCACCCAGAAAGGAAAGACGACGTTTCCAGCTGACTCCACTTTGACAGCCGCCGTCTTAAAATGCTCATCTCTGATCTTTAACCAATTATTTTGGTTTGAATTTCAGATTTGACCTGTTAGAGTAGTGCTGCTTGACTGAACTAAATACCTTAAGGTGCTGGCTGCATACGGATAGCAGACCCTTTAAAGCTCATTTTGCATATCATGCCTCCAATGATTAGTTTCAGCATGGAAATACAACAAAAGAAAAATGGAAAATAAAACAATCAGGTCCTAAAACTTAGAAATGTGACTGAAAACAGGACCGGTATCAACATTAAGAAAATTTGACTTAGTGTTTCTAAACATCAACCAAGGGAGAAAGTACCAAAATAAGATTCTCATAGTTGCTGCACTCTCTGGCAGTTAAGAGTTATAACATTCATACTTGTAGTTAATAAAGTCAAAATCCAAACAAAGTTGTACAACAAAGTCAGGCCACCTCAGTAACGGAGGTGAAGTTAGCTTCAGGTTTGACCTCCAGCTTCTAGTTGCGTTTCTATCCTAAGTGTAACGTCATGTGTCGGTTTAAGCTCCCCTGCTGGGAGAACTCCTGCCCACAGACGGCGCAGCCGAACGGTTTTTCTCCTGTGTGAACCGTAATGTGGGAATCTAGATGCGTTTTGCGGGTGAATCTTTTACCGCAGAAGTCACAGCTGTAAGGCTTCTCGCCGGTGTGGACCGCCATGTGCGTCCCGAGGTGTGTTTTACGGTTGAACCTTTTACCGCAGACCTCGCAGCCAAAAGGCTTCTCTTCGTTGTGGACGGTCATGTGAGTCCGAAGGTGTGTTTTGCGTTTGTAGCTTTTACCACAGATCTCACAAGCAAACGGTTTTTCTCCGGTGTGGACAGTCATGTGAGCCCTGAGGCTGGTTTTACGGTTGAACTTTTTACCGCAAAGCTCGCAGCCGAAGGGTCGCTCCCCTCTGTGGACGATCATGTGGGTCTTCAGGTTATTCTGGTGTCTCGCTCTTTTACCGCAGATGTCGCACACGAAAGGTTTCTCCCCCGTGTGGATTCTCATGTGCGTCTTCAGATTGTGCTGATGCTTGAATCTTTTACCGCAAACCTCGCAGCTAAACGGCATCTCTCCGGTGTGGATTCTCATGTGAATCTTCAGATTGTGCTCATGCTTAAAGCTCTTGGTGCAAATTTCACAGCCAAAGGGCTTTTCCTCCGAGTGGACTCTCATGTGAGATTTCAGACTGAAATGATCTCTGAATGTTTTGCCGCACATATCACAGCTGAAGTTTTTCTTTCCTGTG